AGTTTCGAAATATAGTCGTGTTCAAAATTTATGAAATAATTATCTTTATCTGCCTTAGTCGGTGAACGGCCAATGAGCGGTTAAGAAACGAAAAAATGTCATAGAAGTAATTTTTTAATTGGTCCCAGACAACGGTAGCAAATTTCACATTATTGTGATCTGAAATGTGTGTCTAAAACGAAATGTCACTGTCAAATTAAAGTCAATATGGTTGTTGATTGATGTCAGAAATACTTTTTTCTTGCTTTTGAAATCGACTTTTTGCGAATAACTATGATCTTTTTAAAATGGATATTAAATATTTAAGAAAATTGTTAATGGAATATCCAGATGTAGCCAGGTTAGTATAAAATATGAAGATCTGTTTACATTTTTAAGGATATATTTGTTATAGGTATAAAAAGTAAAAGTTAATCAGTGAAAGACAAGTGGATCACACAGTAACTGGTATCTCTTCTATGAGTAATGTGGATATTATGGCTTATTTAGTGTTAACCCATGGTTAATGCGCTAGAGGGCAAATAAAGACATTCAAAAGTTTACAGGCCTATGAGTCAGAATTTGTTTTGAAAACTGGAACCAACATTTTCATAACACTACATGTCAACATATTTTTTAAAGTGAACTATTCATACATACCTATGTATTAATTTTAAGTATTTTTAAAATATTTTTTGTGAAAGTAATGTTAACTCATTGTGCCAAATTAAGATTATCCCTAAAGTAGTAGATAGTGTTTTAAATGTTATAACAATTTTGTAAATAGTTTTATTATATTCTAATAAATAAAATTTGCTTAAATATTTAGTTACATTTTAATCATTTTGGTTAGAAATTCATCAATTTTTAGTTTTAAAAAATCAGTAATAAAATTATTTTTTTCTAAAATACTTCGGAATTCATCTCTTCATAGTAATCTCCAATCTTTTTACCTTCAAAAACCAATAATGCATTTTCTACAAAACCTTCAGAATCAGCATGTAAAATAATAAGGTGTCTTCCCTTTCTTGTAAGGCTTTTCAGGAATTGCTACCTTTAATAGTACTCAGTGTAGAAGGATCCATAATTGTAGATTTTCAATACAATTGCTTACTGAAGAACTATTATTTACGAAATAAAGTGTAATGGATGAGATATGAGAATTATAAAATGTCAGAACTATCAAAAATATCAATTATTAGCTGATGTTCATGCTAAAAAGTAATGTGGGAAACTGACTGTAATATGGCCAATCAGAAGGCTATAGAATTGCCAACTTAAATTCAAATCGCTCCTCTTAGTTTAAAAACAGAGTATAATAGTTCATTAACGGACGAACTAGGATGTACTCCTCTAGTTTCACTTTGTGCACTAGTTGCATAAATAACTATTATTTTAATTGTAACAAAAATCTTAAATTACAAAATTGTGTTGCTATTTTTATTTACTTCCCACTGAATGTTTTGCAAGTCTAAAGTCGAAAAATATATGTAATGTTATTTTAGTTTAGTTATTTAGGTAATATACAAATGTTTAAATCATTAAAATTTAACTTTTTAATCCAATAAATGTTTTTTGTTGGGAAACTGCTTTAATTCTTATTTAAATAAGAGCCTACGCCACTGGTATATCGATCTGGAGCAACGGAGAAGGAATATTTTAAAGTGAGGCAGACGATGACTAGTTGATGACGCTCGTGGCTTTTTCTAAGTTGAATCTTACCGTACATGATCATCCATATTGTTTCAAAATAAACATAAGCTTATGCCTTGAAGTAAAAATGTAAGCAATTATTTTTTTTTTAATATCCAAAGGCTGAAAATTGGTTTTAAAACACATTTTTGCTAAACCGATTCAAATTAATAAATATTTGCCAGGCAATATGGCCGCTCGCAAACGACCAGCTTTGAGCAATCTATATAAGTATATACAGTGAGCACCTTAAGTCTTACCCCCCCCCCTATCTAACTCATTACTGGAGTCTTGTTAGGAAAATCGCCGAGACACGTCGATTTTTGTTTTCTACAATGTACATTTTTGTATGAATAGTTTACCCTTAATTTCATCCCTTACTGGAGGGGAGCAACCCTTTCGAAAAATTTAAATGGCATGGGGTGGTGAGTGATAGCTCATTTGAAAGAGAGTTTTATTCTTTATTCAACCGTGTAAAAAATTTTGAAATTTGCTTCATTAATTATCGACTAATTGTTGTTTCAGAATAACGGAAATTAACGTAGCGCACTCATCCTTAGAATTAAAATTCGGCCCTGCATGATTTCGGTTTTGGTTCAGACGTGAAGTAAGACTTTTTGCCATTAGAAGGTCACTGTTAGTTTAGTTGCTTTCCTATTTTGTGAGGTTTTGTTATTTTTAAACATTAATAAATCAACACGTAATGAAGCAAATTTCAAATTTTTTTGTACAGTTGAATAGAGAATAAAACTCCCTTTCAAATGAGCTATCACTCACCACCCCATGCCATTTAAATTTTTCGTAAGGGTTGCTCCCCTCCAGTAAGGGATGAAATTAAGGGTAAACTAATCATACAAAATGTACATTGTAGAAATCAAAAATCGACCTGTCTCGGCAATTTTCCTAACAAGACTCCAGTAATGACTTAGATAGGGGGGGTAAGACTTATGGTGCTCACTGTATGTATCATTGACCCTGTTAATGACAACATGACAACAGGGTTGCCATATCTAAACTGTCAGTCCCCACTGGTAGCCATTTGGACAGGTCCTTGGAATGCCTAATTAACATGTCTGAATCTGAAATTCTTCTTTTTAAGTGTCAATTTGGATTTTCTTCAGAGCCATGGGTAGTTATTTTGAACATGACTGGTATGTCTTTGTCAGTCATGGTCTACTTTAGAAACATTTTTTATTTGAGTAGACATTTATTGTAAACAACAGTAGTGATAAGTGAAAATACTTAATAGTAATGTAATGTGAGCCATATCATTATTCAGTCATGCTCTAATACTCCAAGTCCCTCTCTGTATTATTTGGCCTTTAAGGCTCAACTTGTCCGATTATCATACATAATTAAACCCCTAAGACCAAACTTATGTGACGACTATGGCGGGAGAGTTTTCGATTAATGTTCCAGAAAAGACGGTATAATGTTTCTAGAGAATTTGGTGAAGTTTCTAGAGAATTTGGCGACCTTTCTAGCTCATTCGCCAAACTTTTAAATTTGTACATAAATATTAGTGGAGAACGCAGTGTTAGTCAGTAGTTATATGGACAGTGCAGATAAATAGTAATTAGTAGATAGACAGTGGTGAATATAAATAGTGATCAGTTTAGAGACATTCGAAGTATATATAAATTAAAATAATATTGTTTAAAATAAATAAGTGTTTAAATAAATTATTAATAAATAAACTGTTGTTTTAAAGTAAACAAACATCACAGTAATATGATTTTTACCTGACTTTTAACAGTTCCAGAATAGAACAACGTATTTGAATTTGATATTTGGATAACAAAAATGGTCAAATATTCAAATATTGTTTTTGCTAATGAAGGTTAAAGCTACTTAACCTAAGTACCTACTATGTATTATTAGCAGCTTTAGTCATTAGCAAAAGCAGGGGTAGTTGTTGATGTTGGTTTTAAAGAATTGATTTTGAAAAGTTCGAAAGTCAAGCTTCTCTAAATATAAAGTAAAAATCAGATATGTAGGTCCTAGAAATGTATACTCTGGAAAAAGGGATAATGGAAGAAAGTTCATAACAGCAGAAAATCCCAGTAGGTAGATAGTATTTGAAGTTCAAAAATAAAAGAAATACCTACCTACATGGTTGAAAATTTCAATTAATTAATTTTAACACACGAAAAAATTAAGATCAAAATCAATAATATAAATGCTCATTATTATTTGTATTGGTAATAGCCAAAACTATTTTTTATCAGTGCATCCATTAAAAAATATAGGTGCCTACCATAAACTGGATAAAAATTTAATGCAACAATAGGTTTATTAAATAGGACAATTCTATTGTGTAAATTTTGTCTAGAAATATATATTATTGTTATTAATTAAATGAAAAGTTAGCCACAATAACAACAGTTCGGATGAAATAAATATTTTTAACTTAAGAAATGGTCACCCTGTATATAATCAAGGTTCAAGGTCGCTGTCAATGTCAGAACTCAGAAAGTCAGAACACGTGTTTTAAGAAATTTAAATTTTAATTCTGTTACTTCCATTTCCATATTTGAATACTTTCTTGAGATATACAGAGGTTATTTAAAAATTAAAATTAATACCTATATTCTATTATATATTATTAAAAAAGTAGATAGAAGCTGGGAGGTGTAGTTTCTAAAAATGAAAAAGTCATTAAGTACCTATGTACCCAATAAAAGATACCTTGCCTCATAGGACCATGTAGGACAGATGATGAAGACAATAAAATGTCTATTGACGTAAAGTTGGATCATTATGTAAAACCTGCTTTGCTTGAATGATGATTATAAGTGTACCAGTGACCTTAATCAAATAGTATTTTATGTTATACCTATCACATATCACGCGATAAGCTGTATGTATAGGACCTATTTGAATTCATATTCTACAAATTGGAAATAATAATAATAAAGAAAATTGTAAATTAAACGAATTTTAAAAACCATCTTATCGAATTCACATTCCTTAAATAGGTTCCACAAACACATTTTTTGGTTATGTAATTGTTTAAAATTTAAATAAATGAATAAAAACTTAAGTTTTAGAGCAAATGAAAATTAAAAATATGTAATTAGAACAACCCACTTAGATATGCCGTGAGAATCCAAATTTCTAATATTAGTATTTTGTACTTATATATGAAATAACCTTTACGTAATAAGATATTTTCTTAAGACTTCAAACTGTAAAAAACCTAGTTTGACGAAAAATTATTTAGAAAATTTAGGTGTTTTCTACAAATTCAACTGACCAAGAAATAAAATATGTTAACTTAATTTTAGTTTTTTATATTAAAAAAGTAAGGTTATATATGAAAAACTTACGGAGGTTTCTGTTAGTTTTGTAGATGTAAGACGTCGAAATAATGCCATTTCTTTCTTTAATATTTAACAATTTACAGTAACAACCACCGTTTCACCAAACAACACCGGCGATGAACGTGTACCACCAAGCAATGTCACAACTCTACTAATAAAAATAAAATCGAAACGATTAACGAATTCTCATTTCTCGTACTAGAAAATGTGAGAAATGTGAGAAACCGTAGGTAAAAGAAAAGCACAATAAACGCAAAATGGTGTGTCTACGCGCATCTAAGGGACGTCATTATAAAGACCACGTTCGAAATTTAACTCAATGATTAGGAAAGCAAATGGGAAAGCATAAGCTGATTAAAGATGGCCTTTCTGTATATATTTTATTTAATTACTTGTTTATATATAAGGTCCGATTCCACCGTTGTGTTAAACGAAGTTTAAATTACTATAAGCGAAGATTAAAATTATATTTTTGTCATTTGCACTGATCTGTATTATCAGATCAGTGGTCATTTGTCATTTTAATCTTCGCTTATAACCGATTCCACCGTTGTGTTAAACGAAGTATAAAATGACATTTTTACATTAACAATGTCATTTTATTCTCCGTTTAACACAACGGTGGAATCGGCCCTTAGTAATTTAAACTTCGTTTAACACAACGGTGGAATCGGCCCTAAAAAAATTAAATTTAATTTGCTTAAAAATAATCATTGGCGGACATTTTGTGTCTTCCCTAATGGGGAACTAAAGTATTTTTTTTCGTTACATACGGATTTTTTTCTAAAAATTAAAGGCCAAAATAAAAATAGCTGTTTGTATTCGTCACAGAATATAAGTAGTCTAGCAAACAATAAATTTAAATTAGTCATCTTCTGCTACAATGGTATGTTTATGTTGCAGCTTCTGTTAAGTTGCGTTCGTGGAGACGTGGCTTTAGGTACTTTTTTAGTTTTTGTCACGTTTTTGTCCCGTTTTTGTCCTCCAAACAAATAAACGTTTTGAGTATGAACCACACTGGACCTTCCTTCCTCCATGCACTGGACTATACAATTGCTGCGTTTGAGAATCCACATCGGATGCATCTGACATGTAGTAAATCTTTGATCACGTGATTCAGTATACGTAAATGTAATGGGACAGATGCACATACTTTGACTTTCTTTTACTATACGGGAATGGTCGCACTGCGCAGCTTTCTGAGTGCCTTTTAAAAGAAGATAGAAAACTCCGCCATTTTGAACCCTTATTACGTGTTGCCTACATCTTGGCGCAATATGTTTAATAGGTGCGTTTTAATCATCCGCTTCTGCTTCGGAATTGTCGGTTTTCTTGTTTTAATCTGACAGGTTAGAACGACTGAACCGACAATTCCGGAAGCAGAAGTGGATGATTAAAACGCACCTGATATTTTGCTTGCTGCTGTCAGTGTCTATTTTTGGAATCACAGTTTATTGCTAAAGAATAAGTTAGCTCATTTGGACCAGTTGAAAGTTCCAAAATAACATTCACTCTAGGGATACAAATTCAGGATACGCAGAAGACTGCTGTTTTATTATAGGCGGTTGTTATATATTGTATTATCTGAGTTGCGCAGTGTATAAACTGGAACATTGAGATAAAAAGTGCCGACGTAGAGTGAGCGATCTGATTCTTTAGCTATAAACTGTGTCATAGGGTTCAAAATGGCCGCGCCCTATGTTGGGCGTGTCGGACCTCTCTCTTGCCCAGTATAGTAATCTTATGCTGCGTTTGAGAATCCACATCGGATGCATTTGTTACATCTCGAGCGTTTTTTTATTCACATCGGACACATCTGTCCCATTACATTTACGTATACTGAATCACGTGATCAAAGATTTTTTACATCTCAGATGCATCCGATGTGGATTCTCAAACGCAGCAAAAGTATGTGGACAGATGTGTCCGATGTGGATAAAAAAACGCTCGAGATGTAAAAAATGCATCCGATGTGGATTCTCAAACGCGGCAAATAAACTGGAAGTCCAAAGCGTATCCAAATGCACTAAAAGGTAACACCAAAATTAAATTTTACACTTTTGGGGATCTATTCTGTAACAATTCCTTTATATTTAACGGCCTTTAAAAATATTTTCTTCTTTACTTCTGTCATTATTTAAACGGATCTTTAAAATACATTAGAGGACTAGCTATCTTAAAGAAATCTGTTTAAATTGACAGAAGTAAATTAACGAATACGAACATATTTTTAATATAATATAATATAATATAATATAAAGGAATTGTTACAGAATAGACCCCTTGGGGTCTTTTAACGGCCGTTAAAATATTGGCGGCCTTTAAAAATATTTTCGTATTCGTTAATTTGCTTCTGACATTATTTAAACAGATTTCTTTAAGATAGTCCTAGCTCTAGTATATTTTAAAGATCCGTTTAAATAATGACAGAATTAAAAGAAGAAAATATTTTTAAAGGCCGTTAAAATATAAAGGAATTGTTACAGAATAGACCCCATTACATTCAACTACAAAACCTTTTAATTTAAAAAAATCACTTAAAAATTATCTTTGATTAATACGCAGCTAAAACAAATGTTCCAATAACAATAATAATTAAAATACCACGATATTAATAAAAAATAATATAACTTATCGTCTACGACTGTGGAAAACGTGCCGTAGAACGCTTGAAAATGACAGTCTGGAGCCTAAATTGTCATGCCCATCCACGGCACAGATCCCACGAATACATGCTTTGTGGATCCCACCACAAAGCATGTGCTTTGTGGATCCCACGGTTCGTAGACAACACGGTGGCCTCATCACGGTTGCGAAGGGCGCAGCAACGTCATGGAATGAAAAAGTGAGCAGACAGAAAATATTATTTTACTTGGTGTCGTACATTAGTTTTTTAAAAAATCTAATATTTTATTTTTTAGTGGTGTTTATATTTTTGAACTTTGGTCTGGTTTTAGTTTTTATAATATCGGTAGTTTGATGTTTTGAAAGACTAGCTACGAAACAGCAAGGAAAAATTAAGTAATGATTTCCATCAAATTTCAAAATGTGATTACCTTTTATTTGAATGGTTTATTTTAAACATTTTGGTTTAGGGTATGGCCTCTAAACTGAATTCGGATCACACTTTGTTTATATCCCGAAATATTTTAAAATTTACTAAATTTCACAATTTAACAAACCTTTTCGTATTTGGTCATACTTACCTAATTTGCATTATATATACGTAGATAAAATTAAATAATTTATCAATTAAAACACAAAACTTATTGTTTATAAATAAATACAACAGTATTTTCTGTGCTTTCTTTAGCAATAAACAAAATAATTTTATTTTCACAAAATTATGTAAAATTCTCATAAGCCATGTATTTTTAACATCCCTAGCAACACCAGTGCCCCTGCGGTGAATTTGAAAAGCTCAATTAACGTTTGTTTCATGTTTGTATTTTGAGTCCGTATTTCGGTATTTTTTATACCATGGTATTTCGGGTATGCCGATTCGCCTCCTCTATAGTCTTCAGATAAACATTTGAAATATAGATAAGTTACGGGCGCTGTTTAACCATGGGCCATGAGGCAATTGTTTCCCATAAGATGTGTTATTAATGACCCCACTGGGCGAGGTTTGATTGGTAGTCTAAGCAGGGTCGTATTTAGTTCTAATTAAAGTCGCCTATGCAGAATTATAACTTTTAAATGAGTCATATACCTAAGATTTGTTTCAACATGTTCAAACCAAAATTAATCGAATTGCGTGTGACTTCTACACTATTTGTTGACCCTTTTGCGACTGAATTAGATTAGATAAATGTTGCCAAAACCACACAAGACTTGACTTGTTATATATTAACTATCTCTAGGTTTAGTCAGATACGTTAGTTAGACATTAATATATTTATCAATTGTGTTGCATGATATTCGGAAAACTTTAGATTATATGAATATATATTACGTTGAAAGTCCCAAAATAAAATGAGTTAGAAATTGAGCTTTATTTAATACAACAAATTAATAATAAAAATAGTTCACATATAAGTTAATTATAAAGAATACATTTAATCCGAATCTATTCTTGCTGCGACCCATCGAGTACCTACTTATTCGAATTAGTTCTTGTTAAAGAATCCTTAACGGATTTCCGTCCATGCGATATGTTTGATACCTACAAATGCGCGCCTATACCTTAATTGTTGTTTTATGACAGGTATAAAACGGATGCAAAATGAATGGCACTACACTGAGCAATAAAAAAAAAGTATATATACGTGTATGTTCCAACAGTCGCAATTTAAAAGTCCTTGTAAAACTCAGTCCAAGTATAATATGCTTTTTACCAAAAATTCCTAAGCAGTTTTGTAAATGTTGCAATTTATTTTACGTTTTATTCCCATTATAAGTAATAATAATACTCTCCCTAATTCACCCCCTTACGAGTGAATTTCAACCCCTGAAGTCGACTGAACGACTTGTGTAGGGGAAGGGACGGCTATTATTATTATTTGCCGTGGCGCTCCGGGGCGACTTAAGGATGATTGATGGTGCCATTTGACTTACAGGTGAGGAAAACCTCACCCACCATCATCGAGACGATAATGTATGGCGATTTTATAATCTGCATGTCATATCAACAGAAATTGAATTTCCATTAATACGGCACACATCAAATCCTAAACCGAACCATGCAATTTAATTAAAAATCCACATGGTCTGGTCTGGGATTCGAAGCCCAGCAGCCTCGGACTCATAAACTCGCCTATAAATGAATATAAGCGCGATAGACCGCTACACCATCGACCCGGTAGTGAAGGAGCTTTTTATTAGTTTAGATCTGGGTACTACAAGTTATCAACTTCTCATGTTAAACAAGTGTTAGCATTGGAATAGGTTTACTTAGTGTAAACGTGTCAAGGATAGAAAAAGAAAAATCAATATAATTACCATTTATTATGGAATGTGATACACTTTCATGTAAGATAAGAAGCAAAAGCTTTTAGCTGAATTAATAAAATTCTGACCTTGTATGAAATAAGAAGAGAAATCATGAGTTTTGTAATTTGGGTTTCATAACATTTTTTACTTAACAGTATTAAAAAATAGTTCCTTCTCAATACCTAAAAGGAATAAAATAAAACTTATAATCATCATATACTAATTATAAGGATAAATTCCAATCTATTGCATACAAACTAGTTTTTTTAAACCTGCACATACTCGTGTTTTCTTCGTTTTGTTCTTACAAGCACCTAACTAATGACATTTTCTTTATAACTCTTTCTGAACATATTTTGGTAATCAATATTATCAATACATTCATATTTACGCAATGGTCAAATATTACAACATTTAATATATACTTCAAAAAATTGTTTTCCGCTGCCATCAAAGATACTTAAAGGTATTTAGAATTCACGTACGAACAACAAAATTAAATTAAACTCCTTGAATATATTAAGAGGCTTCTTTAAATAAAACTTACAATTTTTAACTTATTTAAGTTTACCCAAAATGTTATCACTTTGAAGTATCATCAAATGCTTAGTGTCTAATGCTTGGTCTAATCTGTCTAACTAAACTAAAGTGGTTATGACTTATAAACCATCAATAAATTATAAAACAAAGTGCAACTACATATTTTTATAAAAAAAATAACCTAAGAATCATTTACCACAATATTTCTTGATGTCATTTTAATTTTATACTAAAAAAGAATTAACAAACAATATATTTAAATAAGACAAAACAAAATACACATTTTTTATAGTTAGCAATATCACACTATACACTTATATAAAAACATGTATAAAATCACAACTAAATCAAAAAATAAAATCTCATAACTCATATCACGGTCGCAAAAAAGCAACTGAGCGCTAATACGTTACATGCAATGTATACGAAAGAATTAGGCTTCTCTTTAAACTCAATCAGTTCGATAACAAGCGAATTTTCGTTCAAAAAATTGTGCTCATCGCATATAACTATCAATAATTATTTAAATAAATGAAGTAGCTTATCAGGCCTTTAACGGTAAAATTTGACTTCAGTTTCTACACAATCTTTCAGCAACTCATCGAGTTCGGATAAATCGTCTTTGACTCTCTCTATCACCAATTCCAATTCTTGAACACATTCAGCTTCCATATTTCTCAGTAGTTCCAAGACGTCTTCTCTGTTACTTTTCTTCATCGCTGAAGATTGCAAGGAATACAGGGTATGTGGTACCTAAAAATTACGAATAAATCTGATTAGATGTAACACAAAATTTACAAAAATGGTTTGTTTCATTTAAATAATATAAAATATTAATGTTGACATCTTGTTTATGCTCAGTATAATTTTAAAAGGAAACTAATTTCAACTGCTACTAGTGATGCAGAAAAATGGTTTAGATTTAATGGTCTGAAATTAAGTCATAAGAACTAGTTGTAAGAAAATAACCAATATTGCCAAACTATTTGGTGTATTTATTGATAAAACATTGAAATTGGAAACCTCATATAGATCATTTGGCAGAGAAATTAAATAAATTGGTAATTCAAACAGTGGCGGCTGTTGCATAAGTGCTGTAGAGCTGCAGTACTGCCAAAAAATGCAAGTATCTCATCTACATTTCACAGAAATTATTTTAGACATTCTAAAAAATATGTAAAATATATTTTATGGATAATCTCATTAATTTTAGTCATTAAATATAGTCAATTGTGTGCACTACACCGATTGAGGCATCGCGTGTCGCCCGCTTATCGTCTCCTGTAGTCGTTCTAGTAATCTTGATAGGCATATGCCTGTCAAAAAGAATAATTAACAAGTTTGTGGACAACGAGAAACTTTCTTGTCAACAGTATTTTAATAAACAAAATAAAAAAGGTGTATTGAAGTTGTTCGCAAACTTAATTAATCTTTTTGACAGGCATATGCCTATCAAAACTACTAGAACAACTAAAGAAGACGATGAGCGGGCAGTGGCCCAAGCGGTACAGTGCACACACACTACTTACTATTTAATGATTAAAATTAATGAGATTATCCATCAAATCTATTTTACGTATATTTTAGAATGTCCAAAATAAATGAGGTACTTGCATTTTTTTGGTAGTTCTGCATCACTACAGCGCCACTGATTTCAAATAAGAAAGTTAGTAAACCTGACATCTTTTGAAACTGCTATAACTTTTTTATTATATGAGCTTAGTATAATTAGATTATTATTAAGAAGTTCATCTGAAGCTCTTAGAAATTTTTTAAATTCAAAAAAATCATAAGAAGTTTATGTACCGAGCCAATAAAAACATTATAAGCTACTTTTCAAAAATTCTGTATACAAATTATATTTTTCAATATAAATAAAATAATCATTTATATAATGCAATCAATCTTTTTTTAATATATTTTTTTTAATAATCTTTTAATGAATTTTTAACAAATTTTTAAAATAATTTTTCAATGATTTTTTAATCACTTGTATTATTTTGTGACACATGGTTTTAAGATTCAATTCTGTTTTGTCATTAATGGAAAGATGAAAAACTTACATCTCCTGAAGCACATATGGTATGTTTTGAAATGACAGATCCGCTTGTAAAAACAAATGGTTTGAAAACAGATTTTGAAGGATCTGGAGTAGCCGTGAACCAGTGAACACTTGGGCGATTATTGGATATAACTGATACCTACAAATATAACTTGTTAGTAAATTTTATTTAATTTTTTTTAACTGTTTTTACTAACTTGGCTTCCTTGAGTGACGCATCCTGGACCATCACCTGTCATGCAAATGCCCGATTCAGTATCACGTAAAATTTTAAACATATCTACTTCTTTGAAATTCCCTGGGGCAGTCAATTTTTCCAAAAGTTTTTCGCCCGCTATAAATCGGCTTCCGTAAGGTTTAGTTTCGCCACTAAATACTAATCGGAAGTTAAATTCACCCTAAAAATAATGAAATAGCTTAAAAATACCTGTCTTTGAGACAATATCGTTGATACATAAGAATAGTGACACAACTCAAAAACAAATTTTCGAAGACATCCAGGTTGATCTTTCACTTTAATTTTTTTTTGAAACAAACTTAATGTCTTAATTAAACAAAAACAAATTTTTATTGATTAATATAAAAGAAAAACTTTTTTTTGAATTATAACGATCTTCCAGAAAAGTATATTTCACACTATATTGTAATGATCTTTACAAAAATAGTGTACTAATTTGACTTGTGTCGCTATTGAAAAGAATGTTCTTAGTTTGTTTTTAATAAAACTGGCTTATTTGAATTTATGTTACTCTAGCCGAAAATGGATGATCTTGTATCATTCACTGACTGAGCACAGCTAGATTTGTATCACTCTTCATCGCCGTAAACTTGAGTCTTTTTAGTATTGAAAGAACGACATAACCCCTTTCCAGCGGTCCCTTTGGAAGTAGTAATATGCAGTTCTTCCCCATAAAACTTTGCGGATTTTGTTATACATTTTCACAATAGCCTCGAAAATTTTAATTTTTGAGTTATCGCTGTTCTTGTGCATAATGATGTTAAAAAATATTCACGATTATTATACTTACTTGACCATTCCATAGACCTTTTGATTTAGCATATTCCTGTATTCCACTGGAGTGTCTATCTATTTTAGTAGTTATAGTTAGAGCGTTGGATATATTTCTAAAACCACCTAAAAATGTTTAAACGCCGATATATTATTACTGTAAAAATAAAACTCCAGTAAAATGAAAAGAATCATTCTAACTTAAAATATATCTAAAAATGTTTTTAGTTCTTTGTTGTTCACTCCACAGGGTGTTTAAAAATTACTAAAAAATCGATAATTTATTAACGTTCCTGCATATGGTATACTGAAAAATCTTTCAAAAATGATAATATAAAATCATTAATAATGCGCTAGTCACATACTTTGATTACTATACGGTGCAAGAGAGAGGTCCGACACGCCCAACATAGGGCGCGGCCATTTTGATTCTGCCACAGTTTATAGCTAAAGAGTCAGATCGCTTACTCTGCGTCGGCACTTTTAATCTCAATGTTCCAGTTTATGCAGTTTCCTATAATAAAACAGCAGTCTTCTGCGTATCTTGAATTTGTAACCCTAGAGTGGATGTTATTTTGGAACTTTCAACTAATCCGAGTGAGCTAACTGATTCTTTAGCAATAAACTGTAACTCCAAAAATAATATTCACTGACACTGACAGCAGCAAGCAAAATATCAGGTGCGTTTTAATCATCCGCTTCTGCTTCCGGAATTGTCGGTTTAGTCGTTTTAACCTGTCAGATTAAAACAAAAAAACCGACAATTCCGAAGCAGAAGCGGATGATTAAAACGCACCTATTAAAAATATTGCGCCAAGATGTAGGCAACACGTAATAAGGGATCAAAATGGTGGAATTTTCTATCATCTCCTTTTAAAAGGCACTCAGAAAGCTGCGCAGTGCGACCATTCTCCGTATAGTAAAAGAAAATCAAAGTATGTGGCGCTAGTTCAGTGATGATGTAATTATGGTTCCACTGACAATTAAAGTAGATTTTTTGAGTGAGTTTTGTTCGTTTTGTTTACCTAAATTATATCGTTTTTTTCACTTTTATAAATATATTCCTAAAGTAAGTAGATAGCATGTATCAAATATATAATCGTTTAGTTACCAATTACATACCTTTAAAACTATTTTTTATGACTTGTAAATAATATTTTGAAATAAAATAAAAACAGTAAAAACATATATGTCAAATTTATTGATGTTTTTGTTAAAAGTTTGGTTAGAATTAAATGTCAGTGGAACTAAAATGACATCACACTGAACTAGCGCATTGTATATTCATTTTACTATTTCAATATTTGATGTAAGCAGAATTACATAGTATGTATTAATAAATTTCTCAAGTTGGCGCATGTCGTGGCGTTTGCTATTCCAGTCGATCTGTAATAAAAATTATGTCAAAATGGCAACTTTGTAAGAAACAGAGCATCCAAACATAATGACCCTGATTCAAGTAATAACCTCTATCTTACGCTCTTAATTCTCAACTGATAAATTTAATATAATGAAAATTTGTTTCTGCCATTTGACTGAAACACTTACTAGTAATTTGTTCAGCAACCCAATGTTTTCCTGATGTTTCCAATACCCAGGCTGTTGTTGCATCGGCAATTATAAATGAATTATGATATACCAAAGTTGGATCCGATTTGGAACAAGGACCTCCTTGTCCATATTTTTCTAATAGTTGAGTAATTACTTCTAATGCCTCAGTAGCCGAGGAACTTCTTTCTAAACCTAATCTGCAATGAAACAGCATTTTTGTAAAATCAACATTTCAGCTATCGAACGTCTTCCATTTGGTTTGGACAAGTGCATGGAAAAACTACAGAGAGATAGCATTAGAGCGAGCAGTGTTACCAGTTTATACGGCGTGGCCAACGTTACAACAGGATCACCTTCAATCGATTTTTTTTAAAGCTTTCATTTGTTACTCATATTTTTTTTTTTTTTTTTTGATAAAACAAAAGATTTTCGAATTATCCGTGGAAAACCACTGTAAAACATGCATTTTAAAAAAAAATCAACAGGTTCAATTGTGAATAACTGACAATATTGAAAAAACTTCATAGAACATTTTTTTATCTTAGAATTTTTTAATTTTAAACTTATTCTTAACTATACCATAATTTTATAGGAAAATCATATATTTTTTATTTTAATAGTGTAGCTGTAACAAGGGAGAAACAAATCTATTTTGGAATAATAATAATAAATAACTTTATTTTCGCAAAAAATTTAAATTACAGAAAATGTATAAAACAGAATCAAAAAAATAAAAGTTAATCAATAAAACTAATAAATGTTAAGATGTTTGTTTTGCCATAAAAAAGAACAGTAAAATACAGAATTATTAAAATAATTATATACTAAGAGAAAAAATATATACCATCTATATAGAAAAAATTCATGCACTTATAATATGTAGGACAAATGTAGAATAATAAAAAAATATATCAGTAAAAATGGGGATACATGTAATACATAAACAGGTAAGACTATATTGAATATTTTTTTAGTAAAAATGAAAATAATTAATAACTTTATTTGAGATTCCAATACATCAATAATTTTATTTCAGTCAGTTGCCAATATATACCTTTTTTTCTTTTTATGTCATGGTTGTACTATAATTACCTCAGTAAATCCATTCCAAGAAGCCTTTTAACACTGGGATCATGATCCCCATCATTATCATTAGTCCAAACTGCTTCATTTCCAATTACTACACCACATTCATTTGCACCCATTTCTGCACCCCACATCCAATTGGGTTTACTTAATATAACAGCTTTAGTAGGTCCGGCTGATTCCACTTCTATGTAAGTACACTAAAACAAAAAAGATGAAAAAAAAAAACAATGAAAATGAATTGATAATTGAATTAATATGAAGTAATTTAAAACTTTTATTTTTCATCTAATAGTTAATAATTATACACATTTTTAGATAAACAATTCTATATTTAAAAAAATCTTTCACATGAAACAACTAATAATATGATACACCCCTATCTTACTCGAAGAGGTGGCGAACTCCGTACACCCTTATCAAGATTAACAGTGGGTCAAAACTCTCCATATTAGCAAGGAGCCATCTTGTTTAACCATTCTGTTAGAATTTTAGGCAATATAGAAAACTTTAAAAAATTCAAATTTATGCTGTTTCAGTTTCTTGCAGGTAAGGCCTTTTACTCTGTTGATGAACTTTTAGCATATTAATTTTATAACTTAAAATATATTTTACCTAATGTTAATTTTAACTGTCTTTTATGTTAGTTTTCTGTATATTATCTATTATCTTAGCTCTAGAATTTTAAACTTGTATGAATTGGACAGTGTGAATGGTGTTTTTGTTTTTCTGTTTTTTGTATGGACGTACTGTGTATGAGCTGACTAGTCTGATAAGTTTTTTTAAACATTGTAAAAATATAAAAAAAATACTTTATTGATGAATAAATTCTATTCTATTGTAATTATTTAAACTTACCTTTATTGAACCTGGAATGTCTGCTGCTGGTACGTAAATTACTTCTTGTACCTCATCCCCAGGTCTATCAGAATTTTTACCAAAGATAATTCCATTTTTAGTTAGAGGTGGTAAAACAACAAAAGTGTCACAAGAAGTTGGATTCATCTAAAACAATAAAAAAAATATTATGTTTTTATTTGACAAACACTATTTTTAGTATTTTTATTTATCTTTTCCCAACACTTAGATTTTAGATAATATAACTTACATAAATATATAACTTTATTATGATTAGATTGCTTTTTCACAAACAGGGGAAAATTTAACATGCAAAGGGCAACATGGAAAATAAAAAAAGATGTGCTTATTGACATGAAAATTGCATATCAAAGTGCTGATTAATACAAAAGTAAAAACAAATCGGAGAAGAGTGACCTGAATAAATTCAAATTGTAGACAAGGCTGCATCAAGAACATCAATATTTAGTCTCTTCTCTTTGAATATAGATTTTATTTCAGAAGATATTTTTACCATTGCCATATAGTACATTATTCTTGAAATAATAGTAACAGAATAAAAAATAATATTAAAAGTAAATTTAATTGAGAATGAATATCTCACCTTTGATTCAATTAACACTTTTAAAACAAAAAATTGTATTAACATATTGCATTGTGTGGCCGCCTAAAAGGGCTTAAACACTGAAAAAGAATTTACACTTACCATTAAATGAAGAAATACAAAAATAATAGGTTGCCACCTCAGACTTATTACGGTCTGTTTATTTATATATTCCTCTTCCACCTTATGGAAAGGAGAAATTTGATAAAAAATTAATAGAAAAATTATGTACGGCTTTCGGCTTCTGACAACTTGTCAACACTTGTCAATGTCAATTTAACTTTGACAATTATTGACAAGTTATGCAATTTAAACTTTAAAGATCGACCAGTCGGAGTCGGAGATCGGAGCTTCCGAAAGCAGAGATCCTACAAAATAAAAGTCAACTAAATGCACATAAATTGTTATAATATGTTAATGAGATGAGACATGCTGGCAAATAAATTGTAATCTATTCTAAATCTGACATTAAAAGTGAATAAAATTTATAAGCAGAACATGAATAATCTTCGTGAATCGGAACTCCTACTAGATTATTCTCTAGAGTACAGTTGGATTTGTCAATTCAGATCTAATGCCTTGTTTCTACGTGCATGCAATTGATTGTATTGGACTTTGGATACGTTGCGTTGGGTTTGTTCTGGTTTCTGTAAACCGTCCTAGATCCAGTGGAATTCATATTACCTAATTTAACGATAGCTTATTTCTAACAACGAGTTTTTAAACATTCATTGCGTACAATTTGTAAACTTTCCACTGTTCAATTCCCGATTCATTTTTAAAAGACCAAAACAAGTCAGTTGTTTTAAATACAGGAACAGCTTTTTTATGTATTTTTAATTCCTGCCTGTAAGCTTTGATAAGGTCAATGATACTCTAGTAATATAGATAGATTGTTTGTGTTAAAATCTGATGTACATATGGATTATTATTTTACAATATAAAGAAAATTAGAAATCGTAAAAGTGTTTTGCTGCAGTTAATTTAATGTATTATTTATTCATTTATATGAAGGTGTTAAAAAATGTATTTGTACGTAGTACTGGTCAAATAGACACATCCAAACAGGTTAGCCACGACAGAAAAATTAAATAATGGATAATGGACAGAGTTTGAGTCTCAGATAAATAAATAAATAATAGATACAGCCCTATCATGCAATATTTGTAACCAGCATCTCCTCTCACTATACAGCAGTGGTTACACGACTTGATTGGATATTCGCTATTTTGGTTACACACCTGATTGGTTAGCAAAAAATTGACAGGACTACGTTAGTTAGGTTAATTATTTTATGGTTATTTTGTGGTTCATTTTGAGTTTATTTCGTACTTTAATTGAAAAATTTTTGTGGTTTAAGTTATTTTAGTGCATTTAATTGCTTAAAAATGCCAGTGAATTGTATTGTGTGCTCGAGAAAGTATCTCAAGTTCAGTTCGATAACGTTTCATAGGTAAGTAAATAAAAACCATTACCGTTGCATCACACTTTTTTGAGGGGTATCATAATTCAAAATAAGGTTTAAACAACAACAATTTATTTTAAAGTTTAAAATAACATTCAACGTCGAATGTAGAATTATTTTATTGTGCATGTGTTTAATAACTTTGAATTTATTAATAGGCTATCTTTAAATTAAAGTTATATTGTTATGCACACTGTACATTTAAGAAGGGTCTAGTGGCATTTACTTTAGTTATAAAATCTTAGTATTGCTTCATTTTAACGACAAAATATATTGTTAGAACACCATAGTTATTTTAAAGTATACTATGTTGCATTCTGTATTACATGAAATCCTATATACCTACCTATATGAATAAGAAAACACTCTATTTAGGTTTCCAAAAGATCCTCAAACTAGATATATGTGGATGAAGAGTTTGGGTGTACGTGAGGATGAAGAGTGTATTCAGTAGAATTTGTTCAAGACATTTCTGCCTTTGCTAAGTCTCCAGGAGGAAAAATGTTTTTAATGAAAGGAGTAATGCCCTTATTTTACTCACATCCTGAAGCTGTTCATCAACTGGAAACTATGTCACATTCTAAACCTTCTACATCTGAAACTATAAATAATAAAAATGTTTTTTGTCTTTGTTTAATTAATTTGAATATTCTAAGTATTAGTACGGGAACCAATAAATTTTGTAATTTTTTAATTACCTATTCATGTTTTTTTAATAACACAATAATATATGCAATTATTATGATATGTTTTCTTATTGTCTAAATTAAAATAGGTTTCATTTATCTCAAGTGAATGTATATTATATTTACTTATTATATAGTTACACGTCACATAATTAATTTAATTTGTAAATTGTGTAGTAGGAAAATGGTTGCCAGTATCGCATCATCCTGGAAATATCTAATTCGTATTCTTGGAGACTTGTCTCGATTCTGCTTACGATCCTTTAAGTCTTTCAAAGTCATCCGTTTTTTCCACAGGTTCAGTCTGAAGAACATCTAAAGCATCCCCTTGAAAGGCGATGGTCACATTTACTGACTTTTCTCGTTCAAACGTCCACGACGAGATTAAAAAATAATTGGGCAGTATAAGAACCGATAATTGGATCAATCTCTTAAGGCTAAGACACGCTAAGATACTTCTGGGTGAATAATATAACCAGGAAACCATGGCAGGAAACAGGAAACATCGGAAGCCTGTGTGAGATCTGTATACCCATTTATAAATGGTAATGTTAGTACCCGTGACGCCATCTATGTTTCAGCTTCATATAAGTGTTTCTCCTTATATCACAGTCATCTGTAGTCTGTGACCCCATAGGATTATAGATCGTACGTAGTACTAAATATAAGAATCAGATGCTCATTGTCTCGTATTACAAGTTCGTATTTCATCTTGAGTTTTGTCTTGTATTATAATCATTACTGAATTACTGTGTTTATCAGAATACTAGAGAATAAAAGCTTACAACAAGGTGTTGTTTTATTGAGTAGTGTATAAATAAGGCATACATCACACCCTGCATCTGCCTGAGCAAGAACAGGCTTCGTATAGTAACAGGGATCCTTACCGGGCATTATCGACTTAAAGGACACCTTAGTAAACTGAGAGTAGTAGAGGATAGTGAGTGCAGATTCTGTGAGGAGGAGGACGAAACCTCCATTCACATTCTAACTGAATGTGTAGTACTCCAGAATCCAAGGGCACTATACCTAGTAGGAGGATATCAAATAGAAAAGAGAGAGATTTACCTAACACGAAGCTACTCCAAATCCTACACTTCCTTGGGAAGATAGGATTGGAAGGGTCGTTATAGGCATTGAGACATTTCCTTGGTGCATTAGCGACAGAAGGGGCACAATAAATCTTTTAGGTCGCAGTGTATTAACACCCCATTCCCAACAACATATCAAGTGAATGTATATTATATTTACTTATCACGTCTCATAATTAATTTAATTTGTAAATTGTGTGGTAGGAAAATTGTTGGGTTTCATTTATCTGTAGTTAATGAATATTAGTTTTAGTTATCTAGGTACCTGTCGCATAATTATTTGATTTATAAATTATGTGAAAGGAAAATTGTTGGCAACTAAATTATTATTATTATAATCACCCCATTATCCATTATTAATTGTTATTAAACCAAATGAGTACAATAACACAACGTCTCTAAAAAATTGCTTAACGTTGTTCTATTTCTAACTGACAAGAATTCATCGAAATTAAGTTTTATTATTCCAGATATTGTGTATTAGAAAACCTTGGCAATATTTTAAAACGGTAATTATGAACTTATCATTTATTACATAAGTATCGCTTTTATTCTAAACTGTTATTATAACATTTGTCTTTGTTTTGTTTTCCAGATCTAACCCAACTATTTAATAAAATGAATTACAATTGTTTTTTCAACCCTACTTTCCCAATTATTAAAAACCATAAATATTTTGTGCACAAAATTTAATTAATTTAAAAGGGACTAACAATAAACAGATACTTTATTCTATTTTTTATTACATATATAAGCGGTACTCATAACAAATCAATAAAAATAATTTACAAAAGAATCGATATTATTAAAAAATATTAGTACAAAAATTTAGAATTTATAAAACATATTGCAACGTTTATTCAAATTATTTGTGTATAAAAATAATGTATGTTTTTAATTTAAAAAATATATGTATTGGTCGACTGAAAAATTAATTTTTGACGGTTTTCTATAAACATCTCATATTAGAAACATTGATCCATTGAAATATCTCAAAACTATAATATAAATCAAAAGCATTTCTATTGACATTTATTTGATACGCTACTGGATAATAAAACTAACAAACCCCGCTCTTCCCCTAACAACTGGCTTGTATATGTTGCTTTCAAACAAACGCAATGTAAATTTTTGACATTCAGTTATCTATTATTATTTATTTATCTGAGGTTTGAGTTTGTTTGTTGGTGTTCTATGAGATATGTGAAACTGACACTGACATTCAAATAACCTCACTTTTCACCACCCAAAAACTAAATAAAGGTGAAAATCATTATACATGAATTTCAAATGCTAATATGAAATGTTTAATAGTTTCGTTGGGTATTCTATTTATTTGCCACCTAGTTCATTCCTATGAAGGTACTATTACCGAAGAACTTTTAATTAAACCCCTCTATAGCGAACAAGTATACACACATTTTCAATTTTCCACTAAATGGGATATAGATCCAGATAAAGAAACTTGTAAGTACTCTTATTATTGTCGAAATTATATATGAAATAATTAAATTACATGATATCGTTTTTAGTCCGTCATAGCCCTTTATTTCCAAGACCTCTGGGTGAAATAGTCCAAAGATTTGATATTCAAGAATTGCATGTGACTTTAACCAGTGGTTTGTGGAGATATGAAAAATGGGGCTATCCTGTCAAAGATGCAGCTACAGGTGTAGAAGTTTTGGCTTGGTTTAAACCAGGTTCAGATGTAGACAAAAATTGGAAATTACTAGCTAATTCTCTCTCAGGATTGCTTTGTGCTTCACTGAACTTTATTGACAATACAAACACTATTAAGCCAGAATTTTCATTCCGGCCAAGGGGCATTCTAGAATCAAATTTGTTAAACAATTCATATGTCAGGTAAGTTAATTACAGTTACAAGTTCTATCTTAGCACTGAATAAGCCAAATAAAATATTCAACACAATTTTTTGTTTAAGTGGGATTTAGTATCGTGAAAGTTCACAAATATGTAGAGTGGGCCGCTGAAATCAGTCCACCTTATATTTGACAGTACTAAATTGGCCATTTATTGGCATTATTAGAATTGCATGAAGCCAAAACATATTCTGAACTCTCTAGAATATTTTTATATTTATCTGAAGTTTTTTTATTGACTTCTACTTGTTTTGTTCTAATTCTGAGAGACTATAAACATGTTTTGCTTAATTATGAATTGTTCATCAGCCCATTCATTTCACTAGTAACTGATATTCATTTTTAGATTATTCCAATCATTGTCGCCCAAGTATTGGCACCTGTTTTAGATTAAATATATTTTAAATTTTAAGACGAAAAAACAAAATTATTTTATTAAAAACGTACTTATTGTTCTTTAATTACTGGGAAATGAAGGAAAGCAATATCTAAAATACACTGTTTTAAAATATTTCTTCTTGGTGTGATAATACTCGTGTTAATACAATAGATGGTTGTATTAACTTTGGAACTTCTGCCAGTTATTTGTATTAAAGCTTTACCATAGGTATATTGACAGTTTCAATAATTGGTGGACTATGTGTTTTTAGTTATCCACTGATTGACAGTATATTTTTTATAATTACACAAGAGATTTCAATCGTGATTTCAATGAATTTTATTGTAAATGCATCTTTTATATTCAATTTAAATCAGTTTGGCCTGCAAAACATTATTTATTAAAGCAAATACATGATGCTATTTCAGATTAAAAAATTAGTACTTATATGTCATTTAGTTTCTTAAAAGTAATAATTTTAATCAAGGATCAATTTTTATTGTTATTTTAAGAGTTTATTTTTAAATTCTTCATTGGTATGAATATAATGAACTCGTTAATGAAGCAACTTTTACCATTTTGGTTATTTTAAAATTATTGTAATCTAAATTTAATTGAAATTGGGATATCCCAATTAAATTTGAAGTACAAGATATCTACAAAAAGTTGTACAGTAAATTTAATTACAATTTCTGAGGTCGAAAATAAATCGATTTAAGTTAACTTGCATGTATAAAAAAGTGTATAGTAAAATGGACTGGCCAAACATATAGTAGTTAAGGCTTGTACTTAAAAGTGATATTTATCACAAGATTACAAATACAATTTGTATACCAACGATTTAGTGCATTAGTCTTAAATGAATTACCTAATAAAAAATCATTAGGTAGCAAGAGCTCTAAATATATATTTTTAGGTCTTTAAAGTCAAATCATTTAAGAAATTTAATTATTAAATGATGATCTCGTTTTTCTAAATTTGTATTATATTTTTATTTATAGATATGCCAATCTACCACATGAAATAGTATGCACAGAGAATTTAACGCCATGGAAAAAACTGTTGCCTTGTGATTCAAGAACAGGGCTGGCATCATTATTAAACTCGGGCCATATCCATAATACTCGTTATCACTCAATAGGTTTGCATTTAAGACCCGTTTGTAGGGATAAGTCTTGTGAATCAATGTCATTAGAGTTGCAGCAAACTGTTTCGTTAGTCTATGACTACCTTATTCTCGGTACAAAAAATTGGTCATTAAGGAAACTTTTTGGACAAGGTATTAATCGAAAATGTGTATTAGTGAGTAAGAGTGATGTTTATGTTGACACAACAAATCAAGATATCGAACTGGAACCTCCACCAGATGAAACTGTTACATCGGTGCGAGGAGGACAAGTAACTACACTTCAAAAATACATAGTTTCAAATCAGTTTTTAAATATTTATGCCAAGTTCCAAAATGCTGATCTGGTATCTTTAAATTTACCACCTCCTCTACATGCTAATCAGTATTTGTCGGGTTATGGGCAAGAACGAGGTGGAATTGTTACAAAAATTTATAACAATCATTGGAAGCAAATTGACGTTGTTTTGATGCAAAATATACCCTGGTTTATTCCGATTTATTTACATACATTAAAAGTGACAGCTGACGGACGAGATATAAAACCAATTCAATTACGTTACATTCCAGCCAGACAGAGAGAAAGACCAACTTACCTAGAAGTTCTTTTAACTGTACCTGCTAGAACAGCTACTTCAGTAGTCATAGACTTTGATTATGTTTTTTTAAAGTGGCAGGAATACCCCCCTGATGCTAATTTCGGGTTCCACATTGGATCTGCAGTAATATCTTCTTATCTACCGGTAGCAAGGAATTATACCGCTGTTCCATGGGATGGATCATTAATTTCAGACAGCTTCAATGCATCTCGTAGTGGTTACTTAGTAGAAGTAAGAACTGAAAATCTGATAATAACATTACCGACTCCTGATTTTAGTATGCCATATAATGTGATATGTTTAGCTTGTACAGTAGTTGCTTTAGCTTTTGGACCGTTGCACAACATTACAACTAGAAAACTTATTTTGAAATCGAAGAGGAAGGTTTTATTGATAGAAAGAATCAAAAAATTTTTGTTTTCATTGAAGAAGACAAAAACAGAGTGAGTGTGTATGTGTGGGTGTATTATTGTATTCTTTTTTATTTGTTCTGCAATAAAAGACTGAAAATTCAATAAAAAAATACAAAATTAAATATTTATTCTTTATTATATATAACCTTTAAACAGCTGTAATCTACAGATAGTATGTGTAAAAGGCCTAAATAGAACAAGAACAAAGTGTTATAAAATAATGCAAGTGACTGTTTCTCTCCGAAAAACAATTAGTTTTTTAGCTAATGCCACAACCGGCATTATATTTGATTTGAAAGGAGTTGGACATTATTTGTTCTTGTCCACCGCGACTTTTTCAGATATATTGTGACACGTCTTCTATTCTCACTTGTGTGATTTGGAAGTCGTGGGTGGCGCCAGGCTTTTATTTCGAACAAGGGTTGCACATGCTCCAGTTTTGATTACGCGGTTTACTCTGCGACCCTCAAGTGCACCTAGAGGGCACCTCAGTGAAGTCAGTATCTCCAGGCGGACGTATACGTATGGGGTAGTACCAAAATAAAATTAAAAAAAAATATATCCACTCCTAAAGCGGTAACCACTTCTTTAGAGGTGATTCTAGACGAGCTAGATAAAAGGGGTCTGGTTAAAGAAACGCAAGAAATCTATATACAATGACATATTTCAAATAAACGGTAACCCCGGTAGGTAATATTAATCCCAAATAATAATAATAAGTCTTTATTTACAACAAATTCCCCACAACAATAATAGTGAAACTAATATAATAAATAAGAACGGTAAGAGAAATGCTCTTAATACTTCGGAATTTCTGACTCAATATATAATTGAATCTTCAAAATGTTTATAAAATTGCCTTCAATAAAGTAGTAAAACTAATATAATAAATATATATTAGTAAGATCGATGTTCTTAATATTAAAACTAATATAATAAATATGAAACTTTAAGAAAAATGTTCTTAGTGCTTCGGAATTTCTGACTCATTTAACAGTATAATTGAATCATAAAAATGTTTATAAAATTGCCTACAAGAAAATAGTAAAACTAAAATAAATATACAGTAGAAAAACGGATGTTCTTAATAGTAAAACTAATGTAATAAAGATGAAACGGTAAGAGAAATGCTCTTAGTGCTTCGGAATTTTTAAATCAATTAACAGTATAATTGATTCAAAATAGTAGTTTACGTTATAAGCCTGCTACCACTAGATCTTTACATGCGAGCACGATCGTTAATGTGCGAGCGCTAGCAAGCACGTTATATGACCGTGCGAGCACGTAGAGATCAGGTAACGGCGTGTATCGTACAACGTTTAATGATATACTGCAATTTAATACGTTTTAGAACCTAAAATCAAATAATATTTTATCATCACAAGTTTCCGAATGTGACTTAAAATAATGACAGTTCAGTCATAATTGTTGTTATAATTTTTACCGTGCTAACTTGTTATGACTCCCTTAACAACCATAAAAATGTTTAACGAAAATAGTTTATAAAGTCAGAAAATAAATAATTAAATCCACGATTTAAAATAATTTTTATAACACACCCTGTATACATGTAGTTCGGAAATTCTGACTCAATTAACAGTATAATTGAATCATCAATTTGTTTAACAACAATAATATAGCATCATAAAACAATGAAATCCATAATTTAAAATAATTTTCAGAACACACCCGGTATATAATACGTAGTTAGTAAATTCCTTGCTTTGCGATGCTATGGCTGAATGAGTTTTATTTATCACATGAGAAATCAAAAATACAGGAAAACCAAGGGTGTGGGTGCCGCCGTTAGACCAATGAGTATAGTCGGATTTGGAAAAATTTGATTTGGTTACAATTCTACCATGGGAACTAATTCCAAAAGGGATGAGAACAGAGATAATAATAATACTCTCCCTAATTCACCCCCTTACGAGTGAATTTTAACCCCAAAAGCTGAGCTTGTCCGGAGAAAGGGACGGCTCATATTCATTAATTGATAAAATATAATATTCACGAAGTGACGAAAGGTGACAAGTAAGAGAGGGGATAAAGAGAAGAATTTTACGCAGATACAACTTTTTTATCAATGAATAAATATGTAAGCGGCTGTGCGCTTATAATAAACAACGTAAATATCCATGCCGGTGTAAGCCCTGTGGCCACTTCCAACCTAACATTACTAAGTTTTGGAATTTATTGAAAATTATTACATATAATTTAGTGAAATTACATCTAATTTAGTTAAATTTGATATGACTAATGATTCAAAATGTTTTGGGTTTAGTTGCAATAAAATAGGTTGAATCATTTTAGCTTTTTTAATATATGTAAATAATTTTGTAAACAGAACGAGAATAATGAAATAGACATATGAGAACAGCGGATATATATTATACCCTCCTGTGTCCCTTAGAATATATCTTATTCAGGACCGCACGATATTTGTTAGTAAATACAGCTTCTATTATTTCTGGATGTGAATAAGAAAATAGCGTTGCTCGAGATCGACTGCTACTAGGGGATTAAAGTTCCCTCTGATTGCCGAAGTGACGGGGAATTTAGTGGCGGCTTTAAGAAGTTCCGTCCTCAATACCAGCCCGCTATAAAACTGGACTGGTTTATCTTACGAAAGTCCCGAAATTCTACGCGTGTCCCAAAATTCGGTTTCATATCAAGTTTTCGCAGATTGCCGGAAGGGCGGAGAATTTAGTGGCAGTTTTAAGAAGTTCCGTCTACGATACCCGACCACTATAAAACTAATCTGGTTTCTCTGACGAAAGTTATGAAAATCTACGCGTGATCCAAAACTTTTAATTGAAGTTTCTCAGACTATAACAAAGGATTTTTTTTCGACTATCTCCCTAGACCAAATATCAGCGACTATTTCTCTAGATATATTAGTTGATATTTGGTCTAGTGAAATAGTCGTCCCAAATATAACACGACCTTGATTGATATTCTGCTATTATCAAGGTCTTAGTATGACAATAAAATTAATCTTGGTGGAGAGAGAGGGAGAGGCCTCAACGAAGCTGGTTATATTTTACGCTCGGAATAGTTCGATCTTCCGAATGGTTCGTAGTGGAAATAACCGATATTTACGAATGGGAGGACTGTAAAAATTACCTTTTGTCATCTGCGAAATTGACCAGATAATTTACATGTATTTGAACGTTTAAAGCTGGATTCGAATTTCAGTAAATAATGAAATATTTTGAAATACGGGGGTTCTCGCAAATGTTCAAAACGGGAATTTCTAGAAAATAAAAATACGTGTGTTCTTGTGAAAGTTATGAGGCGGAAATTAATTTAAACTTAATATTTTATAATTATTATTAAAAATTTAGTAACTTCGTCACACTTTTGTAGAACTCTGTTATTTAGAGTTTATCGTCTAGCTTGGTATTTTTTATTAGACTTAATAGCTTTGCATTGCTTCTTCTGTTGGACTTGCTGATTGGTGACTTGCTAATTTATTATTTCTCTTGCATAGTGTTGTATGGTTATTAGTTCGGACTGGAACACTTTTGTGCATTCTCCTAAATTTAGCGAAATCGTTGTTTTCGACTTAGGCCCAAAGATTTCCGAGGTGCCCTTCCGTAGTCGGCTACCTACTTTTATAGACACCACCCCCTTTTTATTCTCCTCAACCGCTTTACCCCCTTTACTACCCACCAAAGGTCTTCGCACTTTCCTAAAATTCTTTAATTAAAGAAAGATTTTTAAAAAAAATGTAATTGACGTCTTGAATTTATTTTATGTTGAATAAAAAGCCATATTGTGTTAAATGTTTTATTTGTTTTTATTTCTTATATTAAATTACATTACTTATTAGAATTTAATACATACATTTAACAAAGAATTTGTTTTCTATTTTGTTACCATTGAAAATGGAAGATTATCTATATTTTTATCAAAAAGTCAATCAATAAAAAATATTTACTTCACTAATTGCATTAGTCTTATTAAGGTACTAATTTTAAAATATTATTTTGAAGAACCTAACAAAATATATTTCATTTATAAAAATCTAAACTTTATTATTCTGTATATATGATTAATAACTTATATTATTAATTACCTGAGTTATCTATGTTAATATAAGATGATATTGTATTACAAACTTATATGTATAAAAAGGTAGTTACAGGTAACTCTAAATCAACAAATAAGTATCATAGTTAAAACAAGTATCTTTTTAATGATGTAAACATACATTAAGCTAAAAATATCTAAATAGAATTTAATAAAATCACAGCATTTGTTTCATTGTTATGGCTTTTAGGAATCTAATTTCTATTTCTACAAGGACAGTCTAATAATCCACAAAAATAAAAAACATAGGTTTCCTGTTTTGTGCTGTACCTATTTAAAAAGAACCAACCAAGACTTCTGGCATTTATAATAACGAGTGAACCACAAAAAATGTTTCTAAATTAGGCCGTCCGTGAAATTAAAGAATTAAATCCAAACTTATTTAAAAAAGAATTGTATTCTTTAATATGCGCTTGACTTGGAGCTAGGCTCCATAGATATGCGTGGTTTCTCCATGACCTTATTTAGAAACATTGTGGATCAGACCATATAATGTTTGTTATAAATTATCGCATTCACTGATATAGAAATAAATCACTTAAATTTGCTAGCCCCTTTGAAAGTCAAGAATGTGCGAGGAAAGCTGACAGAGTTTCCATATTCAATATTTTTAAAGAAGAATTCCTTTCATAATACAAACTATAATATACCAAACAATGTTTACATAATTGTTGTGTCAATGACAAATGACAGCATTTTTCACACCTTCCATTACTGCCTATTATTTCTTTATTCGACTATACATACAATGAATGCGATCTTGGGTAAAACTACCAATTATTCACAAAGATAGCAACTACTATGATATAAGGAATGAAATATATCTGAACAACTGCTGCACCACCCCCATCTCCTTTACCGCTTTCATCTCCAATATGCCTTTCTCTTCCTTCTCTGGCTTTTGCTTCAGCTTTGCATATACTTTCGCAATCCGTGTCCTCGCATAAATCGCAAAGATGAGTCGTGGTACCCCTGTAGAAAACTCTAGCTCGTCGTGCTGAAATAAAAAAAAAACACACTATAGAAGTCTAAATATTTTTAATAATTAATTTAATTCTATTAGGCATTCCAAACAAAATAGTTGCCTGATGAAAATAACGCACAAACCCATATTTTAAAAACTCATCTTTGAAATGTTGGCTATTTATTAGATGAAATACCCAACGCCTTTTTTACGAAGTTTTGTTTTACAATAACATGTAAATAACAACCGGGTTCATACCCTTCAACTGTGGCCTCAACCCTCTTTTCACATGCGGGCACTGGAAAACGCAGTGATCGAAATGTCATACGTGCGTTCAGAGCGAACGGACTTAGCGAACGCAGTGAAAACGTATGACCAACGCAGGTCCACACATACGTCTGTTTTCGAACGGACGTTCACAAACAGAGTGCATAAAACCAGGCGAACGGACGTACATTTCGAAATGCACGTTTTAAATAACGAACGCAGGCATCTAGAGAATAGACGTTCGTGGCGAACGTCCGTTCGTGCATAAAACGATACATTTATTTCAATAGAACTGGAAACGTCCGTTTTCAAACGGACGTTCACAAACGGAGTGCATCCAGACTTTGATTGCAATGTATGTTCTTTTTATTATACACTTTTTATTTCTAGTACTCTAAGCTGGTTTTATGCAGTGCGTTTTTGAACATTCGTTCGAAAACGGACGTCTGTGCGAACTTACGTCGGTCCGGTTTACTAAGTCCGATACATTAATAGAACTAGAAACGTCCGTTCACAGAGTGCATAAAACCAAACTAATTTAAAAATGTCTTCTCGCAATACTAGCAACTCTAGTTTTTACGTAACACTAAGGATAGAACTATTAATAAAATCACACACTACACCGTGTTTTGTTCAAAATTTACTGCAAAAGCACAAAGGAAAGTTACCGTTATTTAGACCAATTATGTACAAAAATAACTTGATAGACTAGTAAACGAACGTTTGTAAGTCCAAAGCACGAAACACTAACCCTGTCAAATTCATTAGGCAACCATTTGGACAGGATGTTGGAGTACAGAACCGTTCTATATTTATATATGCATGTGTACTATGATTTAAATGTCTAACAAATCATATTACATATGCGCATAAAAATTCAGAATGGTTCCGTACTGCTGTTAGAACAAACCTTTTATCTATATAATTCTTGAAAACAAAACATACCACTGTCGTAATAATCATATAGCACCACCGGAACTGGTCTCTGTTTTGCCACTTTGTATGTTCTGTAAGCGGATATTGTTGGGCAGTACTCGATTCTTGTTAGATTGTTGAAGTACAATAGTACTTTAGTTAATTTGTTCCTGGTTTCCACTTTTTGTACGTTTTCTGAAAGCTCCAAGCTCGGTAAGGCATCTACATCAGCTGTAAATCCTGATGGTAAATTCACCTCCATGACGGCCATATTACTGATTTCTGTATCCGTTAAATTCTGGCTCACAAACCTGAAACAATTTTATTTATTTAAAAATTGAAATATGTGTATGTTTTTAGAACGAAAGTGTATTGCTGGAATCCAGCAGAATATCTTTAATTATTTATTTGTAAAATACGAAAAGCATATAATTTTTGAATAGAGTAGATATTACAATAGTTTAAAAATGTTCCACAATTTATCCTTTTACATGTCCTATGGTATATAATTGTAAATTATTCTACGTTTAAATATAGTTAATAATATAAGACTATTTTTAGTTCACCATAAACAATTTATATATTATAATGTAGTTTCCGTTAATAATTCTCGTTTAAATTTCATCTTGGTTGGTTACTTAAACATTTAACATCTACTATTTTTATACTTTTTTGACGGATACATTAATTTTTTTTTGGATACTAGTTATTGTATATTACACTAAGTTTAAATATACTTTATCTTATACGCAGATTTCTACTTATGCGTATGTTTATTGGGTAGTATATATTTTATTTTCAGGTAGTGATCTGTGGTATTGTTGTGTAGGTCTTTTCTCTTTGTCTACACGTGTTTAAAGATATTGATTAGAAGCATAAATAAGTTTATATATTTTATTTTAGCTATTCAATAATTCCTGCATTTTAAAATAACTTCTGTTTTATAGGTAGATGTTTACAGAAAATCTTATCCATCGGAATAACCAAAGAATTTTTCGCCAATTCGAAAAGGTGGGATAGATATAGGAATATAGTAAAAGTAAGATATACGTAATAATGAACATATTTTGTTTTATTTTTGAACTGCGAAACTTGGCCAAACAAGTTCATGACAATATAATACATAAAACAGTGTGCGCGAAGGAATTTAAAATAACATTCTTGATACGGTTGATTTAATTATGTTCGTTATTAATTTCCGCTATATTAAAATTTACTTACGCAATACAAATAGATATTTGAAGATGATTGCTATTGGAATTTTTGTCAACTTGAGGATCCAAAGTGAACATTGGCCAAGGCGCTGTCACGTTGCTGTTGTATTGATAAGAAACTTTAAACATTGCCAGTCCACTTCCTTGTGCCGTAACATTAACTTCTCTAACGGCTTTGCCGATCTGAAATATAAGTTTTTAATTAAAAATACTGCCATGCGATCTATTTTCGACTAGTCCGGTCATGTTCTAATCCCTTCGATGAATGCTAATGTAATTACAATTTTTGGCGAAATCACTTAGTCTAGTAAGTCTAGAAAATCGTGGAGGTGCCTAGAATCTTCGCGAACAAGTCTGGAGCGCCACATTTTTATTTAAATAGCCCACTTTGTCGTTATAAGTCAGTAAATGTATCCTTGGCTTCAGTTAGACACCAGTTGTTTTCACAGTAGAAATTGTGAACGTAGCTTAAGTTCAGGTCATACTGACAAGATCGCCATCTGATCGTTTAAGAGAAGTTTTCAGGCTGAGACCTTCGAGCATATATGCTCGAAGGCTGAGACTAAGATCAAAGACTTGACGATCCATAACAGTTCCACAGCAACGATTTTTCGCTTTGTTTTGATTTGTATGATTTTAATTTCTATGGTTAAAATAAAAAATGTGTAGGGACAGTTGTTTGAATGTTAGAAGAATTATATTAGGTCCCAAATATCAAAAATCGAAACCAAAAATAAAAAATAAATCAAAATCGTTACCATATAACTGTTCCGGGTCGTCAAATCTTTGGATGGTCTCTAAGCTCGACAATTTCTTTTCAACGATCAGGGGCCACGTGTAAAAACTACTGGCCTCTAACTGAACCAGTACAATATAAATGTATACATTACCTCCATAGACTGCTGTATCATCAAATTATTTCTATTCACACTAAACTTTCCATTGCCCTCCTTTCCATACTGGAACTCAATCTGGATATTGGTCGGTCGTGCTAATTTAGTTACTATTTTATACAGAGCTTGTAATCCTACAATTGTATCATGTGATGATGTAAATCCCCCAAGATTATTCTGCTGATTTAACAACCATTCCAATACGGGCACAGCGTCGTCTAATAAATTCGCTTCTACGAACGTCATTAACGCGTAAGAAGTTGCTTCTATATCGATGGATCTCGGTAAGTCATGCCAAGGATTTTTTATTTCGTTGATAGGGGTATCTTTGGCCCACCATTTCATGTTGTCCTTCGATTTCGCTCGAGTGTCTAGAAGATTGAAAGCGCTTTGTCTGGACGCGTGTCCTGTTATTTGAAGTGCGTAGCTGCATAACGCTAAGGCGAATGTTGATTCGCTTTCGTCTATATTTCTGGCTATATAATCCAAACCTTTGTTGATTACGTTGGTAATGGTCGGATCGTTACGCTGAAACAAATTATCAATTATTGAGGTAAATGGTAAGAAACCCCACGAAAAGAAATTTGAAAAAATAACCAGGAAAAAACCTCAATTTTAAAGATATTTGAAAACTTATTCCCACCCTTAATATTTTCCTTCCAGTAAATTATATGAATAAAATTATTTTCAAAAAAGACACCTTTAATAAATATTTTTAGTCGTCGTGATTCAACCCCCTATGATGGGGGATCTTAAATGGGAAGAGTGGTTAAATGGCACATCATTTTAAACGTAATATCAAACATCGAAGCGACAACATCTGACCAAGTAGACAATTACTTGGCTGTAAAAAGTGTAGATAAGAACAAAATTCACCAAAACCTATATAAAGTATTCCAATTTAATAATATAAGTTGGAGATTGAAAAACTTTGAAGCAGCAGCAGAGGACTTTAAAAATTTTGAATATCGAAACCAACTCTGTCACTAAAATTAGATGAGCGCCGTAGGTATCAAGGATTTTTTAAACTTTTCAGAGGATAAACTAAAATTCAGGAACACTATTCTATCTAGATCTAATGTTTTAAAAGATCTTCAATTAATCTTTTAATTCTTACCTGGTTGGATTCTTGTAGAGCCATAACGATAAAAGCTGTCAACGCTAAACTGTTACCATTGTTGTTCTGTAGTTCTGAATGGATAATATTACCGGTTTCATAAAAGCTGCCATTTTTTCCTTGAACATTAGTTAACCAATTCAAAGCATTGTCTATCACCTCTTCATCTACATAAATAAATGCTTTCGCTTGTCTGAGAGCCATGACAACATACGCTGTTAACCTAAAATAGGTAAATAATTAGTAAATATTTAATTATTTAAAATGCATAATATACGACCACGTTTATAGAGCAAACTAGCGAAAATAAATAATAAAATAAATAATTTGTACCTTTGCTTCAAAACTGAAAGAACTCAAACATTCACATCTTTGCAACCCTACGCCAATCATCAAAATGTTTTAGCGTACCTTAGAAGGCGTCTGTGACATTTTTGAGGATTTAATGTAGGGTTTGTTTACAAATCCCATTTATGGTATTAACTCAAAAGATATGAATTTTGAGTTGTGTCACTTTTGAAGCAAGATGCGAATTAATAAACGTATAGGCGGCTGAATCTCATTTTATCTCACTATTCGGTTCACATTTCGACCAAAATATTTTTGCAATTGCTGCATATCCAATAATATTTGGAGTTGCTTACCAAACACTACCAGTAGAGTCTTTCCATTCAAACGGACTGAACGATCCATCTTTTCTTTTATAACTCAACTGCTTTTGATAACTGGTTTCCAAATTGAGTACCGCCTCGTTCTGAATAGTTGGTGTCAATTGACTAGTGGCTCTCAAATATTGCAATATTATCAAGTTGGACATCAAGTGAACTAAGTTTTGTTCTCCACAATCTGTTGGAAGTCTTATAACGTTATCCAAATGTATCATTGCAGCTCCTAAAAACGATCCAACTGCAGACACCTCGATTTTTTCGGATCCTGTAACGGCATTCTTCGGAATTGTGAAGTTTATGGATTTTTTGAAGTTTGGATTGTTTCGGACATCAATGAGGACGGATTTGGTGTAATATTCTAGTTCTCCCCCGGGCTGAAAATACAATAGACTGATAAAAAGCGAAGTTCTAGACGGGGTGATCAATAGCTTAATATGAATATTTTGAGCCGTTTAAAAAAAAATATTTACCACAACTAGTAGTTCTTTTTCGATTACGTCTTGATTATTAGGGCTACTTGCAGTAACTTTTATCGGAATTGATCCAATTTTACTACCAATAATTAAAAATGAAACAGTAGATTCGCTATTTTTACCAATTTTTACTCTCTTTCTTCGATAAAGTTCCACTCCTGAAAAATTTTAAATTATTTAATAAATTGCCAACATAGATGCATTAGTTGACATATTATGTGCCAATTCTATTTTATTTTAAAACGTTCCTTTGTTTAAGTTATACAGAATTATGAATTAATTCCCCAATAAGTCCTTCTCGGGTTAGTTTAGGTTATGGGGGACTTTCAACTGACGTAAAATATATAAAAAACATAAATCATAATTATTTATCTGCCATTTTAGTGGTAGTGCTTCATAATATGGTGCCTTACGCGTTTAGCAATACCTCCCTATAGCAATAACAACACAAATCTTTTAAAAACCAGATGGTAGATGACCAACGAACGTACCATAAAGAATTATATACAATTATAAAAAATTCTAACTTTTATAGGTTAAGCTTTGATATTCTGCAAAAAATAATATGTTTCTCATTTACAACTGCTCAAACTGATAACTGCAGTTGCAAATACGATTTTCACCGTACGCTCCACTAAAAGCCGTCGTCTCTGTAAATAAACATATAATTAAAAAAACTTACTTTTCACATTGTTATCCTCAGTTGAAGCTACAAATTCAAATTTGTTTTCTATATTGTGCACAGTAACTTCTGCGGTGACATCTTCATTTAAATTGTTTTGAATAACGATGGGAATATTTAGTATTTCATTTCTTTGTATAGAATAAGGTAGATCCAACATTATCACCATAGATTTGGTGACTTTCAGCAATTTGGCTGCAGTAGAAATTCCCAAACCGTGCAGTGGGTCCAAAGAAAAGCCCGTTATTGACCACGTTGTAAGAGACTTTGGTAAACGCCTTCGTATTGAACTCTTTCCTTCATAGGTGGAGAAGTTGTTGAACAACCAAGTATCCGCAATGTCTTCTGAAAGATACACTTTAGGTTTGTTCCAAACCGGTCGTGGTATTCTACTAAATGCATAAGGGCCTGCTAGTGGTGGTCTTGTGACTGTATGTATGGGTAAAACTAGACCTCGATCAGGCTTGATGGTTGAGGATCCATAAAATACTGGACGAAGATAGATGTCTTCCACTTAAATAGTCAAAAACGTATAGATTTAGACAAAGGGTTTAAAATGTGAAACAAATAAAACTAACGAAAGTAAAATACAAAGGCTTGAGACAAAGATCGGTTACAAATTTTCGACAATTTCTAATTAAAAAACTCAAGCTTTACAAATTGTCAATGCGTTCGTTGAAAATTAACTTTCAGACAAAAGTTAACATCTTAACGTCTTCAATTTGGGTTCATATGGACAAATAAAATTTATTGTATTCAGTTTTCTAAACTTAAGGAATAAATTATTTAACCTACATCAGCAGCTGATGTAACTGTTCCGGAAGAAATATCAAGTCACATATATCATAAAAAGGAGCTTTAAATCATCTGCAAACAAGAGTTTCAGTGGCGCATATACAGGGGAGGGATGATGGGGATAATTACGCCTCCAAAAATTTTTAAACTACTAAAATGTATTATCATTAAAATAAAGTTTTAAATATTACCACTACCCCCCAAACTTAAATTCTGAATGCGCCTCTGAAGAGTTTTGAACAATAAATGAAGTAATATCGTTAATAAAGAATAAAAAAGTAAGGGTTCTATATTAGACCCTTGAGGAACCGCTGATATAGCAGATAATAATTTGGGTAAGAATTCATTATAAGTTACATAGGTACTGTTTTGTTAGGATCAAAAAATATTTACATTAATTTTGAAAAAACGAGTTTGTTTAATAATATTTATGTGTTTAATCTTATCGAAAATCTTTTCAAAATCAGTCAAGATAACATGATAATTTGTCCACAGCCATGAAACTATGTATTAAGTGCCTCGTGAGTTGATAAATTTTATTATAAATAACAATTTTAAAAACATTTTCAAAATTATTGAGAACAGAATTGAGGGTATAAATATTTAGGAAAAACGGATTTCCCGACTTAAAAATGGACAACCCCGAGCTATTTTCCTTTTACCAAGTGGTTAAAGATATAATTAATAATTACAAATATATGTTTATATATAGCTCTTAAAAGGAGCGCAATTCAAAATAAAAAGGTAAAAAACTAATAATTTAGTTTTTAACAGACTTCAAAAGAGGAGGAGGTTCTCAATTCGTCGCGATATTTTTTTTATGTATGTTCAGCGACAATTCTTTAACACGGTGTCGGTTTCAATGATTCTTTTTTTGTTAGAAAGAGGGTACTTCAGGGGTGGTCCTATATATATTTGGTCAAAATCTAATAATTGGGTCCATGAGAAAATCCTCAAACTTATCATTTTTTATGTATGTTTAGCGATAATGCTTTACCACCTTGTCCGATTTATATGATTCTTTTTTTGTTAGTAAGGGGGTACCTCAGGGGTGGTCCCATATAAATTTGGCACGTTTTTGAAGTCGTTTTTTTTTTAATTTTTAATTTCTAATACTTGTATTCGTAGTTTATTTGCAGTAGTTAGGGCTTAGGTGACAATCGCCAAGCTGATTTTCATTTAGATTTAAAATTGAATTAAAATTCTTATCAAACGATTACTGACGTTCTCTACAAATTTTTCGACTACAACATATAATTAGTATTTTAATTAATAACTCACGTGTTGGCTTCATTCTATTAATATGTGTGTTGGTTGCTATATCTGCTCCAGATTCCTAAAAACAATGGAGAAATCATTAAAAAAAAATTATTAAAAAGTAACGTTTTCATCAAATAAAATTAAAAACGTAATAACTTCTCTACATTTCATCAAAATTAAAGTTTGCTACATTTTTGGGCATGGTCTCTGAAGAGCCATGGTTGATATAGAGCCACTACCTAAAACCTTGATGATTATTATTGTTATTGATCCCACTTTCTTCTTACTCTGCTATATTAAAGGTTTGTATTTTTGTATGTCAGTTATGGAAAATAGTTGTTACAAAGGATAGATTGTTAAAAGAGAGGTTGTTCAAGAAGATTATCTCGCCTAAGCGGAAAAGCTGAGATGATAATGAGAAAATCCAACACATTATCTGTATTAATAAAAATTAAGCATGTATGTTCAATGCTGCGTTCTAAATAAGGAGAAACTCTTTGTGATTCTATAATGGAATGATTTTTATATTTTAAAATAAAAAGAATGTGGTCTGTAAAGGATCTATAGCCACGCCTGCTTCACATCATTTAAGAATCATGCGTTTTTAGTTGTTTTTACCAATGATGTAATTTACCATCGTACAAGTACTTAGATATTTCTTAGATTTTATTTTTTAGAAATGACGACTCTATTTTGCGCTATTTTTTTACTTTGGTCTGTTGCCCTAATCTATTTAAATTGGTTACAATATTAGATAAAGAATTATAAAGATTATATCACTTACAATGTGATAATTTCGTATAGGTACTTTTAGTTAAAGCAAACATCATATACTTTGTATATTAATTAATGCTATAAAGATCTAGTAGGCAAGCTTGTCATGTTATGTCATTGTTGTTGTACTCTAACTGTAAATTATTGAGTTGTTGAAGTTTAAAAATGTCATATAAGAGAATTTTGTCAACTCTTATTTTGTGAGCCATCGATTGAAATTAGAGTATATTGTAAATTAACTATTATATTAAATACAAGTTTAACTCTTATTTATATAAAATACTTACAAAAATGGCGGTATGTGGATTGCTAGAACCAGGATACCAAGACAATTTCGATTTAGTCTTCGTAAAATGAGGATACGGCGTACCGTGACCAGGATCATATCTTTTCAGTTCTTCAGCGATATGGTCCAAGGATAAATCGTAACCAGCCTTGAGACGGCCAACATTTTCATCTACAGCTAGTAGGCCAATGTAAGAATTTTGTTGTGCTCTAACGATAAATTCTACATCAAGTTCGGGTTCGCTCTCTACAGTGTTAACTTGTACATCAACCTGGTAAAAATAAAAAATTATGTCCCTGTAGACACAGCGTTATAAAAATTATAAATACTTACGAAATTTTGCAGTAAACCATCGACCTCTATATCTAGAGCATCCCCAATCAATTCACCATCAGGCCTGACGTAGTAAACAATCAAATGACAGACTGGCACCATAGCGTGTGTAGCGGTAAAATGGAATTTGAATTGTTTTTTGTTTTCCACTTGGAAAGTGTTTGTTATCAAAACGTCACCGCGTCCCATTAAAATATAATTCACTGATCTCATTGGTTGCGTACTGTTTACCACTATATCTACATCCAGGTTAACAATGGGACGTTCCGTTTCTAATGTAGCTTGAATAAAGTTGTCGCTGAAAGACACAGCCGCTGGAATTGGGGTACTTCTTTCTTTTAAATCTCTAAATTCAACCTGAAATTTTGTGATACATAATAATTATTTAATAAGACATTTGCAAAGCATGTGTCAAATGCGTTAGGCAAATCTATATCAACAAACTATACCCATCGTTAGAGGTACTTAACATTTAATATTTTTTTATAAATGTTAAAAAAAGTCTTGTTTATAGGGAAACCGAAGAAACAGACAATTTTGTACGGCAAATTTAAAAATAAAGTTGATATTCATACCTCGAGTCTTAAGGCAGTTCCATTTGTAACATTCCTTGGTGTTAAATATTCCAATTTCAGAAAACCGTTTTGGTTTAGTTCATACCTCTTATCTTCGTAGACTTCACCAGCTCTAGAGTATCCGTGTCTTACGATAACTTCTCTGTTGTTAGTTTCTATTGGTGTACCATCATTGTTTGTCACTTGAACCTAAAACAAAATTGTGTTAATAGAACTGGTCTGTAGCATGATGTAAATAACGAGGTGTACCATAATTTTAGGGGGCTTAATGAATATTGATCGAATATTTCCAGTACTAATTATTAATATTCTTAAAATACTTACGTAAGCCGTATATTTAAGACCAGGTTTAAAATAATCAGCAGATTTAATAAGATCCATGTGGTAATCATATTTATGTATGTGGACTTCCATACTATTATTTTGTCTACGACCAGTAAGGTGTTCTTCTACAGCTACATCAATAATGACAATTCTTTCATATTCGTCGTTGAGTTCAAGATCTCTTTCGATATCAAATTCTACCGTAGCAGATCCGTCGATATCGAATACTTTTCTTACTGGATTTTGGAAGATCGGTTGAATTACGCCTGAATAAATAGTTGGAAAAACTGTCACTGTAGCTTCTCCTTTTACTTTGTCTCCATAATTGTACCTGAAAACAGTTTATAATCCATGTATTTTGAAAATATAATAATAAAATAACAGTAAGATAACAATATTACAGTAATATTACCGTAATATTACCTTAATTTCACCGTAATATTACAGTAAGGTTAAGGTTACAAAATATTTACAGTAAGATAACATTAATATAACAGTAAAGTAACGGTAATATAACAGTAAGATAACAGTAAGATAACAGTAAGATAACAGTAAGATAACAGTAAGATAACAGTAAGACAACAGTAAGATAACAGTAAGATAACAGTAAGATTACAGTAAGATAACAGTAAAAACAGTAAGATAAGAGTTATATAACAGATAATAGTAAGATAGATAACTGCAAGATAGATAACTGTAAGATAGATAGATTACTGTAAGATACTTAGATAGATAACTGTAAGATTGATAACAGGAAAGCATTTTATAATGTTAACAAGATGCTGAAAGAAAAATAAGTAAACATGTAAGGAAAACGACCAATAAAATAAATTGAAAAATAGTATTGCCGCCATATTGAAGACGTTAGAAAAACCGGGAGAAAGCTGCAACTATACCTAGATATAGAAAGACTAAAAATGAAAACTTCGTTATCCATGAATAAACGATGAACAAAATGATTACATTTTACATAGTCACAGCCGCCGACAACGTTTAAAAAAATATAAGCTCGTGTCACTCTGTAGAACTGAGAGAAATAATAATAATAATAAACTTACCTGGTATCAATTTTGGCTCGAATGGTATTTTGTTTGAAAGTGATATGCTTAGGAGAATCAATATTGACAATGAATTTGGGTAGGATGTATTCAGCAACTTCAATGGTTTTATGGTACGTTTGACCATGGATAGTGACGGATATATTCCAGTTCCCTAAAACCGGTTTGTCGCTAAGTTTTAATTCGCCAGTGAAGACTCCTCTGATTACATCCACTCGTTTCCAGTCTTTTACTCTATTTCCAGAACCATCCTGCAAAATCAAATAGATGATATACAACGTATCTGTAAAAGGTCTTTACATTAACATACCAAACCAGAATACATAGGTACGTTATGAAAGAGATTTACCTACATTTTAATATTATACTTTGTGGATTAAAGTAATACGTATCCAACTAGGTTCCTCTCTTACCCCAAACCCTAATTAGATGGACTTCAACGACTCGACTCTACCGTTTTAAAGTAAAATGTTTGTGGAGAGGTAGCATTTTCCGTATGATCGTAGATATAAGTAGATACCTAAATAATTTATATTCCATTTTGTAACGCTGAATGATGAATTACCATTATTTTTGATAGTATGCTTACCGTAACAAAGATATTGAGAAGTTCATTTCTAACTTCTGCTGCTGGTTTCAGCTGAGAGTTAAGTACAATCGCTCTAAATAGGATATTGCCTCCGGGTCTATAAATCTGTCTGTCAGTCTGTACGAACACTGTATAGGATTTTTGAACGAACTGTAACGGATAACCAGCAGTAAAGTCCATTCCACCAGTTCCACGAACTTCCAATTCGTATTCTCCATCTTCCAAGTCGCCCACCTGAAATTTATTAAAAGATGTGAAAGAAAATTAAGTAGACTTTAATCAATCAAACAATATTTTTTATTTCCACCTCATTTCATGTGTATACTTGTGTCTACTTAAGTTGGAACCATATGGAAAACATTTTTATTATTGATTTTAGGAAAAAAAGTTATTCTTGATAAAAAGTCCTGCATGACCCAAAACCTAAAATACAGTCATCACATATCAAATTTTTCAAGCCGTATACGAGGTTTGTCAAAAAATATGAATTTTGCTCAAGAGTAAAGTACGTTTATTTTAGACAAAAACGAAAATTTTCATTAAGAAAAGTTGATTAGAATTGAATATTACATTCAAATATGCAATAACACCGATCTGGTATTCTGGTCTGGTATTCGAATCCCAGACCAGACCATGTGGATTTTTAATTAAATTGCATGGTTCGGTATAGGATTTGATGTCTGTCGTATTAATAGAAATTCAATTTCTGTTGATATGACATGCAGATTATAAAAAATCGCCATACATTACCGTCTCGATGATGGTGGGTGAGGTTTTCCGGGTTTTCCTCACCTGTAAGTCAAATGGCACCATCAATCATCTTTAGGTCGCCCCGGAGCGCCACGGCAAATATTATTAATAGCCGTCCCTTTCCCCGCACAAGCTCAGCTTTTGGGGTTAAAATTCACTCGTAAGGGGGTGAATTAGGGAGAGTATTATTATTATTATTATTATTATTATTATTATTATTATTATTATTATTATTATTATCTGAAAAAACAGATTTTCTTATTTTTTATAAACTCTACACTCTACACATTGATTGTAAATATCTGAAAACGTTATAAATTACGTTAGCTACTATAAAAATGATACGCTTTCCTTTTGTTGATGTTTGTGAAGAATTTAGCAAATTTCTTAATGAAAATTTTCGATTTTGTAAAAAAATAAACGTACTTTACTCTTGAGCAAAATTCATATTTTTTGACAAACCTCGTATACGGCTTGAAAAATTTGTAAAATGTGTAAAATGTGTGGATATGAAACAAAGTAGAGGGTTTTAAACAAATGTATTTATACATGTATTATAGTTTTCTGGCATATATGGAGAATATAAAAAAGGTAGAAGAAAACTAGAAGCAGAATGAGGATGAGACTTTCTTTAGTAATTTAGCTCTACAAGAATTCATATTTAATTTCTAATATGTATGCTCAAAAAAGCAATTTTTCTTATCCACCAGCTTAATATGAATTTTAGCTTTACCTATCCTAATTTAAAAAATCTAATTAAAAAGAAACATGTTTAACTGAACTAAAGTGGCTACGGTTCAGAAGTATCAACATCGATGCGATGGACTAATTATAAGTACTGAATTATTTCATTGTTTTATTCCAATCAAAGTGATTATCATCACATCTTCATCTTTTTTGATGTTATTATCCAACAGTATAAAGATTTGAGACATCTTATTGTAACTTTTTTTAAATTTAATATTACAGTTATTGCAGGATATCTGACACCCTTTTTTTTGAAGAATTCCTTCATTGACAAAAAATAAACTTATATGTGTCACAGGATCAATTATTTCTATAAATATTGTTGTTGTGTTGACTTTGACTCATATTTTTTCCAACAATGTCAATACCTATGAATCAATCGTGGGTCACTTTTCATGGATTACTAATGTTTGCAAATAACTAGACATAATTATGAACTCTAATATGGTCTGTGGCCTTGAATAAGCTTAATTTTATGCACATCTCGTAATATTTTTGTTCTTGATAGAATTTCTATTTTTTTTTATGAATTTATGCTGACACATGTGTTTACATGCGGAAAAAACTTCTGCATATCAATGAAACAATACGAGTGACAAGGAATGCATTAGAAAAATAAAGAGAGATGAAGAAAATTCAGACATATTAGTGCATACCTACAGTTACATTCAATGAAGTAATAAAAGTAAAAATTTCAAACTATAATAAGTTCCAATACAAGATAATATGAAAAAAAATAAAATAACCTCGCCACGAAAAGTTGATTTAAGAGGAAATTTTATCCAAATTTGGTGTGTTGACTTAGGCATGACCTTTCTATAATTATCTTGATTTTGTTTTCTATTTTAATGGTAATGGGTTACCCAAATGAGATTACTAAAAATTTTAAACAAAAATAGCATCCAACATCCGAAAACATCTCAAAATCAATAACCCGAGCACCAGTGAAAGATACCGACATGCTTTGTGAATGTACACATATGGTGAAGTTTTATCTGACATCGCAGAATATTAGATATAAATATTTTAAATATATTTATATTATTTTTCTATGTTATTGGACTAACTGTTGCCTATAGATTTATATTAACATATAATGCTTTAATTGGGATGAGATTGGGGATTCTTAATGAAATTTTAATTATAATAAGTTAAGATTCACATAGCACACAATAGTCCGTTGGAAGCTAAGGTAGCAGCTTCAGGGGAGATGAAAATTCTTACAAAAAATATGCTAAAAAGGGAATGGCTAATGGCAATGACCCTCTTCGAAAATTCGGTTTGGAGCCACCCTTGTTTGGTTTTTTTATATTTATAGACATTTTTTGTGGATCATTTAAAAATATAATATTGAATGAACCAGAAGATATGATTTTGCACGTATGTAGATATTTTTGTACCAAGTAAATATGCGTTTATAGAAATACAAATTAGATTCTTACTTGCAACGAGCATAACCTGGAGCCGTACGGTTGTATAACGACTTGATCTTGAGTGAAGAAGGGCGTACCATTGAACGAAATACCCTGCAGGAGTGCAGTCACGGTTGTTGGTTCCGAAGTGGCCTGTACGCTGACGGCACAATGGTATTCGCTGTTAGGCCTGATGACCCTCGGCCCCACAACATTGTAATACCTACGCAAGAAAAACAGAGAATTAGTGTGGGAATACTCTCGAGGACGTGGATTGAATTCGTTTTATTCTGCTGGGATTTCGAGATTTGGTAAACAACATAAATATGTAATCATTTTTTTGCAATATAAAAGATATCTTTAGTCGTCGGCAGACAATAACGACATTTATTCGAATATGCAGGGTGATTCCAAAATTGAGACTTTCTTCTTTTTAATAGTATCAATAAAATGTTAAATTCGTTAAATATGTTGAATAAATTATTTCATTTTAAATAAATTCCAGAATAAAAAGAATTATCTTTAGTACAAAGTCCAATAATCTCTTATATCCAAATATAGGTTTTACCCACAAGTAAATATTGTATCTATAAAACACCCTGCATCTCTATTATTAATGATGTGAGACTCATAAACTATACGTTTGTGTATACACGCATACAGAATTATTCGCAGTTACCAGTAGCGGCTCGTAGCCAAAATATTAGGGGTTCACAATGACGAAATATAGATCTCAATGCAGATGTAGGTTTACCCGCATCTATAAAGTCTAGAGAGAAGGAGGCGAATCAACAATGGTCAAAATTCAAATTTCCGTCCTTTTTATAAAGTTCGCGAAATTGACTGTAGTTGGCATGTCGAATAACAGCGATGTCAATTTTCTATGTAAGTCAATGTAAAATGAAGTGATTTTTTAAAAAATTGGTGAAAGGAATCAAAATAATTTAAAAAAAGTACTTGAGTACAAGTAACAGGAGTGACAAAAAATATCAAAACATGATTATGTCGTTCCAGATTGTAAAACAGGATACAAATCAAATGTAAAACTAAAGAAAACACAAAGAGAAATCAATTCACTGTCTTTTTAAAGCTTCTAATACAAGTAAAATAATGTATTTATGTCTAAATATACTATTTGTTGTAAACTAGTCACAATATGTATCTTACGGGGTTTATTTTATTACAAGTTTCTATAATGTAAAATTTTACAGTCATAGATCCTGACTTACAAACAACAATAATTATACATTAAATTTAACTTAGGGAGCGTTCAAGTATTACGTAACGAATTTGGGGGGGGTTGTAAAACGTTACGATGCGTTACATGGGCGGGAGGGGGGTTTGAACTACGCGTTACGTAACTTTATTATTTTTTAACCCTTCAGAAAAGTCGCGTAGAGAGATTCTCTCACGCATTTTTTAAAACGAATTTTTTTCTAAAAATTTCAAATGGAGTGACATAATTGTGATTTTTAGGTAAAAATAGTGGTTGGTGGTTACGTAACGTTTTGCTAGGAGAGGGGGTACAGAAAAACGTTACGGCGCGTTACATGGGGGGGAGGGGGGTTAAAAATATCCAAAAATTGCGTTACGTAATACTTGAACGCTCCCTTACTAGAAAAGAAAATTTATTTTTTATAGAGTTTTAATGTTAGATAAAGAGTTGCTACTGTTATTTTTTTATTGGACCCCATTTGTGTCATTGTATTTTTTTTTATAGGATACTAAACGCTTAGAACAGTGGCAGCATATTTATCGTTCCTAGTGCCGATAAAGCACTTTCTAGAGATGATGCTGTTCTATACTTTTTAAAAGATATTATCAAATATTATGAGACTATTTTTACTGATGGTGTTGTTAGCAAAATAAAAAGGGGAAAGCTGAAATTAAAGGATGAAGTAATACCATGTACATTCCCAAATCTTCCTTTATACTTGTATTGCAACAATAAAAAAATCTGTTAACTGTGTTTTATTTTGCTCTTAAAACTATAAAATTTCAGCATTTAACAAACCTTTTCGAATTTGGTCATACCTACCTAATTTGTATTTTATATCGATAAAATTATATTGCTCTTAAAACTATCAAATTTCAGCATTTAACAAACCTTTTCGAATTTGGTCATACCTACCTAATTTGTATTTTATATAGATAAATTTAAATAATTTATCAATTAAAACGCAAGAGTTATTAGAAATAAATACAACAGTAAGTTATGTGCTTTATTTAGCTAAAAACAAGTTTATTTTTATTATTTTGACATAATTATGTATAATTCCCATAAGAAGCCATGTATTTTGAATACAGTAAGCAGAACCAACGCCCATGCGGTTAATTATAAAAGCTCAATTAGTGTGCGTTTTTTGGGACCGTATTTTCAGTATGCCGATTCGCCTCCTTATCTCTAGTCTTCATACCCGCATCTATACTGAGATCTATATTTTGTCGTTGTGAACCCCCAATATTTTGGTAACCAGCCGCCACTGAGTGTGGTTCAATAAGTCCACAGTTACCAGTAATGGCTCGTGACCAAAATATTGTGGGTTCACAATGAAGAAATAATATAGATCCAATGCAGATGTAGGTTTACGCGCATTTGTACCTACTGAGATCAATAATTTTGTCATTGTGATGCCCAATATTTTGGTAACGAGCCGCCAATGAGTGTGAGTCAATGAGTTCGTTTAAAAGAGAATGTTTTTTGTTACAGATGTAAACACTTATATTTCAAGAAAACAGTCAGATGAACAAAAAATTTTAAAAGTTATCAAAAAGAGTACAACGATCGATGAGAACAGAAACCCAGACTTTCAAAATCCTATTTTCTCCTTTTAAAGCTAAATAGTTTTATTGGTTTATTATAACACGGACATTAAATTTTATTTTTTAACTTAGTCGTCGATAATTAACTGCTTTTTTAAATTAACTAAAGCCGCTTTAGTAACACTTTCACTTTGTTATTCGACATGCCATACGATTGTTATTTAAGTAGGTGTAAATTATGCACTAGTTCGCTATTTTTAGTCATGTGTTCGAAACGACATTACGATATTATATCGAGTATGTTTCAGTCAGTGGTTTAATTTAAATTTACAAATAACAAGACAGCGGCGGATCTATAGGATTAATTTGCTGGAACACTTTTGACAAAGAAGCACGTAAACTAATTTTCAAAAAATATAGGTACTGAATGGTTCGTTTTAGTTATGACATCTGAAAGATATGAGTAATATAACTAAGGCGGTACTGGAACACAATGGTAAGCTATCCATCCAGTTCTCAAGTTGGATGGCTTGGGTCCTGAAGAAGTAGCCGAAGAAGAAGAAGTGATTGACAATGACCGGAAGGTGCGTGACTGAACTGTACTCACCTCCCTAAACAGGCAGAGGTAAAAGAAATGTCGCCGAAGGTGGAAAAAGGTAGCCCGGTGTCATAAGTACAGGTGTGTCACCTGTCACTTATACAGGTAAGCCTAAAGAGTATTGACGACCCTCGCCCACTCTAGTCCATATTTTATGAAAGAGAAAGAAGATCAAATCTGATAAAGACCTGATTAATAGCTGATCAAGATCTGATTAAAAAAAGATCAATACCTGATCAAAAAAAATCTTTGAGATATAAACGAATATAAATCCAGATCTAAACTGTTGTTGATATGTTTTTATTTAGGTCATGATCAGCTTTTAATCAGGTTTTGATCAGCTTTTAATCAAGTTTCATCATCTTTGATTTTTTTTTCTAGGCTAGGAGAGGCTCGTCAATACTCTTCAGGCTCACCTGTTTAGGTGACAGGTGACACACCTATGCCATCTGTAATTATGACACCTGGCTACCTTTTTCTACCTTCGGCGACATTTCTTTTACCTCTGCCTATCTAGGGAGATGAGTATAGCTCTGTCACGCACCTTCCGGTCATTGTCGATCACTACTACTTCTTCTTCAGCTACTTCTTAATAGACGGATACCTTACCATTGTGATCCAGTACCGTCTTAGTTATACTACTGATATGTGCAAAATCGATAAAACCGCCTGTGTCTCTCAGACCCATTAACCATAAGTTTTTTAGAACCCTGTTTGTATCCACAATTATCATTTGCCCGTTTACAAATGACACACCTTGTATAGTGGATGCTTACACAGGGTGGCCAGGTGAAAACGAAACAGAGCCACTATCAAGAACTTCGTCAACATTTTAGACAAATGATCGAACCCGTCAATTTTTGATTAAAGATTTTTTATCATAACCTCAACTGTAATACGTCATTCCCTTCCCCTCTCTAACTAATACCAATTTAAATAGGGAAAGTACCAAGTATGACACATCATTGGATGGCCATGTGATAGTTCAATGCGTGCCCTCTAGCGACATATGAAACTGTTACGTATTTTAAAGTGTGTCATTATTTCATTTGAATGTTAATTTTATTAGTAATGTGAAGATAAACATTTTTAATTTTGCCTTATTGCGATTAAAGTTTGAACCTATTTCATAGGGTTAGAGCTCTGCAATATTTTTCAATCATTTGAGTTTATGTTTCATTCAACTATGTTTTGTTATATTGTGCATTAAATTACTAAAAATAGAAGGAACATAGAATATCTCGGATAGTCCGTCAGATAGTGACAGGTTTAGGTGCTCCATTTTCGCATACAAGCCTCGAAGAGAGTTGAAAAGCTCATCGATTTTAAGTAGAAAGAAAGGAAATTTACGAGTGGCTGCTGGGGATAACACATGGAAAATTCGATTTTCCATAACAAAAACGAAAGGTTATTTGTTGCCCATTTTTGCACGCAAGCCGTTTTCACTATATGATTAATTAATAGAACTAGGTTTTGGAAAACCAAAGGCTTTAATGTTGCAAGTGGATTGAAATAAGGGTGTAATCTTCTGAGGGAAAATCGAAATTTTTCCCGATTTTTCCACACAAGCCCATCGAATGTATGAAAACGTACGGCGTCACTAGTCCGAAAAACATATTTTCTTGAATGACCCGAATGTATAAGTGTATTTTGGGGTCGGAAAATTTTTCTGAGAAGGAAAATGGAATTGGTCACATTCGAGAAATTTAAATTTTTTCTTCTATTAAATTACTAATGACATTAGCGTTCGAATGAAGTGTAAATTTACAATTACTAAAAGTTTTTTTATCCCGCTATAGGGTGCCAGAATCAATAGTAACGCAATGAACTGTCATATATTCCCCATAAAACTAAGCGCACATATAAATTGTATGAGTTAGACTCTAACTCATACGTCATTCTAACTGTTAGAGTGACGTAAATGGATGGATATGACGTATTGCAGTTGAAAATTGATGGACGTTTGCCTAAAATATTCCTGATAATTATTGCTCTGGTACATTTTCTTCTGGCCACCCTATATATTTTGTAAAACATTGAAACCGTATAGATATTTAAGTTTAACTTTATCATCTATTGATACTTTCTCATCTCTAAAAAAGTTGTCAAATAATTTCAAATATAAAAATTGTGAAATTAATATATTGAGATCGCAAATCTAAATCCAAAAGATCAGAATTATCTGAAATAAGTTGTAAAATAATCTCAAAATCCCCCTTCGAATTATTAAGACCCTCCCCGAACACCAAAGGTGGAAACAAATACTTGGAGATTTGAAAAAAGCCTATCGTCGCCGAGATTCGAATCCAGACATCTTTGTTCTGTACACAAATGCCCTTACGGCTAGACCATTTGATGTACTAGTTCGGGCCAGACAGCGTTCCAGGCTCGTTCTCAAATCTTCAAATACCTCTATTCGCTCCGTGCGAAGTCATAGAAAGGGAAGCAAAAGCGATATTAGCGCTAGCTGCGGATAATTCGTGCATTTTAGGACGATATTTTATGATTTTGGCATATCAAATACACGTATACATTTTACTTTTTTTCAAAAAAGTAGGTAAAAACAATACAATAAGCAACCGGAGTTGCTGTGTTGAAAATTGTACAAATACTAACAAAAAAAAAAACAGTGAAACTTATATAAAAAATTTCAGTAGCAAAGTGGAAATTAAATCAAAGAAATAAATGGATAGGTGTACAATAAGAAGAAAAATTACCTTTATTTTTGTAATAATAACAGTAATGCTGGAAATAGTAGACATCGGAAACTTGAAAGGTTTTAAATAAACAATAAATGATCATTTTACAATGTTCTTTAATATTCCTTTATTCTTAAATGTTCATTCAGCAAGGACTAGATTTCTAGATGCCTCTGATTATTATATGAAGCTAGAATGTAATTTTGTGACTTACTGATGGGAAACCAGTTTTAATCATTCGTTCTATGTTTTCTTTCGAAGAAAAATAAAAATAAAATAACGATTCTTTTTTTATACATTAACTTCACTCTATTATGAAATGGTATTTTTTTATTTTGACAGAATAGGCTAATTCTTCAATGACAACTTATTAGAGTTAGGCAACTTCTCATACATTTTCCAGTAAATACTGTTGCCTGCCTATATTTTATTATTGATTTTCTTTCATTTAAGCGATAAAAATATATATTAATAATAAATTAATGTTTTACTTGTTTTACAAATCCATATACTTTTATTAAAACTAACATATAAACTTTTTAATTACGAGTTCTATTAAAAATTGTATTTGTCAGTATACGCAGAAATAGTCCATTAGTACCAAAACGAATTGGCGCTGCTGTCACGCACGGAGCGAATACATGATCGGTAATAGAACAAAAAATAAGCTTCTGTCTAGCTAAAAATCACTGGTGTGAGATTTTCACCGAAAAAAAATTTAAATTTTTTTATATAGTGCCGTGCCTAGTATCTTATGGATAAGCCGACCCTGGCCCTACTAAGTTTAAGTAAACATAAGAAAGTAAAATAATGATGAAGAGACAATGGATAAGCTGTGGTTTTAAACACCTTTCTCTTTTCTGATATACATAAAATATATAATGAAAATCTAATAGAGTTTAAAAATTATTTATATAAAATAAAGTATGTTTCAAATTTCAATGCGTGTTTGGAAAATAGTTACGTGACATTTTTTTTAATATTACTTTCGTTAATATTGTAGATGGGTTTAGGTAGACTGAATACGCCCAAGCAATTTTTCTTTTTCATTCGCGATCTTCATTTCTATCAATTGTATTTTCAATGAGACAACAAAAGGTTCTAGAAAAAAAATTTCACCTCACGTGTTATTTGGAAAGATTATTTTACAATATAAATAAAACTTTTATAAACAACATTTTGCTTTGTTTCAGTAAGGGACCATCCATAAATTACGTCACACGTTAAGGGGAGAGGGGTACGACGAAATGTGACAAGGGGTGGGAGGGGTCCTGAATTTCGTATCGTAAGTATTATGTTTAATTTGATGTTGATTTTATTAAAAAATAATGTAAATTGAAATAAAAATAATTTCGAAACTACAGTTTTAATTTAATAATTTCTAGATGTAAAATTTCCGTAAAAAAGACAGGAGTGGGTTAAAAAATCATGAAATTCGTGTGACGTAATTTATGGATGGCCCCTAAGATGAAGTCGAAAATAATATCGATTCTTTATTTACGATGTATATTTGAACAACCAAAACGATTTTTGTCCATTTTTCGTCACCTTTTTGACAAACTTCATATTGACGTTTCACATAAATCTTACTCTGGTAATGAATTGAATTTTTTAAATCCAATCGGTATTATGTGAAAACACTGCACCAAGCAAGGGCGGCTCTAAGACAAATTTTCGGGGAGGGGAGGGGCATTGCCTTCAGTGGTTCTCAAAGTTTTTTGGTGACGGAACCTTTTGAAAAGCGAAATATTTGACGGAGCCCTAAACAAATTTATAAAAAAAAGTCCTCCGAGCAAAATCCTCCTTGCTCTAGCCTCTTGCCAGGTCCCTCCCGTTTATTTGCAGAGCCCCTACAATAAAATCCTCAAAATCATATCATCTTTCATCCTTCCTCTGGCCTCCCTCTAAAAAGAAACAGGTCCTCATACCAAAATCATATACTCCTTCCTCTTCCTGATTTCTAAAAAAAAAGGTCCTCAAGCCAAGTACCGTTGTAGAGGTACCTACTGTTTTTTTGTTATGACTATTATTTTCTTCGCCAAAGGCTTTGCGGAGCCCCAGGGCTGCTTTAGATATTTCCTTTTTAGCATATTTTTTGAATAAAAGGCTCATAAATCGTAAGAATTTTCTACTCGGGGGGCCATGGGCCCTATACCCCCCCTGGAGCCGCCCTAGGCACGAAGTAGTGTTTTCAGATACGATTTGTTTTGATTGACTTGTGTTGGAAAAAGAGGATTGTCATTGATTGACGTATTAATGTGTTAAATAATAATTATACTTAAATTTTAATTAGACCTTCCAAAGAAAAAAACCGTCAGTGGAAAGGGTTGGTATATACATATGATGTATTCTATCTACAATACGTGAAACCATGAATAATAAATTAAATTTAAATATTTTATGTCGAACACAAGCCCTTCCCACTAGCAGCAACTGTTGGAATGTCTAATTGTTTGCTTACTGCTGGTCTGTATAGATACCAAATCACACACGATTTCATCTATTTTTTTTTTTGTTTTCAATATAATTTTGCCTGTTCCATTGGTTTTCTATCTATTTATCTATCTATCTTTTTCATATCAAGTATTCAGTACCTTTTCTTTATTTTTATTATTAAAAATTTAATCATTTTTCTTCAATTATTATTCTTATCTTTTTAAACTACCTAGTCATTCCTAATTTTACGTTGTCTTGATAATTTTTAACTTCTGGTGTTTTCCTCATTACTTGGGCCAGCCAGCTACCTTAATGTTTTTGTTTTTTAATTTTATCTGTTTTTAGTTTTTTCGTATAGGACTTATCGACGAAATAAATTTACAGAGAACTTTGGCTTAATTTAGTCGAATTAATAGGGAATACATAAATTTTTACTTTGAAATTATAATGATTTTATTTATAGGCAGATATAATAAAATCGCTAATTACAACAATTAAATAACTTAACTCTATTTTCAACTATTGAAAACGAGGTATGTATGTAATCTAACCTTGAGTATTGAATAAAATCATAAATATCCAGTAAAAATAGAAATTCTATATTTCCTCTACGATAACCACGTAAACATAGGTTTATGCAGTTCTTTTAGCGTGAAAATTTATTTTCTTAAGAAAAAATTAAACCCAGTTATAGATATAGAAAATATATAGACAAATCAAAAGAAAAAGATATAGTATGATGTGTATTTAATTGAAATCTAGAAAAAATATAATTTAAAGAGAAACGTTAATAAATTATTGGCAAATGTTGGCGGAATATTGAGTAATTCATTTTGAAAAAATGGATTTGTACCTGTGGGAAAATTAATGTTTAGACAAAATTTGTTCTACGGGTAATACTGACAATATTTTATTTACTGCTACTTACCCTTGACTAGAGATACTCGAGATCACTAATGAGAAAATTATTGCAACGGAAACAATCAAACAACAATTTTCTCCCATTTTTTATATCAATTTAAATCTATTTTTTATAATATTTGTACAAGATTATTTTCACAACACTTTGAGCCAAAAAATCGATCGAAACACAAAATTCAGCTACCCCACAACATTTTATTCGCGTTCAAAGTTGCATTTGTCACCTGCCCTCGCTGGATTACCTACACATTTGTCGCGGAAATAAACTAACTCGCGCTCTCTGCCGTGTTCAAAACAAGTGGACATTCTACCTGTTTAAGTGTTTGTTCTCCTACTTTCAGATTTTGGACCGCGAACCGCGGCGGCTAGTGCTTGTCGACCAGTTATCTGTATTAATAATAAGATTTCTCTCGCGGCTTGACGAAGAGCTAATTTGTTATGACAAAAACAAAATATTAGTAATTATGGAGTTTTTCTCTTAAAACTGGTATACTTATATAAACAGGTAGTTTCTGCATTAAATAAACATGAACTTTCACTCCTAAAACGATGCTAAAATATGAACTGCTTATCGTCTTAGTTTAAAAACATCATTGGGAAGTTGAAGAAACTGTTATTATTAGGATATATAGAATTCTTATGAGGCAAAAACTAGATTATGGTAGTTTTATTTACATTTCTACCTCCAAGAGCAACTTAAATTCAAACGCCATTCAAAACACTTGTGCCTCAGAGAATTTAGAACATGTCCAGTAGAAGGTTTGTACTGTGAATCTAAGTAACTCCTCTTTGGCTTAGCGGCCAGAACCTTTTTCTTTCTTACGCTGCTAGTATCTCTGCTAACCCTTCAAACCTTGTTTATTCAATTTTCGTATCTGACAATATAACTTGTCCCTCAGATTCTAAAACTCTTACTTGGTGTACCATACCATTTCCCATTTCAAAAGGTCTTTCCTAGCTAAAAAAAATTCCTCAACTCAATACCTCACTTAGCCAAGTTAATAAAAGTAACACTCCAAAGGGAATCTATACGATTTTTTTTACAACACCAACAAATTTAAAAGAATTCTATTTACGGATGCTCCTATAGATCAGTTCGGTGTAGGATGTCCTGTTACTAGTGTCACCTCAAGTGATGGATCCCAGAAGTCCTCCTTATTGCTTTTATCATGCAATATTCATACTGGGGATCTTTATAGGATATACTCCAGGCTTTAAAATTGCTAACTGCAGAAAGATGATCACGTCGCTATATGTACAGACTCCCTTTCTTCAATTCAATTTACTCTATTAAAAATGTTCAACATCCCTTGGTTCAACAAATACACGACTGTTACAAATTTCTCATGTCGGAATTGCCGACAATGAGGAAACTAATCGTATAAATCTAGCATCAGAAAATATCCAGATAGTTAACGAAGTAAAAACCGTATCCAACAAAGCTCCAAAATCAATGGAAAATCAAGGGCACAATATCACTAGTTCGAAACATTGGAAAATTCAGCCAACTCTGCGCCATTTCGAAACGCGCTCTCTGTCAAAAAAATAAAATACGATTATTAAAGGACTCAGAATTGGACACATGAGATTGACTCATAAACATTTACTGTCTGTCGAAGATTGCGTTTATTTTAAAACTCAAGGAGCTAAAAATAGTTTAAATGGTAGAATTAGATATCCTAGTGAATTTAAAAAACTGTTTAATTATTTAAAAGAGGTGAATATATTGGGCGCTTCCCTGCCCATCTTTTTAAAATTGGCCTACTGGATTCCCCTATATGTACATGTAATAGTTCCTCCACTGCAGATCTTAATCATATTTTTTTCAATTGTTCAAACAATTATAATTCAATTATCCAATTGTATAAAATGCTCATTAATATAAATATATTCCCGCCCTATAATATTACGTACCTACTTGCTCTTGAAAATAAATCAATTTATACATATCTCACTAAGTTCCTATCATCAATTAACCTACTAATATAATTTGGTTTTAAAAATCATTTTAATAAAGTTTTTGTATATATATTCCTCATTTTGTGGCAAACAGACTTAGTCTAATGCCATTCTCTCTCTCTCACACACACAGGTGAATATATTCAGCCAAATTTATATTAGTATAAATTAGTTTTTCAAATCTACAGTTTTTCTTACTGCAAATTTTTGTTTTGTCAAAACATCTAGAATTTTATTTTTTGTCATGTGTTTAGTAAGTTTATGTAATCAGTAAGAATATTATTGTACCCGTGTCAATGACGTTAATTTCAATAAAAAAACAAACTTTTTACAGTTTATTTTAGTCGATAATTCTTAGGGACAATTACCATCAAAAACAAAAAAAAATAAAATTATGTTTTTTGCATAGAGTAATGCATACAGTAATGCAAAAAAATAAAAAATTAAACTTACAAATAATCTATCATTAATGAAAGAAAAAAATGCAATTATGGAAATATGTAAATAAAAAATCCCCAATAACCCCTACGAAATTATGAAAATTACACCTTCATGTCCCCAAAGTGAGAACAAAACCAAAGAAAAATTGAAAAAAACTGAGAATTACAGAAAGAAAAAAATGGATATGTCGACCGGGAGTCGAACCGGGACCTCGGACATTAGCCGTCCGTACTCTTACCAACTGATTTACTACTGAAAATACGAGCTTCATTCTGGAGTTCGCTAAAACTCGTGCCAAAAATACCATTCTGTATGCTGTTCGCGTAATATCCAATTTTATTTAAATCTAAAACTATTATTTTCACTTCATCGATTTCACTTACAATAAATAACCACTCAAATAGTCACTTAAAAAGCTCTTAATAATTTTTTGACGTTTACGAATGACAGCTATTTAGAAAAAAGTACCTACTTGGTTTCACAGATCTAGTTAAGTCAGTACCCGTGCCGCAGTATCTAAAATAAACTCCATAAGAAATGCATTGCATTTTGAAAACGCTGATATTTTAAAGCTCTAAAGTTAAACCGAAAATTAAGAAAATCATTAGGCTTATCGCCTGGAATAAATTACCAAGTAAATCAAAACCGCAAGTCGATCTGATCTTCCGTTCTAGAGTTATCGTGTCGGCGCACATACATTCATAGATATACACGCACATACGACCACATGAGATTTTTTTTCGTTTTCTGTCAGTCATTTCAAATATTTAATTTAAAATAAATGGATTTATATTTTTTTATTCGAATGTGTCAAAAAACGTCGCTTTTTAGTCAGAAAACATAATCGAAAAGTAAAACTTTGCAATATTACGGTATGTTAACCAACGCACAAAGCAAAATAAAGAAATTATATTTGGACTTATTTCTCGTAGTAGACGGAAAAACTTATCTTTTCGTCCTTATAACTTAAACAGCTATATTATAATTTGACAACTACGTGGATTACATCGTGAATGTTTGCAATTCAATTTTTGTAAACAAAATTACTATCGTCATTGGTTTGTAGATTTACGTCTACTGAGTCCGATCCTGTTTTTAGGTAATCTGTGTTGCCTATACAAAATTATACGTTGACAAATATCTGTGGTTGGCAACAATGAATTCAAAAATGTCACATCACATTTTACTTTTAAACTTTAACCTTACTTTTTCAATGTTTTGAGTGTTTTGTGATTTCATTTTTGATTGAGAATTATTAGTGGATATTAATCACATACGTGTATGTGATATTAATAAACGTTAATATTAATGAACATTTCTACACAATTACAATGGATGACATCGACACAGAGTTGTTTCAAAATTCTATTAGATATTTGCACAATGTCTCAACTTTACCAGAGACAAATATTCCTGCTTTAAAATCATTTATTTGGTAAGTAATGTAAATTAGCGATTCTATATCATATTCAAGGGTATAAATCTGTTGAAGGTTATTTTTATATTACTTTAGGTATTTATTACATAAAAAAAGTGTTTCATTAACATTTGAGTAATTTCGAGTTATACTAGTGTAACTAATATGGGATACCTTTTTGATTATCACACAACTTACTCAAGTGTATTTTAGCTTAAAGAGGAGACTGATGGAGTTAAGAAAACAGGCATTTTTACCATCAACCGCAACAAAACCACATTTACATTGCCCAAGGTGTTTTTTAAATTTTTTCGATGGACCAGCCAGTTACAAAATGAAATCTAAATTAAAAGAACATAATTTTGCCAAGAAATTGATAAATAAACAAAAAAATGAGAAACCTCTTACCAGATATCAGGAGGAATACCTTAAAAGAAGTAATAAATTTAATGGGAGTTATTTAGTAAGTTGATTTAGTAATAATAATTTAGTATGTACATTTTATATTAAAAAATAAATTATAATCTACATTATTTTATTCTAGGTGATAACCTGTAAATTTTGTAAATTTGAAAGTAAGATAAAAATGCACAAGCCACCAACTCAGAAAAAGGTAAAATTAACCGAAACAGCTATAAAAAAGAAGAAAAAGAAAAATAAAAAAGACAAATTTTGTGGTCTTGATCAAAATATTGTAATGTCTATTACATCAAATAAGTCTAATACTAATAATAATATGAATGATTCTGACATAATTTTCGTGGGTTCAGAAGAACCACAAACAACTCCAAAACTAAAGAAAAACAAAATTAATAAGTTAAAACACAAAAATGAATCTGTCATTTGCTTGGACTCAGATGACTCAAAAACGCCACAAAAATTAAAGAAGAAGAAAAAGAAGCAGTCCCTTGTAACATCTACTCCAAAACCAGTTACTAATAGTTCAATTCTTTCAAACAAGAAAAAAAAGAAAGCTCATGGAAAATTAGCTGAAATCTTAAAAAACTCCTCCAAAAAGAACAAATCATCAAATTTATTGCAGTTTTTGACAAGTTTATAATTAAGTTCAAAATTTTAAAAATAAATGTTTAATTATTTTATTTTCCACTTGTTTAATAAAATTATTTAATAAATGTTATTTATTGAGTTGCTATACCCAACAGGCCATCGGCCGAATTCCTTCAGCCCAATGATAATTTTTTGCAATATTAGCCTTATAATCTTATATTCCAGAATTGATATTCAACAATACTTAAATAAATTTGAATTTTCTTTAAAGTTTCAATTAATTAGACAGAAAACTAGTGCGAAATAATTTGTGAGGGTGTTATTTGATGAAGTACCATTGGTTTTGGAATATAACAATATTAACTGAAGAAGAGTATACAACTGCTTTAATGATGCAAGACATTGACTCAAAATCAATCTAACAAATAAGTCAGTTTTAGGCCATCATCAGGTCTAAAAAATTGAGTGATAAGTGCTTACAATATATTAGGAACCCATAAATTGATTAAATAATACACGTTTATTATTAAAACAGCACCAATAATTAGAAATACCATATGTGGGAAAATGTGAGAAATAATTACAAAAAACTTAAAAAGTGATAAAATATTTTAACAAGATATTTTCTTTGAAATGAATGAATGTATAATTGTGAAATTGTAGGGCGGTAAATGGGACTGCATTACATTATTGTTTTTTCTGATTCTATACATCCAGGGTAGCTAAAAAGTGTGACAAGGTATTTTTTTATTATTAATGTACTTTTTTAGTGTTCTTGTAAAAAGGAAAAATAAGCTTTTCTCTGATATTCCACCCGTTCCCATTTAAAAAAAGACAAGATAGTGGGCACATGTTCTCTAAAAAATGCAGTTTACAATCCCATTCATAACTCTATAATTTAATATAATTTTGAATTTTTTTTTTATCAGTAACTTTTTCTTTCATTTATTGGTCTCAACTTATACAAGTTATTTAACCAGCACTAACATTAGTTAAATGTAAATAAATATTTGGCTCTGTAAAAAAATGGTGAACAATATTTTTTATAAATTAATGTTACAAGATTTTAAAAATGACGTGATTATGACTGCACTGCAAATTGGTTTGCAACCTAAAAGATCTATTGTGTCCCTTTCTATTGCTAATGCAGCAAGGAAATGTATCAATGCCTATAACGACCCTTCCAATCCTATCTTCTTCAGGACGTGCAGGATTTGGAGTGGCTTCAAGTTAGGTAAATCTCCCTCTTCTATTTGATATGTTCCTAGGTAAAGTGCCCTTGAATTTACTAAAGTGTCCTTTGAGTCGAAAATGCCCAGTAAGGGCAGTCAGGATCCCTGTTAGAATACGTAGCCTATTATTGCTCAGGCAGATACAGGCTTCCGATCTTTCCTGGTTATATTCATCCGTTATTTTAGTTTGTCTTATCCCCAAGAGATTGTTCCAAGTATCGGTTCTTCTATGGCCTAATTATTTTTTAATCTCTCCTAATATTGTGTTGCTACAGAACTGCCCAGGTCCCACAAAGAGTGTAGCCCCTTTCCTTGCGAGACAATCTGCAATCTCGTTACCCTGTACCTCGTTATGTTCCGGGACCCAAGTAAGAGAAACTGTATTGTCGTGCGATCGCCTGAAACCAACAAAGTTCTTTATTTACCGCGCCATAAAGTCTGACATTGGCCGTCGAAACTGGACTCGAATATTTTCTCTAGCAGTCCGACGCATGCAGGAATAATTTCCAGAACTTCTAGACTAGAACTGCGCTTCTAGTTAGCAGGGTTGGATCTTTCTACCCAGACAGCACACCAAATCCTTTGGATATCTACTGAACATCCCAATATCCACTGAATGTCCAGTCCATAGTGGATATCTATTTTATATCCATGAGCTGTAATTTATAGACATGCAAATGTCCATAAATAATAGTAATTATATAGCAAGTTATTAAAAAATTACGCCATTGTGGCTAATAGTACCGTTCAGATATTTAAAATTAATTTTTTAAGGTGTATTCAATATCCCATGGATATCCACCAAATATACCAAAGTCTAGGCGCGAACGCAAACTATCGTGGATATCCACTAGATGTAATTTTTGATTTTGCTTACTAAGTATAGATGGCGATACTACTTTCGCATCTACTCATGCTCAACCCGCCGTAATTGAGTTCGATCGAAATTTGTTTCACAATCAGACTCCATTAAAGATTGGAGTCGAGAATTTCTATTTATTGCTGAAGAGTCCTAATAAGGACAACTTTCTCCTTAGTGGGCAAAATCAAAGGCAGAGTGTTGAAAATATTTTGAGGGTTGAAAATATTTTTTATCTCTGCTATTTTCTTTCGACTTTATTCAATAATAATTGGTTACTTATGAACCTCTACTAAAGATACCTATAAAATATTTTGCTGAATATCCGAATTCTTCTATATCCTGGGATATAGACGGATATTTGGTTGGATATCCACAGAATATTTTCTGTGGATATCTCGGGGATTTCTTGTATTGTCTGAAAGATACTCATTAGATATTTTGCTGGATATCCATATGATATCTTCTATATTCTGGATATAGACGGACATTTGGATATCCATATTAGATCCACGGAATATTTCTGATATCCTGTGGATATATTGGATATCCACAAAAGATATTCTGTGGATATCTCTGGGATTTAGTGTGTTGTCTGGGTAGATTGTTACAATTTTATATATATCGTGTGTAGGCAAAAGAGTATAAGTCAAAATTTTGGGTAAATTAGTTTCAGTTATCTACACTTAGTATAAAACGTGGGATAAGTTAATACTTTTTATTAGGGTCGCAATTGAACTTAAACTTCATATTATAAATTACGAAAATACCTTTTTTGGTGGGGAAATCAGTATAAGTCGACTTATAAGACCAGATTTACTCAGCTTCTAAATTTTTGAGATACTTATTTGCCTATCCACGATAGATGTATAAGTCAATTTTTTCGTCTTTTGAGAGAAGTTTTATTATTAATGTTCTCAAGTAAAGATAAGTTGTAATATAAATTAGAAGTGTGAATCAAAATAGTGTATTTAATTAATTAGTACGTAGTGTAAATAAAATAGTGTTTTAAATAAATAAACTTTTTTTAAATTAAACAATCGTTACAGTATTTTCCTAGTCTACCTCATTTAATTTTTCTAGGCATCCTTCACCATTTTTGAGCCGATTACGTAAGAGCTCAGCGCTCTGATAGCTGCTTGGCTATTAGACATGATGTTACTCTCTTGTCTACGATAGTTTCTCTCGATGTTAAACTGGATACACTTCTCAATGACGTGAATTTCCACCTGTAAGGTGCTCGAGTATTTTCCCAAACTTTCAAAGTGGCTGATTTTAGGCCATACACCCCTATTACAGTTCCTTCTATGGTTTTAAAACCATCCGTATACCACTGAATAGCAAGTCTTTTGGTTGCAAGCACGATATATTCTTGGCTCCATTCTTTCTTATAGCCCAGCTCTGTGGTTTTAAAGTGTTTTTCACAAAACTGTACTTCTTTCTCATTTTATCTTGGGTCTTGAAGCTAACAGACTTTCGTCTAATTACTCCGTTCCTGATCATTCTATAATGTGCCCTTTTTGCCACATTATCATTAAATTTAGAGGAGTGATGTTTAAAATCATCTCGATTACGACCGCAAGACAGGTTCTCATTGTACCGGTGATGCAAACACAGGCTAGTCTTTGTACTTTTGAGATATATTAGCTCTTATAGTAGCTAAACTAGTTGTTACTTGCTTCTAGCATAAAGTGACCATCCGTCCCTATTTAACATGGGTTTTGCTTCTGTCCGATTTAAAAAAATCTATAAATATTTCATTTAAGCCGCCTAAAAATACAATTTTGTTAGTAACGTGACAATGCACTCTATTAAATATTGTGTGGCAACGTTACTTATTTTATTTGTCAGCACGTCGGTGGTATACGTCGGGTTGCAAATTTGCGAACAGAGAGAGATCAACAGTTTTATTTTCTACCCCGCCCCATCCATGTTTTCGATTTGTCTCATTTTCTACTTTTCAAAATATGGGCACTTTACTATAGCAAATATGACTATGTATTGAGATAAAACGTTCACTTTCTCTTAATACTTTCACTAGATACTTAACGGTTGCTAATTGTTTTTACTGTTTTTCTTGTTAGCTGTAGTAGTTGTCATATTTTTGATATTTGTCACATTTATATTTTTTATACGATTTCCAAATAAAGTATTATCATATTGATTATCTGCATTCATCAATATGGTAGCAGAGCGTGGTTCCTCATAATTTGACTACCATTTCGTCTAACTGTTAACCATCAGAAAAATCACCGATTTGGAATCTGCTGGTAGTGTGAAAGAAATATGGAGTACCAAGGAATTGAGAAACTACGGGGTGCAGATAATTGGACCATCTGGAAATTCGCAATAAAAAACGTTTTACGTGCCATTGATGGAGCGTATGAAATCTGTATTGGGGAATTTAACAAACCGATACCAATTCAGGGAGCATCGTCTCAAGAACTGACAAAGGAATATCAAAACGAGTTGAAACTATGGGATAAGAGTGATCGTGCAGCAAGTCAAGTAATCATCAAATCGGTGGAAGCTAAAGTTATGTCACTATTAGTAGCTTGTGATACGGCTAGAGACATGTGGCTAAAACTACATGCTGTATTTGAACAGAAAACCAAACAAGCAGCGCATATTGTTCAAGCAGAATTCTTTGGCTTTAGCATGACCTCAGATGATGATATGGTTACTCACATCTCAAAGTTTGAAGGGTTGGTTTTACGAATGCAACAACTAAATGTAAAACCTGATGAAGCATCCTTAATCGTAAAATTGCTAGATACTTTACCAGATCAGTATGAAAGTCTTCAGCAAGCTTGGTGGGCAAGACCGGAAGATCAGCAGAAGCTTGATAATCTTATAGGAGTTCTAACTGCAGAAGAAACGCGCCAGAAACAACGAGTTGGAAAACAAAAAGAACTAGTTGCACTGATTGCCACTAAATTAAAGACCCAACCTTCTGTTACTAAGAATCAAACGTCTACCAAATCCAGAAAGTCATTCAAATGCTATCATTGTGGTAAAAGAGGCCATTTTCGAAAAGATTGCCCAGAAAAGAAAAAGGTTTCATCTATAAATAAAAAGGATGAAGCTTTTGTTTCCGAAATTGAAAATGCCGAACTCGACAGTGACTTTTGGATTGTTGACTCTGGTGCTACCGACCACATAACGCATCACGCTGAATGGTTTTCTACCTTTGAACAATTTAGTACTCCTCTGAAACGTCATATAGGTGATAATTCCACGATGAATGCCCTTGGAAGGGGTACTATTCCTTTTGAAGCTAAGGTCAACGGAAGATGGTTATCATGCCGTATGGAAAATGTCCTTTTTGTCCCATCTGCGAGAAGAAATTTATTTTCGGTACCCTCAGTAACTGAAAAAGGAATGACTTTTACAATGTCAAGCAATGTCTGTAAATTTGTCAAAAGTGGTGTTGTTAAAGCTGAAGGAATAAAATTCGGAAAGCTGTTCAGAATGTATATACGGGTAAAGATTCCTGTAACTTCTCCAGTCAATGAAGCAAATTTTACTTCAAACGATACGTTGCAGATGTGGCATGAACGATTCGCACACCAAAATAAACGTCACGTTGCAGAAGTATTAAAGACTCACGGAGTCAGCTACATAGAAGACGGACAGTTTTGTGGGGCGTGCGTAGAAGGTAAACAACACAGAAGTAGCTTCAGAGAACGACAACAACGAGCGACTGAACCTGGCGAAGTTGTCCATGCTGATTTATGTGGGCCAATGGAATCTTCCTCCTTGGGAGGGTCAAAATACTTTTTGTGCTTTACTTGCGATTACTCTAGATATCGAAAAGTTTATTTCCTAAAAGAAAAATCTCAGACTATAACACACATATCTGATTTCGTTGAATTTGTGAAAACTCAATGCGGAAGGCCTATGAAAATGTTTCAATGTGATGTTGGTACTGAATTCGCCAATGCAAAAGTAAAAGAATTACTCCAGTCAAATGGAGTCATATTTAACACTGTAAATCCATATACACCTGAACAGAATGGTTGCGCAGAGAGAACCAACAGAACCATTCTAGATTTGGCGAGAACAATGCTTTTGTCAAAGAATCTACCAAAATCCTTGTGGGCTGAAGCAGTCAATTATGTTGTTTTTACACTCAACCAAACTGGGCCAAGCAGTATACACGGAAAAACACCATGGCAGCTGTTCACAGGAAAAGGTCTCCATTTGGAACGGCTTCACATTTTTGGTACAGAATGTTATGTTCATATACCCAAAATAAAGCGACAAAAGTGGGACCCCAAAGGAAAGTGTGGTGTTTTTGTTGGTTATTCAGATCATGTCGATGGATTTCGTATCTGGATGAAAGTTAGTAACCAAGTCATACGAAGCAAAAGTGTTGTCTTTGTACCAGAAAGCACCTGTAAAACATTGGCTATATTTCCCGTTGAAAATGTCGAGATGGAAAATCAGAATTCTGAAGAAAATCTTCCTGAGACTCAAAGTAAAACTTCAGAACACGAGAACGTAGAAAATGAAGAACAAGCTGAAGCTATGAGATATAATCTTCGAAGCCATAATAAAACAATTTTAGTACCTGAACATTCTATCGAAGCCATGTTCGTTGAAATAGATGAACCAACGAGTTTCAAGGAAGCCATACATTCGCTTGAATCATCTAAATGGCAACAGGCGATGGAAGATGAAATGACTTCTTTGAGAGAAAACTCAACTTGGACTTTAGTTGAGTTGCCAGAAGGTCGTCGGCCTATTTCAAATCGTTGGGTCTACAAGGTAAAACGTAAAGGTGATGGCCAGATAAATTGTTTCAAAGCACGTCTTGTAATTCGAGGATTTAGTCAGCGGGAAGGTATCGATTACAATGAAACCTTTAGCCCAGTAGTACGTTTCGATACCATCCGCACTATTTTGAGCATAGCAGCCAACGAATCTCTTGAACTGGCACAATTCGATGTGAAAACAGCATTTCTTTATGGCTTCATCGATGAAGAAATATTCATGAACCAACCCGAGGGCTTCGAGGATAACACTAATAGAGTATGTAAGCTCAATAGAAGTATTTACGGTTTGAAACAGTCTCCTAGATGCTGGAATAAAAGATTCAAAGATGTTTTATTACATTTTGGACTTTTGGAAAGTTCTGCTGATCCCTGTATGTTTTATTGGATTGATAACGGTCAAAAGCTATTGGTAGCGTTATACGTCGATGACGGGTTAGTAGCAGCTACACGAAAGGCATTGGTCGATGAATTCCTCCAGAAATTAAAAGATGAATTTAAAATAAAAATTGAACCAGTTGGATACTACTTAAACATACTAATCAAACGAACGGATAATGGGTCCATTTACATAAGTCAAGAATCCTATACTAAAAGTATCCTTCGTAAGTTTAGTATGGAGGACGCCAATGCTGTATCAACGCCAATTGAGAAATGTCAACTAACGGAGGACGAAAATAATATTTTGACAACTTCACCTTACCGTCAAGCTGTGGGTTGTCTCATGTATTTGGCTGTAGCTACACGGCCAGATATTTCCTTTAGCGTTAACTATGCTTCTCAGTTTCTTGAAAAACCCGAAGAAAGACACTGGAAGATAGTGAAACGAATATTTAAATATTTGAAGGGCACGTCAACACTTGGTATCTGTTATACAGCTGGTGAAAAATCTTGTATATTGGAAGCCTTCAGTGATTCGGATTATGCCAGTGATCCCAGTACACGACGTTCAGTTAGTGGTAATCTTGTTAAGTGCAATGGAGGGCCTATTATCTGGTCGAGCAAAAAGCAGCAGAGTGTTTCGCTATCTACAATGGAAGCGGAGTATGTGTCTGCATGTGAGGCAGCTAAGGATTGCGTCTGGCTGACTCGGTTGTTCAGTGAAATCGCGCCTTTGAAATCAGTGCCGTTACTTCTAGTTGATAACGCGAGTGCTATAAAGTTAACCAAAAATCCTAGTTTTCATAAACGATCTAAACATATTGATGTTAGATTTCACTTTATACGAGAACAAGTTCAACGAGGAATGTTACAGATTGAACATGTTCCCGGTAACCAGCAAGTAGCAGATATCCTAACTAAGCCCATTCCTAAAACTCAGTTCGAAAGACTGCGTTCAATGTTAGGAATGATACACAATGAAACTTGAAGTTTTAGGGGGAGTATTGAGATAAAACGTTCACTTTCTCTTAATACTTTCACTAGATACTTAACGGTTGCTAATTGTTTTTACTGTTTTTCTTGTTAGCTGTAGTAGTTGTCATATTTTTGATATTTGTCACATTTATATTTTTTATACGATTTCCAAATAAAGTATTATCATATTGATTATCTGCATTCATCAATACTATGTCGTCGGCATAACCTTGACAGGGTACGCCGAGGTCAGTTAATCTGCATAGAAGTTCGTCTACGTTTAGGCTCCACATTAGTGGGGATAGAACTCCTCCTTGTGGACATCCTTTGGTTGTGTAGATGGAGATTGTGTCCTGCCCTATCTGTGTCTTTGCAGTTCTCTCGTCTGTATGCAAATGCTCTTTTGACAGATTCGTGTGGGGTGATGTCAAATGCTCCTTTCATTAGGAAGGCACACACGACTGTTTCTTTCTTTATCAGTGCATCTTGGATTACGTCAGTCAACTGTACCAGGACAGATTCTGTAGATCTTCCTGCTCGATACGCGTGCTGGAGCATCCCTAGTACCTAACTCTATTTCTTTAAATGGGGCAGCTTGATTTATATGCCTCAAGTATTGCCTCATTTAGTTCGTGGAGATCGTTTTCCAGAGCAAGTGGGTCCCTGTGTCCCTTTTTTGTCTGGATACGTGCTAAATTTTGTTTTAGAATGGTGTTGTATTTGGCCCAGACTGTTTTTCTAGGATTCCTTCTGAGGATCGTCTTAGAAGTGTCGCTCTCTAAGGTAAACACAATTATTTGGGATCAGATAGAGATGGTTCACTCGATACTCTCCAGTTTGGTACTAGATCTTTAATGCTCAGTGTACCTAATGTGATATATAATACCTTACTTCTTGCCCTTTTTACAAATGTTTGAGTATTCCCAATATTTTGCACAAAAAGTTTTTTATTAAAAATATATTCTAGAAGTTGCTCACTTCTTTGATTGGTGTCGTTTCTTCTCCATATCCCCATATATGGTGCTGTGCGCGTTGGCATCGCATCCAAGAAGTAATGGCAGATTTATTCTTTGGCAATAATCACTAGCCTCGATACTTCCGGCAAACTAACTAAAAGCTATTACTATGTCTTGCTGCCTCATCCCAAATTCAAAATATGCTCTTATTAATAATGGTGAATAAATAAAAAAACAAATTTTCTCAAATAGATATATTTTAGTAATCCTTTGTACACTGTATAAAATTGACACACACACAACATATATATGGAAAGTTTTTTCATTTTAAAAATTTAAGTAATTATCACTCCAGGGGAATTTGGTCCATTACAATCTGAAAAATGAAATAAATGTGTAAATATCAGATTCGTATTTAGAATAATGGGTCGGTATTTTGCAATAACAATGAGCTTAAATAAGAAAGGGGGTCGTGTGACACCGTTTTTGAAAGGGATTTTAATTCTCTCTTCGGCATAAAGTTTTTAAAATGTAAAATTTTGATAATGCTACCATCACAAAACTTTTGGTAGAATAATGCAAAGAATTAATTGTAAAATAAATTGAAAAATAAAGTCCTGTGATGGAGATATTTTCAAAATTAATATTCTCAGTTGTGATTGCAACAAATATAAAAAACTTTATGTTGATGAAGAGAGAATTAAAATTCCTTTTAAACAATGTGTATAAAAATCACAGCTTATACAATATAAGCTGTGTAAGAATTATCGCTGAACATACATAAAAAAATATTCCGATGAATTGAGCATTTCCTCCCTTTTTTAATCGGTTACAAATTATTATTAAAACTACTAAAAACTATTATCTCTAGGTTGTTAATTCAATTCAATAAAATGAAGCAACAAAAATGCAATGATTAGAAGCGAAGCCATTCTGTTGGGCACATTGACAGACTACTTGCTTGAAGCAGATGACCTACCTTTGCACACATAGATTTGTACTCTTGATCATCGCACCAGGGTCCTCGTTCCGGTAACTCTCTGCCTCTCCTTCGCAGTTCCTGACTCACCTCTACCAAATCCAAAATCGGCACCGGATCTAGTTTATGTCTGCCAATGAGCCCAACTAAATACTCGATGTAGTGTAGCCTAGGCACACACAAAAACAAAAATGTTAAGTTAATTTGGAGTTGGTCAGAAACTGTTCCCTTTTCAAATATATGAATGTAAGTTGTGTGTGGAAACACGGTTAAAAAGCATTTTGAAATTTGAAGTCATTTTGGTATATGTACTATAAATATCCAGCTGGCCTCGCGAAATTAGAAAATTTTATATTTAAACCACCTATTGACTAATTAATGTTTAACCACCCACTAACTTTTTGACCGAAGTTGATTTATTTGTCCATTTTTTTCCAAGTCAAAATTTCGATTTTGAAATGTTATTTTTAAATTTTCTTACTTCTTAGTCTCATTATGGTCTCATAATTCTAATTATTTTAGGGGGTGGACAAACGTTGAAACATAATTCTAAACATTACGAAACTTTATTGTGTCCTTATGTCGATTTAGCAAGTCAAAATTAGATTGGGACATTTTTTCTTCGAATTTTAACTTTTGAATTATTTTAGGGGGCCTTCAAATATCGATATGTAATTTTAAACGTGTCTCTGGATCTTAATTGTGTTTTCCCAGCATTTTATTAAAGTTGATATTTTCTCTAATTTACCCTTTGAAATTATGTTAAGAGATGTATGCAGTTTTAAAAAATTATAAATTTTGGAGAGCCAGCGGGCACTAGTGGCTATTTTTTATTTGTATTTATGTTTCTGAAGTTGGTCAAAAAGTTGCTGGGTGGTAAAACATGGTCAGTCAATAGGTGGTCAAACGCATGTCGCTTTTAACACTCATACAATTCTAAGAGTGAACCCGGATTTCTAATTTTAATACTAAAATTAAAAATTATTTAATAATGGGTTTTGTGAAATGATTTGTTTCAAATAAATGCATATTAAAATGTAAAGCATTCATAAAGTGGAAAAGAGCACAGTTCCCTTTAATACCTGTTTCAAACGTGAGCGGTACATTTCTCTAGGCGTTCCAAAAGCATTGGGGGGTAATTTTTTCGAAGCTCTTCTTACAACAGTTTCCAAATCATCAGCATTTAACATTTCAATTGTATCGATTTTGTGTTTACGAATTAGATGACATAAATATTCGAGATAATGATTCCTAAAATGTATTATTTCGAATGTTCATTTATTTGCAAATTAAAAAAAGATTTATTTTATTCCAAATAATATTCATATCCCGACTAAAATCGGGACTCTAAGGAATGGCATTCGCCGTTTAATTTTGAACTATTTGCCTTCCATTTGAGAGCGACCTCTTTCGTCTAATTTATTTCAACAAATTTAATAATTTTTTTAATATACCGTTGAGAAGATAATTTTGGATCACCTGGTAGTGTAATTTTAATTAAACCATATGAAACATATTACCTACAGAGACCTGCTTGGTTAGGAAGAACTTCATTATTACAAACTGAATCTATCAAACCATTAGGCGTTTCTTTCTGTAATGGTATAAGGCATTTGAGTGCTGCAGATGCATTTTCTTCTGTTTCAGTTACTATTTTAAATTCCACTTGATTCTCCTAGAACAAATAAATTTCTGATTACACCTACTAATACTATAATACTAATTAGTGGTTAACTTAATAGGTATTAGATTGAAGGCTCCATGACAAAACAGCACAGACAAAATAGCACAAGACAAAATAGCGTAGGGGCAAAATAGCGTAGGACAAAATAGCACAGGACAAAATAGCGCACCAAAAAAGATGTTTTTTAATTAATATAATTCAGTGAAATAATCCGTAACAAATACTGTGCAGTGAATGTTTGGAGTGTAGCTCCGTCTCTCCCATATTTTCGGATTCAATGTATTTTAGCGTGAGACAAATACATAAGAGACAAGTTAGCTCCTGATAAATAAAATGAGACAAATTAACGCTCAGTCAAATTATAGTGAGTCAAGTTGACGTTTAGTCCAAAAAGAGCGTGACAAATTAGGCGTGACAAAATATTCCAGTATTCTAATTAAAATTAAAAAAAAACTTAACCAACCTGATCGGCCTAGAGCCATCACAGGTTGCTGTAGATGACTCCAGGTCGCACAGGTTAGGTACATTAGCTAGTTTTATAATTTTTCTGATTTTAGGTAGGTACTAATAACGTTTTTAAACAAGCCGCGATATGGCTCCAGGCTGTCCAGGATAGGTAAATTATATATTTTTTAAAATTTAAATTAAAATACTGGAATATTTTGTCACGCACTTTTTCCCGCGCTATTTTGTCTTGTTCTCGTTTGTCCTTGCGCTATTTTGACCTGCGTTTTTATGTCCTTCGCTATTTTGTCCTTGCGCTATTTTGTCCTGCGCTATTTCGTCCTTACGCTATTTTGACTGCGCTCGTCTGTCCTACGTTATATTGTCCTGCGCTATTTTGTCATGGAGCCCAGATTGAATAAGAGAAATATGTTTCTTATTAATAGTCAATGAGTATTAAGGAACGTGCCGTCCATATAGAGCAAGATCGTGCAGTGCACGATGGTGCTAATGTATAAAAGACACCATTAGGTTGAATATTACTATTAATAGGTATTCTATACTGACTTTTTCTTTTTATAAGTTAACTTAACCTTAACCGTTTTTGTTTCGTTCATTGATCACGTGATCAAAAACGGCAACAGTCCGCCATATTGATGCGACACTTACGTCAAACAGTTATCGCATTGTTGTGAGTTCGTTAATGCGATTTTTATGATCAAGTTTTCGTGTTTTTAATTGCTTTTTGTTTGGTATTTAAATAATATAGTGAAAGACAATAATGGTTTCATGTGCTCTTCGAAACTGCAATAGCAGTAATGCAGTTGATAAAAAGAAAATGACAATAAATACAGTGCATAGATTAGTATATAAAATGATAACGATAAACAGAGTAGAATTTGAAAAAAAATTTATATTGTGCATGAGTTTAGTTTTTCCCATATAACACCACAAAATGACAATTCATATATGAAACTGTTACATATTTTAACTAATAAATAAAGCCTGAATAACAAATGCTTTCCTTTCAGAATTCATAATGGAGAAAATTCTGACAGTGAGCTGATTGAATTAGTTAACAGGGATCATGATTATTTGCCAGACTGTCAGAATTTTCCAAATATATTATTGCCTTCGTATAGCGGGATATATTGTCCAATTTTTAGAGAAAATAGTAGTTTGTGCAACAAGAGTGGATATGGACAATCCATTCGAGTTGTACGGTATATTTTTTCTACGACCCACTAACCAAAATCTACAATATTTTTTTCTACACCCACATGGATATAGCTTATCTATACGCACAGACTATAAAACGAAAAAGTAAACTATTGCGTTCAACTGACCGAATATATTTCATATTCATTCTAGGTAGTGAGAACGATGCAAAAAAATTAAATCTACCAATCACAGTTCATATTTTGGACACCCAACTACTATTATTTTTAAAATTTTAAATAAGTGACAATTCTGTCAAACTTATTGTTAGTATATTTTTTTAGTTATTGGGATTAAATTACATTAAAATGAGTTATTTTTGTGTAGAATCGATAAATAGTAGCATTTTTATTTGGTTCACATTTTGAAAAAAAAAATATATGAAACTAAATTAATTACGAGTATTAAAACTAAAATCGTAAGTGTGGCGATGGATGTGAGGACGCGGCGTTTGTTTTCCATGAAGAGGCCCAGGTTCAAATTTAAGCTGGGGAATAATTGAATTAAATATTTTTTTTTGTTTTTATTTTATTTTATTTTATACATTGGTAAAAGCCATAAATGATTTTAAAATAAGTTATTTTGTCTTAAGGTAGTTCACTCGTAAAACGACTTTTTTTAAGAATTCAATAAAATTGAAATATAAGGTTAATGAAAGTGTTTTTTACGTAACTAAAAAAAAATTTTTTTGACCGTTGTGAAACGAGATATTAACAATCCAAATGTGCTGAATATACGCTGAATTTTTTGACCGTCTTGGTAAAAAGATATAGATTTTTAAGATAAAAATAATTTTAAAGCAGTCGACGCGTAGTTACTTAAAATAATTACTACTTGACAACATTGTAATCGCTACACTTAACGGGCGGTAACACAATAACACTCGATCAACTAAGAGATTGTTATAACCTCGCGACGTGTTCTGGTAAAATTAATTTGTCCACTGTATTTGAGAACTGGAATCAGCGGTTCTGTTTGAACCAAAACAAACCCTTAAAATTAGTATGAGGTAATCACAAATTTCTATAATAGCCCACCATTCATATATTTGCGACGTTGCTAGATGGATTTTATTTGAAATTATAAGTATCCGTATATGTAAGCTTAGATGTGTTGTGTACAGTCTCTTACAAAAATTAATAATTTTAGCATTGAGAATCTCGAACTTTTGATATTCACCATTATGCGACATTTTTATGTACGATTGTCGCGAGTGAACTACTTTAATAACTTAAAATAATTTGAGTCGAAGAAAAAATATACTGTACAATTCGAGTGGATAGTCCATGTCCACTTTTGTTACACAAACTACTATTGTTTTGAATGAAAGAGTATATCTGCTTTGACAAAAATGACCCGAGTGATTTGAATTTATTTTCTTTTATAGATAAAAATAAAAGTGGACAACATTATATTCCTCAACAGATGTTTTGGAGATATGTACTCAAAGCTAAAAAAATTTAAAATACACTGTTATTTCCAAATCATATGAGCAAATATCAGCAGCATCTGTACTCAATATAATCCTTGCCCAATTTGTAAAAAGAAATGTTTTTTCAAATTTATTACTTCATCTGATAATTATTAGATAACCATAAGGTATTGTTAATAGAAGCTGTGGCAGAAGTACGTAAATCAGAGAGCATAAGACAATACATTTTTAAAGAATGAGTTTCTATCTTCTTTATTTTATTTTATTTAAATTTTTAAAAAATGCATTGACTATTCATATGCCCCTCGTTATAGGAAAAATCTATTATTTAAAATGTATTAAAATTTTTATAGTTTTAGACAGTCAGGACCTGGCGAGGCATCCATATTGTTACGACTCTAAGCCACGCCTAGTGCGACGTGTTTCTTTGTGCGAAATAATACTTATAGCGTCTCTTTATAATACTACCTCAATAATGGTTTCGTTGTAGCTTATTGCGTCATCTTTTTGTCCATTCGTAGATTTTATTAGTTCTAGATCTCTAGTTGATTTTTCTATGGTTTTACCGATGCAAATTTCTTTCATAAATACTGTTAAGCCTTTCAAAAGTATTGATGATATAAATTTCGCAATTTTATTGAAATATCAGAGAAACGCTTACGAATTCAAATTTGACATGTGAAATTAGAACCTGTCTAAAGAGTTATTTAATTTAATATCTTACCTTTAGAAGTTGTTCAAGTTCCTGCGGCTCCTTGTCCCTCAAATAAAAGAGACAGTTTCGAGGATGATGTGCGTGGAGTCCCAATTTAGCACAATATTGACTTACAGTACATTTGGCTCCCATCATGAAAGGTTTACCACAACCATAACAGAATTCGTGTTTACATTGAGTGCAAGTGAAGTGCATACAACCGCCTTTCGATAAGGAATACTTGAATTTGCATTTGGGGCAGTCTATACCATTTTCGGCTAAGTGCTTTGTAACACCAGAAGCTTGATTGTCAGGATCGTTGGCCTCCTTCCATTCTGCAAATTTCTCGCAAGTAATGCCTTCATGTTGTTTTTCCCACTAGAAATTGAATAGTACACACATCAATGTATATAGATGATGAAGAGGAAAACTATTCTTCTCAAGATGACTCAAGAATTAGCCTTATGTTAGTAACTTTGTATTTGAGCTAAAGTTAACTTAAGTTAGATTTAAATTATTTATTGATCGCAATAATGAAAACCCCTAGGACTTTCTATAAAATAAATTTAGAAAACTCGTACTTCGTAAAAATATTTCTAAAGAGTAAAGCATTAGACATTAAAAATTATAGAGGGCAAAATGAACATAGTGACAGAAATACATTAACACAAATAGTATGGAAGAACAGAAGAACTAGGTAAATATATTGTCAAGACAATCGTACGTAGAACAAAAATTACCTAAAAGTGACATTACTTTCATAACACGCTATTGTTATAAGTCTATTTTTATGTATGAGAGAGTATTAACATAATAAAGCGTTCGTAATCCATAGGCGTAGCACTTCATTTAGTAGACAGTTAAAATATTTTTTGAAGTTATTCCTCGAGTATACACTTATATTTTCGCCTAATTAACCTGCTTATAACTTCTAAACAGCGGAAGGTAAAAAAGTGCAATTTTTTTCTAAAATGTTTTATTTTTCCACAAGGTATGTTAAGAACATTGTGTCAAACGGGTTATGTAGGTATAAGGGTTTAAACTTTGACTTTTAAATAACGTTACGTTCATAAATAATAATTTTAATATAAAAACTACTTCTTACCTACAAATCCAAATCAGAATCGAAAACAGAAGATGAACTGTCGCAATCAATATTTACAATGAGTGGCTCGATCATTTCATCAGTAATATTGTCCAACTTCCACATTTTCTCTTCTTCTTTAATCGTATGATTTACTGCCTTTTCCCAGTTTTCAGGCTTCACATTATTTACGGCCTCCAAATACAACTGTTTAACATCATTCATTTTAAAAGAATTATTTTTTCTTGAAACTTCTCCCTTTATCTGTGCCCATATCAGTTCAATCGGGTTTACTTCGCAATGATATGGTGGTGATCTAACCACCGTCATCCCACGATTTTTTGCAATTTCATATTTTTTGAATTTCTCTTTATGAAGGGAACACAAATGATACAATTCTTTTCTCACAGAACCGGGATGGAACTTAATATTCTTTGAATTTAGCCAATTCTGTATCTTTTTTTAACCACTTGGTTGTGGGCATTTTTTCTATAAGTCTCGAGTGATAACTTGCATTATCCATTACTATTATACAGTTCTGAGGAAGAAGATCTATAATTTGTTCGAACCACTCTTTAAAGACATCAGCATTCATGTCCTCATGGTAGTCACCGGTACGAGTAGATTCAAAAGTCAATAAACCACCTTTAACAAAATCGTCTGAACTACCGATGTGTACTATTATTAGTCTGCGCCCCTTTCCTGATGGTGGATTTAAACCAGTAGATAAATTATTTAAAAAAAGCCTGTCTTCGACTTGTAACAGTTTCATCTTGCCAAAATTTATTTGGTTTATGTCCCTCGTTGATCCATGTTTCATCTAAATAAAATATATTTCTTCTTTGGTTTCTCATTTCTTTTATAGTCCTTAGGTAATTTCTTCTCCATACTACAGTATCGCTTCTTTCTATTAAAATAGACTTTCTGGAATGCTTTTTCCATAGAAAACCTATTTCTTTTAAAAGTTTCCATAGTGTGCTTCGACTCATTTCAGGGTAATCCTTATCATCTCGAACCGTGGCAAGAACTTTGTCTACTGTCGGAAATTCTTTTCTAAAGAAGAACACATGCACTTTCCTTCGAAGTCTTTCTTTCAAAAAATTTTCTAATTGAAATTTTGGTTTTCCTGGAGCTTTACGTACTGTTTGAAACTCGCCACATTTCTCTTCTTTAACAACTCTGTAAATCGTAGATTTCCCAACACCAAGCGTACTACTAACTAATTCCACTGTGTCATCAACACTTTTACATAAATGTTTGTCTGTAAATGATTTAAAACAATTAAATATTAATGTTTTTTCATTAACTGTTAAAGGACCGATTTTTTGTCGTTTACGCGGCCCTTCCAAATTTTCCATGATCACACTAGAATTCACACTGCACCTTGCAAGTTGCAACTAAATGACATTTAGTAAACTGTCAAGAATACACAACTTGGACCTCCTTACTGAATGGAAAACCTATAATCGCATTTTCGGTGAAATTTGTTAGGAAGGTATTTATCTACTTATAATTCGATTACTGTAAGAAATTCTTGGAATTAAAATAAAACAAAATTGGCAAATAGGTACTTATTGAAAATAATCTTAAGATACGGCTATGTAATCTTTAATACACAGGGCTTTTGGCCTGTCCAAACCTTTTTCTATTGTTCTGTACAGCTTATGTTTATAAAGGACCAATAAAAGACCCAAAACTTGTAATAGCTCAGGTACATTTATTACAATTTTAGGAAATATTTAGATTATTCTGTAAACATATTTAAAATGACCGTACTAAGTTTTGCATTAGAAATTCTGTTTTATTACTCTCTCATACATAAAAATAGACTATAGTCTCCATTAAAGATAATTACTCGCGATTAATTTACAAATTAAAAACAATATAAAGTTGCAAAATTAAAGATATTACTTAGGTTATTGTTTTGACGCCTGCGTAAAACCAGAACAAACCATGGTTTGTCTGGTATTAGGCAATTAATATTTTCTTTTTAAATTCAGCCTAAGATAATCTCTCTTAATCTATGCAGAGCATTCTTAAGATAATAAATAAATTCATTTATCTGCGTATTAAACAAAAATTAGACATTGTCTCTTCATTGACTTTTGAATACATTACATTTTGGTGACCATATAGATTGATATATGAAACATTACAGGAGGGACATCGATTACTAAAATCTGATTACTATTAGATAACAATGCACATTGAAACACATAAATTAAAATGGTTAGTAAGGAATACATACCGGTCTTCTACAACTGGCACAAGTCACTGATTTGCAGTCGGGACAAATGAGACGTTTCTGTCGAGGATGAGCAATGAATCCAGAAGAACACTAAAAACATACATTCAGGATATTACTTAGGGTTAAGTGATCTCTTTAGAAATAGTTTTTGTCTTACAACTCCCATTTAAAAATTAACAACGTAAAAATCACTAAAATTGAGCTTACCTGAATGCACCATTTAAAGTGAGGATCTTGCATTAACGTCCTATCCCTTAATTTCCTTTGGAATAGCTCGTGTACGGGTTCATCTATAATTCCTTTGAGGAGAATATCCAAATTACCGAAATATTCTGTTATATCATCTTCATTGACGTCTCTGGTTAGATCTGGTTGTTTGCAGAATGGACAATTGCAATCCATAATGCTTCTGTCCGTTATTTGTACGGTGAAATAATTTTTGGCGCATTCCTGACAACATCTATGGGTGCATTTTAGCATTGATATTATCTGAAATGTACAGTATCTGATCAAACTACAAAAAATTAGTAGGTGTTCATCTATAAATCTATAACGCTAGAACGGAAAAATATATCGACTTGTAGTATTCGCTAGGCTTCATAAAATGTACTTCAAGTACTACTTTTTTGAACCATAATTGTGAGTTTAGTTCAAATAAAATACCCTATAATTTTTTACATCCTCCGAAAGACTATTACTTCCCCTCTCCAAAAATGCAAGTTTTTAGGGAAACATTTACTTTTTTATGAATCCATGTCAAGAAATTCTAGACGTAAAACTCGAGAATGATACAAGGTATTGATAAGCCGCTTTTACTGAAATTTTTAGAAATGTTTAATTTTTTTTAACATGGTCTCAAACGTCTAAAATTTTAGTTAAAAAAACTTTTTCAAATTTAGATAAAGGGCTTATGGCGTATAGTCATTTGATGTTTGATTCTTTTCCTTTTTTGTTTCAGTGTAGTATTTTAGAAAAAATACTTAAATATTTGCCTACCTGTTTCATGGGAAATTTTCCAGCACATAATTCACAGTCCTGTTGTAAAAAAGCGATTGCTGCGTCTATTGAATTACAGTCTTTAACAGCTTCGAGTGCTTCTTCTGCAGAAAAATTTAATGTCATTAAGGTTGTTGCTAATTCAGCTTGGTCGTATGTCTCCACTTGACCCTCTGCTAGAAACATTCTTGCTTGCCTCTAAGAAAACGTTTGCTAAATTAATAAAACAAGTATTTATCAGTTTTCTCTTTCCAAATTAGGAGACATTTTTAAATTAAAATATCTTATACTAGTTGTTAACCGCGGCTTTGCACGTATTTTTAATATAAAAAATGCATGACTGACCAAAAAAAGAAGCTATAATATTGTTTTAAAGTTCATGGTATGTATGTGATAGTATTATAGATCAGAGTTAAGTAGAGTAATAGGATATTTAAGTATATCGTTTAGTGAGAACATCAGTGACGTAACTCAAAAATACAGGTTTTTGACTTGTGTACTTTGCTTAATGTAGCCCGCAACTGACACATAACTGGCGAAATTATAGTTCTACTACTGTCCGCTCGATGGCTGTAGTTGTCAGTAATGCTTGGTATTTTTATTTTCATCTTCGAAGGCAATACTGACGAATGTAACATTATTAATATTCATTTACTTAAAGAAAAACCTGTTACATTATAACTTAAAGATATTTAAAATTTAGAGAGAGAAAATCGGTAAAATAGCTCTCCAAACGTATAGCCAAAAAAAAAATAATAATTTCCGTACAAACTTTAACCGCGTTTATCTTAGATCAACATTTTCGTAGTTAGGTCACTAATGTTCTCACTAGGCAATATCTAGTAATCGAATTAAGAATCTCTTTGTATATTACAGTTCTGGTATGGCTCACATCTGCTAATATCACCAGGTTGCTTGCGGAATTAACTCCCTTAAGATGCCATTACACGGCGTGTGGATTACCGCGCCCGACGCGTGGAGTGTCGTTCCACGCGCCATAACAATGGTCCGGCGTGCCGTTTTTTGTGCGACGTGCCATGTCCCGTCTATTGTCTGTAAAATTTACACACTTCAAATGAGGGTACATATTCAATTGAAGATCAGTGACCCGCGCGGCTCGAAGCTTGTCAATCCACACGCCGTGTGATCGCGATCTCCCAAACGCGCCGGGCGCGGCACACCACACGCCGTGTAATGGCATCTAAAAGATGCAAATGTTACTGACAATAGACGGGACATGGCACGCCGCGCGGAGATCGGCACGCCGGACCATTCTCATGACGCGAGGAACGACACTCCACGCGCCGGGCGCGGCACTCCATACGCCGTGTAATGGCATCTAAATGAAGATCGCTATCGCCCAAACGCGCATCGGCGCGGCACTCCACGCGCGGTTCTCCACACGCCGTGTAATGGCATCTTATAACAGGTCACATAAAACTGTCCGAGAGAAGAGCAGTCCTCCTTTAAGTTGTTGAGGTGTCGGGACATCGATATATGTCGGTACTCCCATACAAACTTCTCCCCTTTAAATAACAGATACAACTATACAAACTTTCACGCCCCCCCCCCCCCCGTTTCACCCTTAAAATGTGAAAATCCAAAAACCCTGTCACATTATTATTTATTTATGCTTAGTAGCCGTATTTCAAATTTTCTTGTTTCTTACTTTAAAGAACAAAGACTTTCATACTAAGTTTCCCCAATTTCCCTCCCTATTTTCCTCCTTTTAAACTAAAATTACCAAAAAAAAAAAAAGTATTAGCAGATGCTTACGTTATAAAATAAACCTATGTTCCAAATTTCATCTTTCTAAACTTAGTAGTTTTTTGGCTATAGCTCAGTCAGTCAGTCAATCAGGAAATAGCCACTTGTGTATTAAGGGCGAAAAGTGATACTTTGCCGCTTGAGGCAGAAAGATGTCCGTACGGCGCCTAGCGGAGCGCGGCAATCTATCGAAAGCGGCAACGAACTTTTCGCTCAAAATGCACACAAGATTTTTTCTACGATCACACTTAAAATTTGTCGTAAGTAGTGTGTAATGTGTTGCCTATATCTTCTGTAATCATAAAAAACCTAGTTGATATTCAAATTCAATGTTAACTTGAATAAAACAAAAAATATCAAACTACGTACAAATAACTTGAAAATCATTTATTAAAAAGACATATTATTATATTATCTAATTTAAATTAAACGAGCAACAAAGCTGTCAAGTTTTCCGCTCGCCGGGCGACAAAGCTGTCACTTAATGACAGTTTTCGAAAAACGTCAACTTTGCGCCAGTAATTTGAAACGTAAAAGCCTACTTTGGTTAGTGATCGTAGAAAAAGCGATTTTATATATTTATATATTGTCAATTTTTTGCATATCTCAGTGCAGAATATTGTAACCTAATTTCAGCTCTACTGTCTTGCAAATTGAACTACATGAAAAACTGGAAAGGGGGAGTTTTCCGAAAAATTATTTGTTGCTCGAAAAACTGGTTTTTGAGAACTGGCATTGCCCTCTAATGTTTGCCTTTATCATTGTAGTTTAATGACTCAATGAAATAAATTGTAGAAAATATTGTTAACTATATCTTTTGTATAAACTATTTTCTACTAATACTCCGCGAAAAATCGATTAAAATAAAACATAACACAAAATTTCAAGGAATTTGTAAAATTTAATTTTAACCTTTTATGGTCACCTAACGATTCGTAAATTACAACCGCCCATCGCGTATTTTTTTTTAATTTTACTATATTTATTGTACTATATTTCCCAAAAATCTTACCTGTAACTGTTCGATGTCTGTAATGGGTTTCTGATTAAATACTTCATCATCATTTCTATTTTCCAAATTTTTATCCGCATCATTTCCCTCTTCACTTTCTTCTTCTTCCACTTCTATTTCTTCTTCTGATTCCGAGTACTCATCTGATTCGCAGGTTTCCTCGATGCTATAATGTCTTAAATCTCTTCTTTTGCCTTTCTCAAGTAATCCTTCATCCACGCTTAAGTTGTAATTAAGTTTTTCAATGTTCGTGTTAATTCTTTCAATATCATCGTAGTCTTCACTTTCAGATTCAATTATATCTTCATAATCGCGGTTGTCGCCAAAACTATCTTCGCCTTCCAGTAATTCGTCAATGTTACTATCGGAAACAGATGATTCGCTATCGTTGTCTAATGATTTGGTGTAAGAAAGTTGTTTAGAACTTGTAGTTGAATCGAAAGAATTTCTATTTGTTGATAACATCTTGTTTGTTGGTTTAACGGCAGGAGCAATTTCTGCAGTAGGTTGATCTGAAATAGTTTGCGGTAAATCTGGTGATGAGCTATTGCTTGATATAACAGATGTACTTGGTTCTGGTAACATATTCAAATATTCCTGAACTTTATCGGTATATATCCTATTACTTTCTTCATTAGCTATTTTTCCATCGCGGATTTCTGTAGGTAATGTTTTCTTTTGCTTAAAGGAATCATTTCGAACTGGAATTTTACTGATATTAGGAGTTTGTGATAATTGTGAAGCTCCATTATTAGTTAGAGATCCAGAACGTTGTTTTAGTAACGGAATTTTTGACGGTTTTCTTACTGCAAGAACTGTTAACTGATTTTGTGGTATTTGAACTTGAGTAGAAACTTTTATTGATTCGTTTGGACTTTTCGTTATTTCTTGAGAAACTTGTGGTTTTAAAGTAGCTGATTTATTTTTCTCATTATGTTTTGATGCACATTTTTGTTGATATAATGGTAATTCTGCATCAGAAGAGTTAGAATCACTTTTATTTATTGGCGCATTTAATACTATATTACTGTCTTTATTTATTTGTTTTAATGTGCTACTTCTTGTAACTGGTCTGTTTTTTCGTTTTACATGTTTTTTTCTCTTAATTTTAAATGAGTTCTTTCCCGGTAAATAAGCAGCTTGTTGAAAAGTTGTATCAGTATTTGGAGATGGATCTTTTTTGAATATTGCTGAATTTTCTATAGGATTAACAGTTAGTTGATTTTGAGCTGTAACCTGTTCGATTGGGGCACTACTGTTGTCTGAAATTATTGTTGAATCATTAACATCATTAACATCTAATGTTTGACGATTTGTTGCGTCATTATTTTGATCTTTATTATCTGTAGATTTTTGATTAGATTCTAATTGTTCAATTTCTGAATCATGAAGTAAATGATCTTGCTTGATTTGATCGTTTTGAACCAATTGGACTTCTAATGATTGAGTATTAGAATTAAGAAGATTATTTACTAGATTTTCATTTTGATTGTTGTTTAAAAGTGTACTAGCAACCATGGAATCTTCCCGGGAATCAGCATTTTGTTGAGGATTTGACTTCTTTGTAACCAAATCGATTTGATCATTTAAGCCAATAGGAACTTCGTTATTTTTTTGAGGTTCTTTGTTATTTGATGAATTGTGATTGATGGCATTTTTATCTTGAATAACTGTATTTGACTGAATAGCAGTTGTAACAAAAGATGACTGAGAATTTGGATCTTGTGCCATAGGTTCTATTTCAGTCACATCTTTGCTATTTGATGGATGACTGGAATAGATGACATTTTTATCTTGAATAACTGAATTTGATTGACTAGTAGTCGTGGATGTGGTTGACTGAGATTGATGGAGACGATCAACATTTGGATATTGTGCCGTTGATTCTATTTTAGTAGAATCATTGTTATTTGGTTGATAACTGGAATTTATGATATTTTTATCTTGAATTACTGAATTTGATTGACTAGCAGTTGTGGATGAGGTTGGTCGAGATTGATGTAAATCATCAGAATTTGGATCTTGTGCCTTTGATTCTATTATAGTCGTCTCTTTGTTATTTGATGGAGAACTTGAATTGACTGCATTTTTATCTTGAATAACTGAATTTGATTGACTAGCAGTTGTGAATGAAATTGACTGAGATTGTTGTAGACAATCAGAATTTTGATCTTGTGTCCTTGATTCTATTTCAATAGCATCTTTGTTATTTGATGGATAACTTGAATTGATAACATTTTTATCTTGAATAGTTGAAATTGATTGACTAGCAGTTGTGGAAGAGGTTGACTGAGATTGATGGAGATGATCAGAATTTGAATTGTGTGCAGTTGATTCTATTTTAGTCGCATCTTTACTATTTGATGAAGAACTGGAGTTGATGATATTTTTATCTTGAATAACTGAATTTGATTGACTAGTAGTGGCTGAGGTTGTCTGAGATTTATGGAGCGGTTCAGAATGTTGATCATATACTCTAGGTTTTAAAATAATTGAAGCATTACTTTCTAAAATTTCATTATCAACTGACAATTCATCTGATTTATTTTGTAATAACGGAGCGTCCCTCACTTGGTGTGCATTTTCTCCAATTTGAGTGTTTTTATCTATCAGAACTATATTTAATGTTGATATGCTGTTTTTTCTTTTTAAATTATTTATTTTAGTTTCTTTAGGTACTTTCGTTAATGAATCATCTTTTGAAACTTCATTTTCTCTATCAGAGGTTAATGCTTCTTTGAAGATAATCTCAGGATTAGTATCTAATGCGTCCAAAAATTCATGATTTTGTAAATCATCATTACTCTCAGTATCAGAAGTAGAAGGTGACTGAAAACCTTCGTTCGATGTTTGTGGTATGTAATTACCGTCAGTAACGTGAATTACTGTACTGCTTTTTTCTACATAAGCTTTATGTTTTCCTTTTTTATGTTCTTTATTGTTTGTATCATTCTCTACATTATTTTCGTTTTCCTGTAAGTTTTTTAAATTTTCTACAGATTGTTTTACTAGTTCTTTAGTATTTTTTGTACTTTCACTAGTTGTTTTTTCTTCTAAGTTTTCCGTAACAACCTCTTTTAAATTCACTTTGCTTCTATCCGATTCTTCTATAGCATTAATGTTATTATCTCTTTGGTTGTCTAAATGTATGCTTAAATTTTTTATGTCTTCTAGACTTTTTAAAATTTCACTTTCAATGTTATCCAAAACTGTATTTTCATTTTTCAATTTGCTACTTGTTTCTACACTATTGGGCAATAAGTTTTCTGAGGTACTTACTTGAGGGGAGCTACTGTCACTAACAGGGGCATTATTACTTACCGCTTTTGTTTCTGTTTTCGCCATTTTATCACTCGCGGATATATCTATAATTAACAAGAATGAGAATAAGAAAGTTAAGTAATTTATTGACTTACCTTCGCCCCCTATAGCTTTTAAGTTGACCCCCTCGTTACCTGCCTCGTTATCGTTGCCCACCGGAGGACCCCATATTCTCATTAGAAACGGTTTTAGTTGCATTTTACTCAGTTCGTTGTAAGCAGCTTCCAAGTCACCGTGATTAGCAGTTAAAGCTGTGATAATATCTTCTCTGCTGTAGTCACCTCGTGAGGCCAAATCTGCGTACTGTAATAATAAGAATAAAAGTAATTGTGATAAAATATATTAAATAATAATAAAATATGGCGCAGTCAGTAGGATGAAGTATGATTGTTTCTTTCCATTCTCAAATTCGAGAACTGATAAAGATCAATTTTTTCTAACCTTTCTTTGACGCTGTTCAACACATTCTTCTACCGATGGCCATAAATTTCCTTTATGCTTCCTCAAAGCGTCTCTAGCTTCTGTTTCAGAAACCGTACCCACAATATTAATTGGTCCTTCGCGTCCCATTTGGGTAGCTAGTGTTTGAACACTGGATATAGTTTTTTCCCAGTGTTCTTTTAACCATTCGATGGGATGTTTATCTTTACAATGGAGTAAGGATGCTTGAAGTTCATCCGCGGTATATTTGTATTGTTCAGCTTCCTGCAAAAGAACATGCTTATAAATACTATTTCTACGTTGGTAACAACTTGTTTGTAACATTATTTACTCACTCTTAGTAATTTAACTAATTCCATTCCTGAAGCTCTAAAATTATCGTGACCATTTTCGGTTGGCCTCACAAAGTCTCTTTCGAGAGGACGCTGAAAGGTTTCGGGTCGTAAGTGACTTGGATTGAAATCGTCCATCTGAAATAAATTCATTTTGACCTTAATTTTACAATAATTACTAGAAATATGCTTTTTGTGAAATGAAAAGTGAGGACAATTTCGTATCAATAAATCTAGCGCTATATGTGGTATCATGTTCTAATTATTTAGATTGAAACATCAGTGGGATATGGTTTATATGCTATTCTTTAATTTACATAATAAATACAACGCTAGACTAATGTATTTCCATGCATGTTAAAAATTGCAGAGCCTTTGTACAAATAAGTGCATCCGATTTCTATCTAAATTCAAAGCCTTTGTGAATGTATGTGGTTTAGAGGGTTTTTATTGTAAAGGGAATGTAAAAGCTCATATTAAATTAAGTGTAATGTCAGTTTAACACAAATTAATAAACACCCTGTAATATCCGAGATCTATCTGACTTGGTCTTCGGTACAGTTCTGGTTTTCTTAGATCCATTATACTATGGGTTAATCTGATATCAGGATGTGGTGGTCGTTGTTTCACATGACGATACCTGTCGAACGGTAAATCTTCTTCGTATGGGATTGGACTTGGTTCTCTACTACCTGGTAAACTCTGAAAAATTCACAAAAGATTGTTAATAAAGTAATAAAAATTACAATAATTAGATTTATTTATTCATTCATTAAACGGAAAAATATTATAGAAAAGTATGGCAGTGTCTAGCCAAATATTTACATTCTTAAATAATACGAGCCATATTCGACCTGTCATGATCTAATCCCTTAAGTCCATTTCTGCCTTATTTGGGCCTTTTACGGCCTCAATTTTCTCGTTACCAAAAATATTTGATGAAATAAATCAACCACCGAAACCCCTTATGCGTACCGCCATTCTTTGGAATGTACTGGACCCTTCGATGAATTATAATGAAATTACAAATTCTGGTAGATGCATTAGTATATAAAATGGTAGAGGTGTCTCTATTCTTAGTCAAAAGTCTAGAATATTTGAGAACAAGTCTGGAATGCCACATTTTTATGTAAATATCCCAAATTTGCCGTTACAGTTCAATTTTAGTTAATAGATCTTAAGATAAATATTATAAATATGAATTAGTGCTGTATTTAGTGCAAATAAAGTGGGTTATAAAATTAAATAAATAATATAATACTAAGATTCTATAGATAGACATAGATTCAGTAAAATATAGATATGTGTTTACCTGTGAATCAGATGTACAAGACATTCTACTCGGGGATCTATGGATTGGCGACCAATCTGAATATCCTTGTGAGGCGGGAGAATGCAAAGACTGCGATCTTTTCAAATTATAACGACGACTGCGACTAGATAGTCTTCCAGAATGCTTTTTTGCATTGTTTGTGTCTACGGGAAGTTCTTCGTACGTCTGCAAAAGGTTATTTAAAAATAATTTAAAGTAAGCGTATTTAAGAATTGTAGTTTGTGCAACAAGGGTGGATATGATGGCTATACGGATAATCCACTCGAGTTGTACAGTATATTTTTTCTACGACACACCAACGAAAATCTACAAGTTTTAAAAATTATTTTAATATTTTAAGATAAAATAACTAATTCAAAAAATAATTTATTACTTTTACTAATTTATAAAATAAAATAAACTCGAAAAAATATTTAATTGAATTAGTATCCAATCCTAGATTTGAACCCGGAACCTTTCGCATGGAAGCCAAATATGCTAGTCTCGGCTCCATCGCCACACCTAACATTTTAGTTTTAATACTCGTAATAAAATGTATTTCATACAGTTTTATTAAAATTTATTTTATTTGTAAATATAGACGAAATAAAAATTTAAATGCTATTATTTGTCGATTCTACAAACGAATAACTCATTTTAATATATATTTATTCTCAATAACTAAAAATCTGATGTGTCCAACACATGACTTTCCTGTCTATAGTTTATTTGAAAATGAAAGCAAAATTATATAAAAATATAGTCCTTTGCCATAAAAACTGTGCTTTTATACATTTTCATTAAACTATAGTTATAATAGGCTTTTTATGCTTTTTTCAGTTATTTTTTAAAACTTATAGTGTCACCCCTGTAAATGTTTTGAGGATGAACGAAATACATGCATACATTGCCAACGAAAATTCTGAAAAATTAAAATTTTACACTTTTCCTCAATTTTTTCCATTACGACCCATTTTAGAGAAATGTATAAAACAAAAATTATAAATTAGGAAAAGTAGCCAAGAGACTTTTTTTCGGCAAGTCAACGGCCTTTAAACGTATATACGTTACTTTAAGTAGTGGCCTTTCGATGGGGGTCTGCAATTGGTAAGTCGATTTTTTGTCACAACGGGCGGCAGAAGGCCATCGTTACTTTACCAGCAATAACTAGAGAAATGCCTTCATATGGTCAACAGTTTCCCATAATATTATTAACTATCCTTCAATCGACTTGGATAAGATTCGTAACTTTTCCAGGTATAAGTAGTGAAAGATCTGCACATGGCCAGCAGTTTCCCATAATATTTATGTTAACTTCCTATTAAAGGGCTGCTTGCATAAGGCTCTTATAAAAATAATGCCGAGCTTTTAAAAGGAATGTAACTACGTGTGTCTTCTATAAAAACTATATTCATAAAATATTCTAAATTAACAAAATTAACAAAATATAAAAGAATTTAGAATGAGTACTGAAAAGTGAATACCACCAATGCGATACTGGCCGCCATAGTACTCGTTGAGTATGTAATACGGCCCATCAAATAATTAAAGTTAAAAGGCAGATAATTACACATATCAAACGAGCAATAAAGATTTATCAGTTGCATGTGGGAAACTGTTAAAAAGCCGTCAACGGCCCATAGAATAATTAAAAGGCCATAACGAGTTTACCGTTACAAGTTACTTTGACATCATCTTTGTTAAAGGGCCAATAACGTGCCACAATTTCAATGTTTGTTGGGTATGTATAGAGCAAAAATTATAGAGAATGACATCACAAAGTATTGAAGAGTTTATTGCTCATCTCTTACTGTGTTATAGGTGAATGACCTCGTTTGTGCTTTTGCTTTGAATTACTAAAACTCGTTAATATAATTCGATAGATAACTAAAAGACCTCTCAAATAATATATCGCATTAACCAAATTTTTATTTAAATAAAATCATCGATGACGTCATCATGATCACACAGATGACGTCATAACTAAATAGAATATCTAACAAAACGCAAGTTGTACCATAGTGTATTAACTAATATTATACCCGCATAAATACCTGAGTGGACATATTCTGTGGAGGCGGAGATGTTCCCGTTGAAGTTGATACCACAGTCTTTTCAGTCTTTTTGTCTTTATCTCTTTCAAAAGAGCACTGCGATATTGTATTTTTTTGCACTTCACTAGAATCACTTAAAGAAGACACTCCCACACTTTTTGTTTCCATAGATAAATTAGTTGAGACATTCTCAGCGTTATTAGTAAGTACCATCTCGATCACTTTTGGTTGCGAAAAGGACTCTTCTTCTTCTCCTGTAACAACAGGAAATCATTAACAGATTAACACAACACAACAACACATTTTTTTTAGTATGAACAAACACTAACAAACGACACACAAAAGGAATAGGATTAAATTATTTAGTTGCTTTCTGAAAGGAAGTGAATTTGGTACCGGGCCAAAATGAAATTTTTCTACTCGCCCTACCTTTCTTGACGTCTAACTGCGACTTGTTTTCTTGATCAGAAGAAGTTTTCAGTTTGCCTAATTTATTCAATAAAGATTCGGTTTCACTAAAATCTCTGCTGAAATCGTCACTAGATATATTTGCTTGAACGTGGTCTTTTAATTCTAATTTGTTTTTATTTTGCGTTTGATCTTTAAAATTTCCTTCTTTCTTAACCGTATTTGCGTTTGAGGTTTTGCAGCATACCTGGCAAACTCGCGTACCTGCTTCGTTGACAAAAGTACAATGTTCGCATTCCCATTTTTCATCAAACGATTTTGTATTCTCTACTGTATTGACATTGTCGTATTCTGATCCATTTTCCTCATTTATACTATCAACTTTTAAATGATTACGGTTACTACTTGTCGAGTCCTCATCATCTGTATCACTAGACGGAGTATGTATGCTTTGTTTACTTCGTGGAACAGAGTCTCTTCTGTCAATGCTGCGTCTTAGAAGTTCCCTAGACATCGAATTCGTTTCTCTCGAAGGCTTGTCCTTGATCGCAAACCTTCCACGCGATGATTTTCTTTCACTCCTATCCATGTGACTAAAATTCGATCTTCGATCGTCCAAGTCCATATCTTCATCGTCAGTGTCTTCAATTTCTTTATATTTTTTCCTACTCTTTCGACTTAATGTCGATTTTCTAGATTTGATGCTTTGCGTTGGGGACGCTGGCCGTGAATGGTTGTATGGTTGAATACCAGGATGCATGTTTGCCATTGGAACAGGATATGGATACATGGGTGCAGTGGGAGCGCCATGCCATGGTCCCATCCATCCAGGATTTACCATATAACCAGGTGGCATATTTAAACTTAGGTTGCTTCCATGGTGCTGTTGGTCGTATCCGAATTGGTTCGCCCAAGGTACTTGACAACAAGGATTTGGATAATTCAAATTCGCCATAGATTGAGCCTGAAACAATTATGAATAAACTTAAACAGATATACTTTTTTCTTTATTAATTATTTATTACATTATCAATTAGAGCCTACTTATTGAAGTTAGTAGATAATTGATAATGATTATTCTTAAAACAGGAAATTATGGTATAAACAAATTTAGAGATTACCTGTTGCAGAGGCATAAATCCAGGATGGTGATGATGATGCATCATTGGATTGTTTAAATCGAAAACAGACGAACTGTGTGAAACAGCTCTTTCAGATGGAGGGCATGACATATTGCTCATTTTTCTTTGCATTCTTCTTCCAATATCGCTTGCTCCTGATACACTTCCCGTTCTCCCTCTACCATTCCATTGATCAACTTCCCAATCTGGGTATCCACTGTCTCTTGAATTCTAAAATGAACAAAACAAAATTGTTATTACAATTTTAAAAATTTAGATGTAGAATTCTAATCAGAAAAATACTGCAGGAACCGTCAGAATATTAGAATAAATCATGTAGTCAACCAGAGGATTTCCACAATATATCTGAAAAAGTCGAGGTAAAGGAAGCTCTCGCTTCTAACCAAATCTTATTTAATCTTAACACTTTTGATAAATATTTTAAAATTAAGAATACCTGATCGAAATCTGATAGATTTGAAGATGTTCCCCTCATTGCTAACTGATGTTGTCTATAACGTTGTTGTAAAGATGGACTGGGACTGGGGACAAGGCGCCTTCCAGGATCTGTTGGACTTGATACATCAGATTGTGGAGCTGAAAGATATTAATTTTTATTATGTATAGGTACATAATCTGTTTTTAATTTGAACAAATTAAATGAGAAATTAACAGTATTTCACATTGTATGGTTTTCATTGGTTAATTTCATAACTTTGTAAATTTTCTTGACTTATTTATTCAATTGAAATACCCTGTATATTTTCTTTGTAAAGGTTAACTTTATTTAACTTAAGATTACAAAATATATTTATAGCTATCCGGAACTATTTATTATTAAGTCTTGTATACGTATAAAAAGCTGAGTAATAATAAACCCCAAGCTTATAAATAAAACTATTTAAATCATTGCCGATTTAAACTTGACATTTCAACGAATCTAAATTAAACTGACCCTATTTATTTTGATCGAAGTATTATGTAAGTACTTACAGCTAGGCGTTGGAGGAAGAGGCCGATTTCCCAGCATACCACGTTTTAAATTTGATAATTTATCCTTTAATGAGAAACCATTGTCCTTTCTTGGTAACGTAGACGATCTGCTAACCTGAAAAATGATCTATATTATCGCTCCAGGTTTACAGTTTTTTAGAAATATAGAAAAACAATGGATGTAAATTTAAAAATATGTTCATCCAACGAAAAATGTCATCCAATAGGTAGAAGTATACAATTATTTTAGAGGATTACAGATGCAACTAATTTTATAATATTTTCAGGAAACTCATTGTACAGTAGTGATATTCGATCCCCAACAATTGCATAGTTAAAAAATATATATTTACGTTTAGGTTTTTTTGTCATATTTATTAAAAAATCGAGTCTTTTAACAAAGTTTAATCGTAAGGATAAGGAATTACTTTTTTATGTTGAATAAACTACGTAACAAAAACATAACAAAAATATAAAAAATATACCAAAAATATACCAAAAATATACCAAAAATATACCAAAAATATACCAAAAATATACCAAAAATATACCAAAAATATACCAAAAATATACCAAAAATATACCAAAAATATACCAAAAATATAACAAGAAATATAACACAACACAAGTATAACAAAAATATAACAAAAATATAAAAAATATATAGCAAAAATATAACAAAAAAAATATATAGCAAAAATATAGCAAAAATATACCAAAAATATACCAAAAATATACCAGAAATATACCAAAAATATAACAAGAAATATAACACATAACACAAGTATAACAAAAATATAACAAAAATATAACAAAAATATAACAAAAATATAACAAAAATATAACAAAAATATAACAAAAATATAACAAAAATATAAAAAATATAACAAAAAAAATATAAAAAATATATAGCAAAAATATAACAAAAAAAAAATATAACAAAAATTAAAAAAATATGTAACAAAATATTTTACCAAATCCTTACTCTTTTCTTTAGTATTTTCACGATTTATTTCAGGGATACAGTTTTCTATTTATCTCAGCTGAAGGCAGATGAAATCAGGGCCGCCGAGAGCCAGGTCGGGCCCCGGGACAATTTTTCCCGGTCGGGCCCCACGACAATTTTATAAAACAAATTTAAGCCTTCTTCTTCTCTTTAGTGAAATTCTAAAAAAAAACAAAGTCTTCCCTCTTGTGGCGAACTTCTAAAAAAATAAAAAACGTCCTCACCTAAAGCTGCCGAGCCCCCCTTATGCCGCTGCCGGGCCCCCACTTGAGCCCGGGCCTAAAGAATTAGTCCCGGCTACTCCCCTCTCGTCGGCCCTGGATGATATATAAAAAAGAGATTGCAATGGATAAATTGAAATTAAGAGAGAATACATTTTCCATAAAGTAAGTGGATATATTTTGTATCTAATTTGTGTCTACAAAAATTATCTATTTACATCCATTGAAAACCTACCTCGAAAACCGTGTCTCAGTTACAGAAAAAAATAATACAAATTAAATTTGACCATTCATTCGCTGATCCTGCACAAAAAACGATACCGTCAGATTCAAAGTAACAAATTAATAAATTTATAGGCTTTGTATTTAGATAGAAATTTAGAGAAAAACTGCCAATTATATCTAATACACATTAAATATGAAGCTTTATTTTCATACAAATAATTTATTTGAGTCCTAAAGACAGAAAATGAACATTAACAGCCCGATGCTATACCTATTAGCTTCATGACTGAAGTGATGCAGATGCTATGGCTTAGGGCTGTTAATACATTTTTGACCAGGTGACAGACAACAGTTTTTCGCCTACCAAAACACGCTAATATCAATAATAGTGCACTATTTCAAGAACTACCTACTTGACTTTTACACTAGCATTGATATAGTTTCAGTGGCCCTAGGGCGGGTAAATATTACTTAAGGTCGTCTTTTTAGGTCTGTTAATTTTTTTTTTCATTTACGGTAGGCGAAAAAAAAATAAAACAATTGACCACGGTAATAAAATTCATTTTTGTACTCATGTGGCATCTACCTGAGCATGTCTTCCTGGTATAGGACTTTGACATGGGGAAGGTCCAGCTGATCCAGCTCGTCTGTGACGTCGAGGAGGAGGTACAGGGGCTAAAAAAGGCTCTCCTTTTGGTGGAAGGGGTGGTCGGATAGTCTGTTCCAATCGCTAAAAGTTAATTTATGATTAGAAGTGCAATCATCTGATAACAATAATGTATACTGGAGCTAAAAAGTCTTGGAAAACTTACTCGTCTGGTATGTGTTTGGCGCTTTGGGTGTCTGTGGTACATATCGTCACATGATAAACAAAATATTTGTTTGCATTCTTCACACCGCACACTTGGCATCGATGATCCGCATAACTGGCAATGATTACCATCTTCTTTCTTTTCTACAAGTTAAAAACAAATTAGAATTATATAAATAATTACCACCAATCATTTGGCACATCTAAATATTCGAAAATTCGATAAGCGAATACCAGACGATATTTTACAAGATAACCACCTAATACACATTAATACTAGTTTTTCTACCAAATTGTAGTTTTGCGATAATGTATCCATACAAGGGCTAGATCAAAAGTCTGAACAAGCATTAGAAAGCAAAGAAATAATACTAGGAGTTCCAATACTTGAATTTATGGATAAGCGTGGCGTAGCATCGATTGGATTTATGTTAGGCATAGAACCATTACCAGTAATCTTTTTAACACAACAAGAGATATCTCAGTTAACAAGAGATGCCTGCAGGGAGGAGTTTTAGATTCATATTCATGTGGACCTTGATGGTTGATGATATCTTATGGGAGTTAGCAAAAACATATTAGATGGGCACATAGATAACAAATAGTTCTTAAAAATATTGTTTATTTTTAATATTAACTTACTATTATTAATTTTAACTGGTAACGGGGGTGTATTACAATATTGTCCAAATTCTATTACTTCATATTCTGGCTCTTCTATTGGTGGTTTCTTTTTAGGTCCTGATTTTGTTGCACTATTTCCTTCTTTAGGAATAGGTGGTGGTGGATGCCCGCTTACACCTGTTTTATTCTGCAAATAAAAATTATATAATGAAAAAACGGTTTTAGAGTTCCAGAAACTTTTATCTATGAGGTAATAAATTCTTTGGAAGTCATCAAATAATGAAAATAATAATAAACTCGTAAAGTGAAAATAAACTTACTGAAAAAATGGAAAAAAATCTCTTCACGGGTGAAAAATTATTTGAATATAAAATAATAAATTGGTTACTAACATCATATAGCTGCTGCTGCTGTTGAATTAAATAGTAGGAAGACAATTTTTATTATCGACATTCGTAATATCTGTACAACGCGACCATTGATCTATTGTGTTCCTGTTTCTGTGTGGGATTTGTTACTGTTTTCAAGCACTACTTTAGGAACAGAACTTATAGCTTGGAACAAAAACAGTAAATAGTTGAGTACAAAATCTCATTAGGCATTAACAATTAATTTATAATTAATAAATAGAAATAATTCTGAATAAATGTGATTCTAATATATACCGGGAAAATGTGGGAGGTCTTTCGGATCCAGATAGAACATTAAAAAATAAGATGATAAGTTTCCATAATTTTTTTTCCTATCGGCCCTCCCTACGGAGATACGGCCTCCAAAAGGACGCCACTGGAAATCAATTTTTCTTGAATAACTTTCAAACTACGTAATATAATTTAATGAAAATTTAATATGATAAACAGTAGTAAGAACCTCTTAAAAAACTGCCCTTAAAGCATAATTAGCTTGTTTAGTTTAGACTAAGTTGTACATTTTAATGCTTACATTTTTAACACCCTGTATGCTAAGAAGTTTAAAAAAAAATAAATTTCGATACCTTGAACATTAAGCTAAAGAAAAGGTACTTTTCTTCATTGTCGATAAAATGAACCGGTTTCGAGAAAAAAAAATAAAATAATTGTTTAATTTTTATTAAAAAAAACATGATTTCCAATTTCTTTTGTCTACAACAAAGTGTGATACGAAAGTCATTGAAATAGAACTGTTATCCATATTAAAAAACCACTGTTTTTACAAACGTTACTATGGTACCTACGAAATAAATAAATAAATGAATAAATTGCATTGACGTGTGCATTTTAAATCTTGTTCACACGTTGATCTTTTAGTACTCCGATATTAATTTATTGAATTTTGAATATCTTGGTAAATTTAATTCGATAATGGGATACACATTTAGTGAGTATGCATACTCCTTCAATAAGCACTCGAAGATTAGCCGCGCAGCTTCATGTGTCAAAAACGACAATTACTGAAGTACTTAAAGAACAGTTGTTACACCCTTATCATCTGCAAAAAGTGCATCAACTACTTCCTGAAGATTTTCCTCGAAGAATCCAGTTCCCAAACTGGCTGTTAGATCAGCAAAGAACAAACGGAAACTTCATTAGCAAAATTCTTTTTACCGATGAAGCAAGATTTAGATAACTCGCATGTAAGGGCTGATGAAAGCCCCTTATGCCACTGTTGTTCATCATTATCAACATCAGTTTCAATCAATTAATGTTTGGGCAGGAATAATCGGCAATTTTTTGATTGGACCATGCGTATTGCCACCACGATTGAATGGTGAACTTTATTTACAGTTCCTTTAGAACGCTTTTCTGGATTCAATAGAGCATTATGCCACTTGAAACCCGCCGAAGCATGTATTTTATGCATGATGGAGCCCCACCTCACTTTAGCGTCACTGTACGAGACCACCTGAATAACGTCTATCGAAACCGTTGGATATATAGGCAAAGGAGGTCTAATTGCCTGGCCTCCACGGTCTCCCGACCTAACGCCAATGGATTTTTACCTGTGGTGTCATCTCAAAACTTTGGTGTATTCCTCTCCGGTTGATACTAGAGAGAAACTTTTACAGATAATCACATTTCATTGTGATGTGATAAGGAACAATGCTGGGTTGTTGTGGCGAGTACAGCAGTCCTCTATTCGTCGGGCCCGCGAGTATATCAGAGTTCACGGAGCACATGTTGAACCCACTTATAAAGTTTTTAATTGATTATTTCTAATTAGCGTATTTAGGTTCAATCGTTACAAGCTTTAGTGAGTTCAGGATGAAATCATAATACTCCAAGTTGTATTTTAGAATTTACCAATTTGACATTAGCTAATTCTGGGAGTTTAATTTTTTAATAAAAATAATAACATTAATTCTTCTATTATTTTTTTTTTCTCGAAAACCGTTCACTTTATCGACAATGAAGAAGAGTACCTTTTCTTTAGCTTCAAGGTATCGAAATTTATTTTTTTTAACTTCTTATCATACAGGATGTTAAAAATGTAAGCATTTAAATGTACAACCTGGTCCGCCCCTGGTAAACTAAACAAGCTAATTATGTTTTAAGGGCAGTATTTTAAGAGGTTCTTACTACTTTTTATCATATTAAATTTTAATTAAATTATATTACGTAGTTTGAAAGTTATTTAAGAAAAATTGATTTCCAGTGGCGTCCTTTTGGAGGCCGTATCTCGGTAGGGAGAGCCGCTAGGAAAAAAAATTATGGGAACTTGTCATCTTATTTTTTAATGTTTTATCTGAATCCAGTAGACCTCCCACATTTTTCTGGGTATGGTGCATTGAATTACTATAATAAAATTAGCTTTCAAATGCATAACAGTTTTTATCCAGCTAGAGGGCGCAAAAATAAAGAGTACCCGGAATTAACAGTTGTATATTGTGGAATTCTCAATAAAATTATGTAAAGTTCCCTATTTAAAAAAATCTAGTGGGCTGTCCTGTAGAGGGGATGAAAGGGGAGGTTGGTTTTTTATGTTATAAAATGTCTCGATCAAAATGAGAGTTTACGGGTCTGAGTGTTTTTCATATTTGTTTTTAATAACTCATATTTTTCCTTAGTGTGCTCAACTACGTCATCGATAGCAGCTATCTAACCATCGTTGACATCTGGTCTGAAATAAGTACCGATTTTACTGAATTTTAGTAGTAAAGTTATTTATCAAACACCAAAATTATGGTAGATAAAAAATCAACAATGAATTGAATTGAATTGAATTAAATTTTCAAAATAAGAATAAGTAAAATCTAAACACAAAAACATTCTGTTGATCATCCCTTGCAAGTACTATTTCTATGCTTGTAAGACAAAAAGATAATAAAATATTAAAATTTAATATCGCTTCTGAAATATCTTATGCTAAAAATATTTTCTTTATTTGATGGATAAATATATACCTACTCAAACGAAATCACCACTTCGCCCAGGAAATAAACTAAAAATATCTAAAGAACAGTGTAGTTCATTCGCGGTTAAATTTAAACGATGTCAGTTAGTAATTTTTTGTTTGGTATGTTGGTTATCCTGCGAATGTTTTGACTGTTTTTTCTGTTTTGGTGGTGAGGTGTTTAATATGGCGAAGAGGCTGACAAAGCTTTGACAGTTTATTTTAAAGAAAAAAACATAATTTTTATATGTATTTTACATGACGATGTACACCCTACCCAACTTTTGTCGCGTATGTCTGAAATACGACAAAAATCTAATAGATTTAGCTCATATCGAAAACGAACCAAGTGATACTCTTATGAGTAAACTACAACAGTGTGTATCAGAAGTGGTAGGTATTTTTTTCTTTTTAGTGATACTTTAATTAACACGACCTTTTTTATCTATACAGGAATGGACTGTGTTTAAACCCTTGTTATGCCACCCTTGTATAAAGAGACTGAACGTAGCTTACAGTTTTAAGAAACAATGTATACAATCAGCGGGTGTATTAAAGAATTATGTAGAGCTTGTTAAAGAATCTCAGAAGAAAAACGAAACTCAAAATACCGTTAAGACCGAAAATGTTATACCTACAACAGGAGGAGCTTATATGCTTCTTCCAAACCAGAAATACGTTAAAATTTTAGTTGGTTCCCAAAATCAAGGTACGAATTCATTCCAAAATGTTTTTCTAAATTTGATACCTGCGAATACGTTAAATCCCGTAATAACTACAACTTCAAATTCCACTAATTCCATAAAAACTAAAGATAACAATCAAAACGTATTTTTGAACCTTAACAATACTTTCCAAAAATTGGTTCCTGTGTCACAACCTGCAGAAGTAAAGAAAGTTGTTGAGGTACCTAAAGTGAATTTGAATGTTAATCAACTTTTAACTGAAAGCAAAAGTGAAGAATTAAGTGTAGAAATAGATCCAAATGTTTTTGGATTAGAGGAAGATGAAGAAAGTAATGAGGAGGAAGATGCAAATGATTATGATGAAGTTATTTCCCAAGCTAAAATTACTCTAAAAGATATTAAATCTAATGGAGAGAAAGTACAGAATGGCAAAGATGACCAAAAATATTATGTTCCTATACTTCCTAAGACTCAAGATGATTTCTTTTCCTCAGGTTAGTTCTGTTTATTTATTATTTTTCCAAATAGGTATTTAGGTATATAAGTACCAAGCAGAATATCAGAACAACCTTTGCATAAAATAAGTACAGGTGTTTCTATTAATAATAATGTTATTAGTTCCCCAGATCCTATTTAAATTATATGGAACAAGTCATTTTTTTCAGTCATTGTTAACGTTTTAAAAATTGACCGTGTACCTGCCTAAGTAATTACAGAAGGAACAGTGTAAAAACACTAAAAATGAATTAATAATGAGCTTCATGGCTTACAGAATCTAAATAATTAAAGAAAATTACAGTAGTTATAAATTTATAGAGTAGTATGCTTTTCTCAGAACTAAGTTTTTTATTGTTGTCTTTAACCTGGGCAATGGTAGTGCTTTAATACCCTTGGGTAGGTTATTATATACTTTGATACCCATAAATTTTGAGCACATTTCAGTTTTATGGTACCTATGGGCAGGTATTTCTAAAATAGGTGTTTCTTGAATTATGGGTGTTGTTACTTACACTTGAAAATAAGTCTTGAGACTGATAAAAATGTCCATAAAACTGGGCCTTTGTTTAATGCCCTTTTTTTGTAGTATACAAATTCTACCTGCATCAGGTGAGGTTTCTCATGCTACTACTCCATAATAATGCAACCAAATTGTGAAAAATAATACTAAATTGATATGGTGTAGCATATTGATGCATATTTTTTTGCATAATCCATTTATGTGACAATTCCATTTACAATTCTCATACATTTTATTGCACTGACCTGCTTATTGATTGATCCTGTACATATTAAAAGGCTAGAATTAGAAACAGAATTGGCACAGTAATTTTTCACCATTTTCCTTAAATATTAACAATCGATCATCTAACATGATACTTTTTTAGGTCAACACTTTTTATTTAGTCAAGCAGAAAACGCAGGAGCTTTCACTTGTGAATCATGCCAAAAATCATTTTCGACAAAAAAATTATTGAAAGCTCACATCAACCAATTTCACTTGGGCAAGTTGCCATTTAAGTGCGAATATTGCTACTTGGAATTTGCAACCAGAAGTGAATACCAGTTGTGTTTAAAAACTCATAAAACTGAAAATGAAACTTTAAATAAATCCATTACTTTGCAAGACTTCACAAACAATTCCCCAACCTTAAATGATTTACAGTTGTCTGAATTAGAAGCACACATACAACCCTCAGAAAATGGAGAATATATTTGCGATGTTTGCAGTAGACCTTTCAATAGTTCAACAGGACTTTTAAGGCACAAGGTGCGAAAACACAACCAAAAAAATAAGAAAAAATATTTTATCAAAGGAATGAAAAATGCCAGGTGTGATATTTGCAACAGAGAATTTTCGACACAATCATACATGCAGTTGCATAAAAAATTACACATGAGAGATGACATTGGTTACAAGTATAAAGTTTTTGGTAAAAGTAAATATGGTGAGATAAAGGATAAGGATGAAAATAAAATTGATTCGCTTGAAACATCCAACATGGATGATTCAAACGTTGAAAATTTAGATGTAACTCCTGATATTTTCACTGAAAAATCTGATGATGAAAGTATTGATGAAGACAGGGATGGAAGTACTGAAGATACAGAAGAAACAGAAGAAATGAAAACTGAAAAAATGGATATAGATGAAGACAATACTTCCGACAATGAATTAGATGAAGATGAAGAAGAACCAAATGAAGAATTCAAAGAGGAAGAATACAAAGAGTCTGAAACAATAAAACAGGATGAAATATGTGATTTAAATGAAAAAACAATTGAAGATGATTAGTTTAGGTGAGACTACTTTATTTCCACAACATTTTTTTGTAGCAAGTGCAGATATTTGTTATATTTTAATTCAAGAATGATTAACCTTGATTTTATTATATTTTATAATGTTATATAATTATAAACTTATCGAATTAGGACCTTAACCTCATTGATTCATAACGACTCAATATTTTAAAAATTATTGAAATGAGAATGTTACATATATATAATATTTTGTACCAAATGAATAATCTAGAAATTTTGATCTGAACATGTAACAGAATTTAAATATTGTGGCTGTGCTGGAACAAAATAGTTATTTATATATATCTACAACTTGTAATGATACAAAGAACGCCATATAACATTTGAAGCAATAAAAATAAAATGTATTTGTTCTGTTTACCAAATTCTAAAGCCGAGTAAATCACTTATGAAAAATACTTAGCAATAATATTTTAAACAGTAACATGTTTTCATGTAGGGTTTAAATTATTCATTTATTTACCAAAACAAATTTAGTTGGTAAAAGAAACGAAAATAAACATGATTTTTATTTGAGAGATCTTTAATTTAGATTATGTAGTTTTGATCTCATTATTAGTTGATGTTTTGAGTGTATACAAGGTGAACAATTACTATTATAGTCTAAGACCCGAAGTAAGGTTGACCTTCACCCATCTGTTTAATGGATGAAAAATTTTTTTTATTACATAAAATATGTTTAAATTTACCACAAATGGGTTGCCTAAGAAGATACTATCAAGTTTATCTATTTTCTTAAAGTTAAAAAATAACGACACCCTATATAGTATTCCCCAAATGCTTCTACAATGCCCAAAATTTACTCAGCTCACTGCAGGATGGATTATAGCTTAAGTTTAGAATTTGCTGTTTTTTTCTTTATCTATTGAGTTATCTTCGAAATTTGCACGTTTCCTATACTTTCCTTGTCAGTATAAAGAAAGGAAAGTAAAAAATAGCATAGACATTATTTTCTTAGGCAACCCATTTGCGGTATATTTACAAACATTTTATTTAATAAAAAATCTTTCATGTGTTGAAACAGATGGGTGAAGGTCGACCTTACTTCAGATCCTGTACTATTAGATATATTTTATTTAAAAAACATTAACAGAATGGTAGGCAACATTAAACTCCATATTTTAAAATTATTTTCGAACATAGTACAGGGTTTTCAATAACTTCAATCTGGAACAAATTTGTTTTTTGTTTTAAATAGATCACCTTGTATTTTTTATATTTAAATTGCCCAGTTTTATATCAAACATCATATTTATTTCAAGGACCTGTATTATAAAAGAAACAATTGAAAACAATTTTTTGTTAAGTTTTTTGATGTTAATCAACATTTATGCTGACACTCTACTTTTTTCATTTCTTACCATAAATTTATACAGGGTGAGTTAAAACTCAAATTCAAAGTTTTCTATTTTTTTTTTATATAATTTCATTTCAATGTGAAAGTTTGCTGTGAATTTTTTAAGCAATAGTTGATAAAATTACATACAATTAATTAGACTGAACCTGAACATGTAGGTTAATCGGTCCTGTAAACAGTATTTGGCGCAGCGAATATTCGCGGTCATCACGGAATTTTCGATTTGGTTTGGGGAGAGAGCCTTAATATATCAAAAGTTGTGATCATCCATCTCAAGTTTTCAATAAAACGTGTTTCTGTTTTCTGGATTAGACTTTGCACAGACCCATAAACCGCAAGGATTATAATGCAATGTTGCCTGTTTAAATATATTTAGAATAGTTTTAAAAAAGTTTTCTGAGTGTACCTACTGTAATTTTTTTTTATATCGCTTAGTATATAATAACCTATAATTTTTTCAGCCTAAAATAATTGGCTTGGCCCTCCGTCTAATAATAATTGACCTCTTTGAATGTAAATTATCTTTAAAAGAAATCATATTTTAGTTAGATATACCTAAAAACATAAAAGTTCAATTATTTGGTCCACTTTTTGATTAAAGAAAACATTAATTTGATAAAAAAATGTGATATACTATTTATAGTGTTTTTGATTGCCAACTACATAGTATTCTACCTACATGATCCCGAAATTCATAATACATTTTTCTAATATTAGTGGTCTTATAAATATAGTAGTTTTTATTATATTTGTTGACAAAATATCAGTTTTATGAGAGAGCACAAATGGGTACAGTTAATTTCAAAATCTTAACAAAAAAAGGGCAGATATTTGTAATAATCATAAAAAAATCCCATTGTAAATAGTATAAACTGTTTACATCATTAAATTGTTAAGTCATCAGCTAAATTCGCAATTAGAACATGTTATATTTTTACATTAGATCTTATTGAATGAATCACTCTTCTTAAAATAGAAAAAAATTGTTTTAATATAGTATAAATGATTGCAACAAGTGATAAATACAATAAAAAACTTTGATTCTTAAAAATAAATAAATATTCAAACTCTAATATATCTATAGTTAAGTGATTTTATAAGACTAAGAGAATATAAATGATTGCAATGGATAAACATTTCTTTGTAATTATGTAAAGTTGAAAATATAGTATATTTTTTTATAAAAAAAATTGTTTCTGTTATTAAATATATTTAAAATCAAGGTTGACCAAAGAACTGTCAATTTGACTCATTCGACAAAAATTTGTTCCTTTATTAAATACAGGGTGGTTAAAATTATGCAAGTATTATGAGTATTGAAAAATACATTATATTCTTCCTGTATAATTTAATTCTACTTGGTGTCGTAAAATTAATTAATTTTGTGACTGACACACTGTGATAAAACAGTTCATGGTAAAACCGGTTTCAAATGTTATTGAGATACTGTCTAAATATAAAAAAAAAATAATCTGTTTAAAGAGTGTTGGCAACATCTGATATACATATAAACCTCAAATACTTTTAAATTGTACAGGAAGCATTCTGGAAATAGTATTTTTTTATCTCTGAATATAATTTCTTCAGCTATGACGCTAATAATATCGGTTTTTTTGCAGTTTGCATTAATTATAAATATACTGTATGCTATTCAGAAAGTAAAAGAAAAATATGTAGTTGAAGTTGAATTTAAACTTTATACAGGGTGTTTCAGATTTAAACGGACACAGCTTAATGGGAGGTAGAGTACACTTAGATGAGTTCAAAAGACTCCCATACTTAATCTTTAATCTCACTCGTTTCTGAGATATAGGGTGTTTTGATTTTTGCCAAAATTAAAGTCGGCCATTTTATTTGAACGGCTAGAGATATTTTGATAAAATTTTGTACAAAAGTTACACTCTCTTAAGTTAATTAAAGCCATAATTTAATTTTAAAAAATTCCAGGACCGGACTCTTATTTTTAAATTGCTCTTCTTAGCTAGAATATCCCCCTGTATATCGGATTTTAATAAATGTTACTGCACATTTAAATAGTACGTGGATCAATAAATAAAATAATGTAATAATATTTAACGGCACCATCTTGATTTTTATAATGGTGACTACAATATTATAAATCAGTATTTACAAAATTGAAATCAAATATTTTACTCTGTATTTTTAAAACTCTACACAAATTAGGTACCATCTTCATTTATTTTTAACTAAGGCATTTTCCAATAAGAAATTGAACATCTACACAGGACCGGGCTCACTTTATTTTATAAAGTAACAGAACAAACTAACAGAAAGAAATAATTAAAACTAAAGTTGATTTTCAAAATGAACATCGTGAATGTCAATACACCTCTGCGAACGTTTTAACAGGTTTTTCACTGATTTTTCAATTATATCCAGTTTATTTCTAATGTTACATATATTAATTTTTTCCAATAACTGTGGGTATTCATTTCTTCGTTATACACCTCTGTTTTAAGGTAGCCCCGTAAAAAATAATTCAGAGGTGTTAGATCTGGAGATCTTGGTGGCCAATTGACGGGACCTCCTCGACTTATCCATCTATTTGGGAAAGGATGATTTAAATGGTCTCTGACCAGTATTTGAAAATGAGGTCCAGCACCATCATGTTCCTCTGGCATTAATTTCTTCTAACAAATTTGGCAGGATGTTTCTAAGGAAATTTAAATAAACTTCGGCTGTTAATGTGCCTTCAAAAACATAAGGACCTATTAAATGATTTTTATAAATACCACACCATACATTTGTAGAAAATCTATATTGGGAATGTTTTTGTGATACAGTATGAGGATTTTCAGTTGCCCAAATATGACCATTCCTAGTGTTATTGATCCCATCACGTGTAAATTGGGATTTATCAGTAAATAAAATTCTCGATATTGTCCTTCTGTGGGCCAAAGTCCCATCTACAAAAAGATAAGCGGGGTACGTCGTCTCCGTGTTCAAGTCGCTGTACTTTTTGTACATGAAATGGATGTAAAATTTGTTTTTTTAAAGTTTTCCCTACTCTTGTTATCGGTACTGCTAATTCATTACTAATTCTTCTTACACTGATAGAAGGATTATTTCGAGCTATCTGTAGTATATCCTCTTCTTGTCAAAGATTATTTCTCGGGGCATGTTTATGTTTAACTGTAGTTGAAAACTTTCCATGTTGCTTACTGAATTCGAAACCTGCGAAAATGTCTTAGAATTTGGTAAACGGCGATTAGGAAAGCGTCTGGAATACTCTCTTACTGCTGCTCTACCGTTTCCGTTACAAAAACCGAACACAAAAATGTCTGCATATTTTCATTACTAAATTGAAACGGCATCCTGAAATATTTATTTTCATACCATTAGAAACTTACACTTATGAACAAAAGTAATTAGCTCAAAATACTGTACATAAAATAAATGATAACAAGCCTACTGGTATTATACAATTTTTCATTAATCATGTTTAGGACGGAATGAGTGATGGTGTAATTTGGCGCATATTGGCAATTGACTAAATTAAGTTTTCAGCTCGTTTATAAAATACCTAGTTTTTGAACTTTTAAATTTGATTTCATCAGAGTTTTAGTTCATTTTAATTTCCAAATATAATTACCTAAAGATGAATGTGGAGAGAGAAATAAATGAGGTGGTTCGAAATCATCTTTCTGTTAGTGTAAGAATTAGTAATGAATAAGCAGTACCTAGTGTATGAAGAACTTAAAAAAAATAAATTTGTATCTATTTTATGTACAAAAAGTACAGCGACTTGAATACACATAAAATGTTTGGTATGAAATTTATAAAAAATCACTTAATACCCAAGCACAGTTATTGAAAAAAATTAACAATGTATGTAACAACATTAGAAATAAACCGAAAATAATTGACAAATCAGTGAAAAACCTGTTAAAACGTTCGCAGAGGTGAATTGACGTTCACGGTGTTCATTTTGAAAATCTACTTTAGTTTTAATTACTTATTTGTTTCAGTTAGTTTGTTATATTACTCTATTAAATAAAGTGATCCCGGTCCTATGTAGATGTTCCATTTCCTAATGGAAAATGCTGTAGTTAAAAAAAAAATGAAAATGGTACCTAATTTGTGTAGAGTTTTAAAAGTACAGAGTAAAATATTTGATTTTAATATTGTAAATACTAATTTATAATATTGTAATCGCCATTATAAAAATTAACTGTAGGAAAATCAAGATGCTGCTATTAAATATTATTACATTATTTTATTAATTGATCCAGGCACTATTTAAATGTACATTAACATTTATTAAAATCC